GTCGTCTTTAAGATATAATCCTTTGTGGGTAACCCTGTATGGTATGAGACATTTCTCACTTGTCGGAATGAACTTTTATAAAAGCATACAATATTTCAATCTATCAAATAAAATGAACTTTTCTATGAAATGTCGCGCTATTTGAAGCTGGAAACCACGAAATCGGAGGCCTGAAATTGAAATCTAAAAAAGAAAATTTGAATGAAATTGAAATATTGTAAATCCAAGCAAGACTGGAGACCGGAGACCCATTTTTCAACCATAGAGACTACACAAACAGAACAGGTACATTCCATTTTGAGACTCTCACAAGAAAACTAAACTCTAACTTATTTTATGTGCACTTGACTTTTTTATTGGAGAATTAATTAAAATTTGAACCCAATCATGTTTATTAAAAATAGGTATAAAACGATCAAACATATTTTGAATTCTTCGGTTTGGAAACGGAACCTAAACTTTGTTCTGTGTCACTTAAATTTCCCAACAAGGTGATTGTTCATTTGGCGTACAGTCCCGTTTTCCCTGGCATTGTGTATTGTAAAGCTTGCTCTAGCAGGTTAAAAGTGGGCCCAGTACTTGAACTGATTAAAATAAAATGATGACCTAATTTATTGTCAAGATATCGGACAAAACTAAATCCATTTTTTTAATTTTATGAAGAAAATGCCTAAACTCCTCTTTACTCTTTATCAGCTTAAATGTACTGTTTCAATCTATCACAAACTCTATCCTCTCTACCTATCCAGGTATATACGATCCGTAAATAACAAGATTCTGTGTTGAACTGTCTATATTTAGATATAAAAGGTATCCCCAGTGGTCAAAATGATATTAACAAAAAATCCTCAATTAATAATGGACGTGCAGGTAAGATAAATAAAACGATACAAATATAAATATGCTGATAAAGTATAAACATGTATAATTTATCATTCAAATTTTAACAATTATATTTCTTTATTAATTTAATTGTGACGATTTTTCCTGTGAGATTTGAGGAAATAACAACTCATTGTAAATTTTGTAGATTTTTCAGTTTTTATTAGAGAAATTTCAATGTTAAGAACATCTTTTGGGGGCGATATTCTTTAATTTTGAGTTGTCACTCTGTCCATTCTTGGGGTATGTAAGAACAAAGAGACAAATCTATATAAAGAAATATATGTCTGTTACATCTTTTAGATTAAAATATGAAGTTTAAAAACTGAAATGTATATAAACATATATAAAGGTTATAATCAATGAAGGTACTTTAGCGTAAATATTTCCAAACACACTGGCTGACTACTGTTTAGATTTCCAAACACACTGGCTGACTACTGTTTAGATTTCCAAACACACTGGCTGACTACTGTTGAATAATTAACTGAAATGTGTTCTATCAATAAATATTTAATGAGCAGACTGAGGTTCAAGGTTTAATTCTCTGATTTATACTTAAATACATTNCATTTTAATTTGAAGGTTTAATTAACTGATTTATACTTAAATAGATTTAACTAAATCATTTTAATTTAAAGGTTTAATTTACTGATTTATACTTCAATAGAATTTTTTCGCGAAATTTTCCTGTTTCTTTCGCATAATTTCCGTTTTTTCGCGAAATGTTCGCATTTTTTTCGCGCAATTTTCGTATTTTTTTGCTAAATTTTGTTAGATATTTTTGCATTATTTTTTTCGTATTTTTCGCAAAATGTTTGCATTTTCTATTTCGCGAAATTTCGCATTTTTAACGCGAAACTGATTGCAAAATTTCGCGAAAAAAGCGAAAATGTTCGCATTTTTTGCAAGCGAACGAAATGCGAAAAGATGCGAAACGACTTTTCCTTTTCACTTCAAACCCTGGGTGTGTGTGTACATGCATGTAATAAAGAAATGAACAGTAGGGGAAAGGTAAGGGGTAAAAGAAATGAGAGAGAGGGGGCAAAAGGTAATAGAAGTGCGAAGGAGGGGGTGGGGGGTAAAAGAAAGGTGCGGGTGGAGAAGGGGGTAAAATTAAGGAGGGGATGGACGTGAAAGTATGAGAGGGAAAGAGAAGGGGATAAAAGAAAGGAGATGGAAGGGGAAGGGAGTAAAAGAAATTAGATGGAAGCGGAAGGGAGTAAAAGAAAGGAGATGGAAGGGGAAGGGAGTAAAAGAAAGGAAATGGAAGGGGGTATATGAAAGTAGATGGAGGGGGTAGGGGGTAAAAGAAAGGAGACTGAAAAGGTAGGAAGAAAAGAAAGGAAAGGAAGGAGGAAGGAAGTAAAAGAAAGTAAAGGAAGGGAGTAAAAGAAAGTAGAAGGAGGTAATGGGATTAAAAGAAATAAGATAAAAGGGTAAATAGAATGGCAGCAGGCGTTCACAATAAAAAAGGAAGAAGGGAAAAAGAGAAGGAAGGAAGTAAAAGAAAATGCATAAATGGCGGTAAACGAAAGTAGAAGGAGGGAAGGGAGTAAAAGAAATAAGATAAAGGAAGGAAGGGGGGGGGTAAATAGATAGGCAGCAGTGGTTTACAATAAAAAAGGAAGAAGAGGGGTGTGCAGGGGGGGGGGGGGAAAAAGTAAGAAAATTAAGGTTTGGAAAGGAGGGCCGGGAAGGTGTTAACATGAGTATAGATTGCATGAATTGGATCAGACCCAATATCTACACTCCCCTCCTGCCTCGAGCTAAACAGGGATGAAAACAAAATTTAACATTAAAAATAACTGAAGCCTTCATGTTTTAAAAGAATATTTTTTAAATTTTAAAATTGAACCTATGATTGATAGTTTTTGATGTGGTGTTGAGAGCACTGCTCAGATGACATGAAAAATCCTTTCTTTAATAATACAATATTTGAAAATCAATGAAAAGTGTATTTACATAATCTAATCCATTACCCAGCAATACATTAGAAGTTATAGAAATTATAAAAATTATAAAGTGTTTTGTTTTTTTTTCTTGTGATTATTTTAAACATTTTTTATATTGGTTTAGATTGTTATTATATCGTTAGAAGGAAAGAGAAGGTTAACCCCACTCTAGTATGCCGAGTCCATTAGCGCCTGATCCAATCAGGGTTCACCCATGTGTTTGGTGACTATTCTGAACCAATAGAAATGGCATATTCGGTAACATCTATCTTTCTATCTAGCTCATTATCCAATTAGAGATATCGGCGCTATGACAGTAAATGGAAATATTTACTTCTACTGAAACTATAGTGACCCAGACAGAAATATATTTTCAAAAAATGTGAAACTATTTTTTTACTTTGAATTGGAATTTATATTTAGTCAAAAATATTAAAGAAGAGCTGTGACCTCTTGTATTTTGGATCAATATCTCAATATTTTGATATCCTGCATATTAATCGATACCCAGTCAGGGGGTGCTTTGATCAGCGGAGGAATAACTAAAATGTAGATATGGAAAAGTTTAGTTTTATATTGATCCTCAAATTAAAAGAGCCCACAGTGGATATCGAGATCAAGGATTATGAGTATACTAAACCAACATTTAAATTCTCGGCTTAGTAAACATTATCAGTAAAAGCTTTTCAGAAAACAAGATTGAAAAAAGTTAGATTGAAAAATCAGTAAGTAGAAATTGATTAAATTTAAACTGTTTAAAAGCTACTAATTTTTCTTTTTACAAATTTTCAAAGATTTAAGAAGAAACCCTTGAAAGAAACAATTTGAATAGTTTTCATCTGAAATGAATTTTAAAAGAAATCAATTTCTTAAATTTTTCCTTTTATGATTTGAGGCGGCAACTTCTGAATTGACGGAACTTTGAATCGATATTAGACAAAGACAGCCCAATTGGAATAGGGTTTTACATTCTACATTTTAAAAACTATGTCTCCCAAAGCTATAATTTGTCATTGTAAAAATTATATTTTTAAATAAGGAAAATTATTTTAATCATCTTCTTATAGATATAACACGTATCATTTATTGGTACAGGAGAGGTCGGAAAAATTTCATAGAATAATAATGTTAAACCCTACTATCTTCGGTCAGACAGCATTTTACTAGATTAGTTGAATGTGAGACACATTGGTTTTTAAATATTAGACTGTCAGTCCCTGCACCCTTTTGGACCCTACATATAGCTTGGAATTGTGGTTATATTAAACTGAATGGTTCAATTATAGATATGACAGTCCAGCTAAATGATTCAATTTGGATATAAATCATGGAAATTTTACGTCTTCTGAGCTGTTTATATGTGTGTAAAGAGAGGAAAGAGTTTCCTCTTTTTATATACTCAATCCAATTTATTGTATCTGTACAAGATAGGATGAAAAGATGTAATTGGGAAAAATAATTATTAATTAATTTATTAATTTTTAAGAGAAAACTATTTCTGCTATCAACACATAAATCTTTTTAGTCTAAGTTAATTTTAGACGTAATTTTAGAAGTAATTTTAGAAGTAATTTGAACGTATTTTTAGATGTAATTTTAAACGTAATTTTAGATGTAATTTACGAAAAAAAATTAGATGTAATTTTGGATGTGATTTTAGTCGTAATTTTAGATGTAATTTTAGATGTGATTTTAGACGTAATTTTAGACGTAATTTACGATAAATCTTTAGATGTAATTTTAGATGTGATTTTAGACTTAATTTTAGATGTAATTTTAGATGTGATTTTAAACATAATTTTAGATGTAATTTTAGACGTAATTTTAAACATAATTTTAGACATAATTTTAAGTAACCCTCAATTTAGAGAGAGGCTTGTTCGATTCACAACTGTAAATTTAACTATTCCTTCTTCTTCCTTCTCCTTCCTCCTCATTCCGTCGCCCTTCTTTCTTCCTTCTACATCCTTCTCCTTCCTTTTCCTTAATTATCCTTCCTTATCCTTCCTTCTCCTTCCTTCTACATCCTTCTCCTTCCTTCTCCTTCCTTCTCCTTCCCTCTCCTTCCCTCTTCCTTCCTTCCTTCCTTTATCAGCAAATTTAGCATGCTAAAAAGAGAAATAAAATAAGCTCTGAAATTTAAATGTAATAACTTTCAGAAAACTCGACAATTGACAACTCAGACAGGATGTCAAAACTTAACAATTGACAACTCAGACAGGATGTCAAAAAGAAAAGAAAGTTCTAAAATTTTGTCTAGGTGAGTTTAAACTTTTTACTCATGACTTAACATTAAAGAGTCATGGGCGGATGTAAGATAATTTATAAGGAGGAAGCTTATGAGATTACCTAGAGAACCCATGGGTACCTCGGGGTTGGCTAAATTTTTTTGAGAACTTTTAAAATTCAACGGGTAACTCCGGGTACTTCAGCCTCGACCCCATATAACATCTTTTAAAATGATGATACAGGGTGTCCCACGAAACGTGTATTAGATATTAAATACTTTTTGCAGTTGATTTCGTTGAAATATATTTTACTCAAATATATTTTACTTTGAAATCACTTTTTACCATAATATATTTTGTGGGACACCCTGTAGGTATCATAAGAACTGTCTTAAATCCTGCATACACTCTATTTAAACACTGGTTGCAGAGATATAGAAATTAGAAAATTTGAGGTTGTGGCAAAAACTCAATTCATTTGGTGACTGTTGAGTATATGCGGATTTTTTTTCGGAATTGTGTTTTTACCCCAAAATTAAATTTTCCGATCCAACTATTTATTCAACCCAATGTAGTAGACCTTCGATATTTCAAACTATGTATTCTGTTAGATCAAATAATCTAAGTTTGAAAAAAACAAAGATTTAAACCATCTGAATGCAGAGATATAGAAATTAGAAAATTTAAGTTTGTGGCAAAAACTCAGTTCCTTAAGATTGTAGTTTCTCAGAAATTCAACCTGATTGGAAATTTTTTAACTTCTTGTTTCCTGGCTGTCCTGTTTTGCTCATTCAATTAGCTGCATCCCCCCCCCCCCCCCCAGGGTGGTTAATATGCAGTTTCGAGATGCTGATCAGGCAATTTGTAGTATTTCAATATCAGCTCTTGAGTTTCTATATTTATTCCAGTTGTTATTGATATCGGCCATCTATGCAGGTTTATAGCTGGCATTGTTGTATAATGAGAACTTCCCTTTGTCAGCTGCATTACATGTATCAGTGTCTTGCAGTAATTTAGAAAGAAATTAAAAGACCTCCTAGCCTTAACTGCATTCGGCTAGGTTCAAGGTGATTTGGGTGTACCCCCTAGGAAAGGAACACCCAATGAAACCAATGATGATCTCTCTCAGAAAGTTTTGATTAAGATTCCACAGCAAAGCAGTTTCTGAGTTCCACTATATCTGCTTGTGAAGTAGGATAAGGTTGGAATTTAGGAGGTAGGCGGATGAGGATGAGGGTGTAAGGGTAACAGGTATTAGAAATACCATAGTCCTCACTTTTAACGTGTATTCCCATGTGGACAGATTTTTTAAAGAAAAAAAGACCGCTAAGCATGCTGTCCCATCGCTTCAAAACACGGGGAGTGTGTCTTTTGCCTGTCATTGTCAGAGGTCTGCCATGAGTAATCCAGTTTCCATTTCGAGAAGGGTGAAAAACCAGTTTGTGGTATTTGATTTAAAGTCTATTGAAGGCTCTATTCCCTCTTAAAACCTGTATCAGTGTGTACTTCATCCCTGATGTTTTGAGTTTCTGTATTCCTTCTGTATTCATCTTTATTACTATATCTTGTTCAGGATTAGTCACGCTTTCCACTCAGTTGTGGAGAGAAGTGTCCTTGCTTACCTGATTGGAAATAAAAACCATTTTATTCAACATTTAAATGTTTTTTGGAGTCAAACTTTCTTAAATAGTAGTTTGTTTAAGCTAAATTTCTTGATTCGTATTTACAAAAGTTTTCAGAATAAATTTAAGAACATTTTAAAATGGACTTAGCTGTCCTAATTCACGTCAAATTAAAGTAAATCGCATTTAAGATTGAAATCATATAGGTTTTCAACTATCATAACTCCAATCATTGAAGAGCTATTAAGAACAATATATACATTTGTAATTTCTAATGCGCAAGGATTTAATGCAAGAAAAGTTATTTCAGAGGTGTACGCACCTTTTGTACTGCAGTGTAGTGTCACTGGGCGGTAATGTAAACGCAAGACGGATGTCGAAGCCTGACATGGGATCCATCTTTCACATAAATAATTAATGAAATATTCTTGTCATAGGAAACTATTATGTGAGTTATCAAAATTATCAAAATTCAATGCTTTTAACCTCATCGCATACTAAACGAACACTGAGGCATCTTTTCTTGTTTACAAATTCCGCCCAGAAAGAACTGGTTTCAATATGTACGCAGAATATAAGCAGAGGAGATCCGAGGTCACAAAGTCGTACCAGTAAAGTCCCATAAATTCATTATGAATATACAACAAACTTTAGTATGTCTTTCCGTGAAAAAACTATGGTGTAAATATTTATAAGTGAACTAGCTGAAGTGCACGGCGTTGCCCAAGGAATTTTCATACTTTTGAAAAAACAAATTTTGAAGAAAAAAAATCAAAATTTGAAAAAATTTGATTTTTGAAAAAAAATGTCGAAATTTTGTTAGCAGCCTTTATTTTCCCCCGCGTTACCCATGGGCTTCCTCAAAAATGTCAGCCCATTTGGTTCAGCCGTTTTGCCATCCACAGCTGACATATATATATGGGCGATGAGCTTTATTTTATAGAGATAGAGATAATATGTTGATGAAAAATTTGGATAAAATTTGGAAACAAAATTAGCTTTCTCTGACTTTGAAATAATTAAAATTGTCTGTCCGTGATTTATCTAATGTTTACATTCAGCTCAGAGGATCTGGATTGCAAGGAATCAAAGGATAATCTAGCCAAAGGGTAATTAAAATTATAATTAAAAGACCTAATCATATAAATGTATAAATATAATTTACTAGGTTTCAGCTGAAAAATCCTCCAAGATTAAAAAAATATCAACTTCAGCTTCATGATGAAATTAAAAGAAATAATGATTACATTGGGGAAGCATCTAATGGAGATGAACACCTTCCTGAAGCATTGAACGAAGATCCTGAATTAAGGAACAAGCTTTCTGAGGATGAATTCGACGAACCTGAAGACGAACTAGATGAACCCGAAGATGAACTGTATGATTGGATGGATGAGGAAGATGAGGTAAAGACTGAAGAGACAAAATTTAAAGTTTAAAATATCAAAAGTTTCCATTATCAGTCTGTAAAGATATAGGGTATAGAAATGTGTTCTTTTAAGTTGAAATTTCGTTGTAATACAAAACATAAAAAAAAATTGATGGTTAAAGTGCACTACAGTGGCCTACGGTGTAAAATGTAGGTCACTGTAGTACTAAAATTGTAGTGTATGGTATCACCGTTTCAGTACCTGACATTGTATTTATATTTCAAACGTAGAATCCTTTTTTGGTCAGTACTGCAGCAATCTGCAGTACTTTCAGCGATTAAATATTTTGTTTTAGTGGAGAGTGCCTCACCATATTTCATATTGCATTGGCGCTCTTCTATAATTTATTTGTTAACAATTTAATTCCTTAAATTCAATATAATTTTCGGTTTAGAGTTTACGAAATCAATTTTTTTCTAAACTGCAGAAAAATGTTCATGTTAATTTAATTATCTTTATCTAAACAAGGCTTTCCTTTCCTTTTAATATTTTAGTTTTTAACTGTTGCCCTGAAAGTTGGCCATTTAAAATAATTTTCAAATTTTGGCAGATTTTTCTTTTTGCATTTAAACAAAAATTCCAACTGTTTTCCAGGATTCCCCCCCCCCCCCATTTTGATTAACCTACCCTGTGGTCATGAGGTTCCAACACAAAATTAGGGCCCGATCGGTTCAGCCGTTATTGAATACAAACGGACAGACAGACACGCAAGAAAAGAAGTTGTGTACTATGAAAGTATTTGAAAAAAACCGACCGAATTGTTAAATGGCTTATGGATATCGTAAAGTGGTCTTACACTTTAACTCTTTAAAGGCTGTGGGTCTGAATCTATGTATTGCCTGGATAAGAAAAGGGCCTTAGAGTAAAGGTATAGGGTTGCAATCCAGGAGTATGGAATACAATGGAAGAGTGGTCGACCCGGTTCGCCTCACCATGTTAATATGCATGCTAAACAGGCGGTACTCATTTTTCAATGCATAAAAAATTGCAAAAAATCCTTAAATCACTATTCCTTAAAGTTTAAAAAACTTCAAGGTGAAAGTGTCAAAAAGATTTTGGTTTTGGTTTGAGTGCATTTATGTTCAGCAAAAAATAAGAAAAAAAACTGAATTAATATGTAGAATTGATTTAGCTTACGATCATATTATCTTAATAAATCTCAATTTTAAATATTGATATTTATACAAATTACCCCTCCCATCATGTTACTTTTTTCACTATTCGTAAAGTACATAAACACTATTAGCAAAACTTTTGTAAAAACAAAAAGTGTACTCTTAGAGCTTCAAAAAGTTACCTTTTACTTAATTAACCATCTTTTGTAAACACATTTGTTAAAAAATTACTCCCTGCCTTACTTTGATTGGGTGTCTGGGTGTTTGTTTGTATCCAATAAACGTTAAAACTGGTACAACATTTTTAAGGCCACTCACATGACCCCAGCTAGGGAAGGTTTATGGATGCCTAGAATTGCAAATATTTGTCTCAAAAAAATGTTTAGTTTTGTAAAATAAAAAAAATCCACGAAAATATATAATTAAATCTGTAAACTTTTTTTTCTGATGGTTTTTATATATTGTATTAACCCTATTCCTGCTGGGGGGGTCAAATTGACCCCCCCCCCTATGGTTTTTTGATATTGCTTAAAAACTATAAGGGTTATATAAGGGTATATTTTTCACATATTTTAGCAAAAATTGAAATATTTCGATGACTGCCTGAGGGTCCAGGCCAACTGCCTGAAATAGGCCTAAATTACCTCCTAAATTAAATTTGCTTTTAATACCACTAAAAATTGTCAATTCTTGATGATTTATAGCATTTTGTAAAGCTGAGATATAGGAAAATAATAATCTATGAAAGTTTGCACTCTTTTCGAAAAACTTTTGAAAATTTTTGCACAGAATTTGCGTACAGCTGATAGTTCTTTTATTGACTCAACAATAGTAAGTCAAATGTTTTTGGAAACCTGCTAAGAAAAATCTTTCAGCCATATTTGTTTGAACCAGTTTTGCAACATTTTTTGCAATGTTTTTTGCACAGTTTTTGCAAAAAAGTGTCAAAACCTGTTTTTCTACATTCTACTATATCATAACTCATAAAGAAAGTATTCAAATGTCTTGTGCAAACTTCTCAAACTTTTTGCAAACTTTTAGCACAATTTTTGCAAAATAATATTCACTATATTTAGCAATGCTTATCTTGATTCAACATAAGTAAATTATATGTCTTTTGACAGCTGCTGAGAAAAGTATTACAATCAAATTAGTTTCAATCATTTCTGCAATATGTTTTGCACTGTTTTGCAAAAAAAAATTGCCAAAAAATTGCAATTTTACCTTCTTTGTTCTATTTTAGAAATGGTTAGAGAACTGTACAGCAATGAATTATGAAATGATATGTAACCTTAGTATACATTTTTAGTTACTGTGTATCTGTGCAAAATGGCAAAACTAGTTTGCAAAAATGGCATATTTTTTTCGCAGATCTAAAAATTTATTGTTAAACTATAATCGTGAAATAAATATCACTTGGTTATGCTAAAAAAAAATTTAAAAAAGGAACATAAATGCAAAATATGTATTTATCAGAAAATCTATGTTTTTGCTAATTTGTGCGAATTTTTCTCGCAAAATCTTTTTTTGTCAAATCTGAATTGGCCTTTTCAAGAGCTTTCAAAAATGTATGATTTGTTATATTTATCTTTAAAACTACGGATTTAGAGGGGGGGGGGTCAAATTCCCCCCCCCCCAGCATATCCTGGTTTTCAAGTACCCCAGCAGGGATAGGGTTAAGAAGAGAAAATGCTCACTCATATATCCACAGTTAAAAGTTAAAACAATATGTGCGCATAGCGTCCTCAAAGCCTAGATTGTATATATCTTTAAAAATCAAAAAAATGGAATTGAAACTAGTTAATTCTACCTTGAAAACTTTACATCTATAGAGAAAATGTTTAAAAATTAAAAAAAACTGCATTTTTGTTTAGATTCAGAGTACTCTAAGCCTTGAGGAATGGGGATCTTAATGAATGTAACTTTTATCACAATACACACTGTACACACAAAAAGACATAACCAGCAAAGAATAAAGAGGTGTTCGCTAAATCTTTTTCCCCCCTCTCCCCCCCTCCCCACTTCCTTAAATTTATATTTATGACTCCCTCTAAGGACGGAACCAGGCTAAAAGGTAAGATAATAAGATTAAAGGAATTGCTTACCTATTTTCCAACAAAATTAATAATGTCGCAATTTTTCAAATGTAGAGTTCTCACATTAAATATACGTCTGAAAGGGACTGTAAGCCTAATTTCAAGTGACCCTCCATGCAAAGATGGCAATGTCCGATTTACAACGGTACCCTAGGAAGCCTTTTCTGATCAAGTATGAATTATAGATGTTTTTGTTTCTTTCAACTATATTTTCATTCGCGGTTTCTCTGCGAAAGTGACTTGCGCATTTCCTGTTAATAAGAAGCAAAGGAGAAACTAACAGAAATAACTTTTCGATCGAGTCAGAAAAATGACAGTTTTTTTACTTTTTTTGATCAGATAAATATTGTAAATCATGTATTTCCATCTTTGCATGGAGGGTAACTCTGGCTGCAGTCCCTTTAAAAGCATACGATAAATAAATTCGCATTTAACTGTAATCTTTTAATCAAATTATCAAAACTATAATCATCAACGGTTTACACAATCAGAGTGCAAGGCTTTATCCTAGAGTTTGATGCGAGTAATCGGTATCCATAGAAATCTCTTTAAATTAAAAAATTTCATAATAATCTGGTCAATATAGTGGAGGCTTGGAAGAAAAACACCGGAGACGGCAAATATTTGATTGGAATAGGTTAGTCAAATTTAGAATTAACATTAAAGGGAATGTAAAAGTAATTTCAATCAAATCTCCATTTATAAATGGGCACATCCAATTTACAACGGTATCCTGCTGCATAATTATGCGCCAGTCACTTGAAAAATAACCCGCATTGAAAAGTTAATTTTAAGATAAAAGAGGGATAACTGCATTAGATAAAGTATATTGCCTGTCAGTCACATTTTCTTGAAATCTGAAATTTTCATTTTTAGATTTATATAGGTTTGTTAAGTCTCTATGATACTATAATTTTGCTAAAATATTGACTATTGGCCGAAATATTGATGATATTTTATTTTTACAAGATGCGGAAAGAGTTATTGTCAAAGAAATGCGGAAACGGATTGAAAATATGAGGTAAGGATATGGAAAATTAAATATTGTTGGATTTTTAGATTAAAAGTGCGACCCAAAATTCTGTGGTCTGTCGGTCTCAACCTATTATTTTTAATAATTTAAATAACATTGAAAAAAAGATTTTTAAGCTACTGCTAAAACTATTTGCTTTAAAATACATTTACTGAATGCTGAAATGTCGTCCTCATATTCCATAGATTAATAAATCTCTCTGTTCCTAAACAAAATTATAGAAATAGATTTTGATTGATTAAATTTGCAAGGCAATGAGTGAAAAAGATGAAAAGTACAAAATAAATTATTTAAAAATGAGTTCAATTTTGGTTTTGCCCTATATTCAGCGGTACTGGACACTCTCGCCTAAAACTACAAATGTCTAGTTCTTACATCTTTTTATATCTTATTTAGCAGAACTCATAAAAGTTTGAAATATCAAAGGTCTACGAGATCTATTTGAAAAGATATAAATAAATGAATGTATAATGCTCAATAAATCGCAAAAATAGGTTTGTGATTAGTATATGTACTCTCGAGGGAGAGAGTGCAGGGCCACCATGAACCCCACAAAATGGTCTCCAAGCCTCCGTATTCTCCGCAATACCCCTAAAAGTTATAATAGGTATTATAGAAGTAATAAATAAAAAAAAATGTTAAAAGTCAAGCAGTGTTTTCTTGAATATCAAAAAAAATTACATAACTATTAAAATATTGTTGTTGTTTTTTCTAACATTTTTTACATAATACTTCTTTAATATCTATTCTAAAGGTGATTTGATATAATCATCTGGTAATCCAGAGGCTTGGAGATCATTTCGTAGGGCTCATCTTAATAGTTTATTTTTGCAAATTATGATATTTACAATCAATAAATAAATAAATACATAGTTTATTATTCTGACATTTTTGGAATAGCAGAGATAAAAGCTTTACAAGAAACAATTCTAATAAAGATATAGATAATATTCGGTATTAACCAAACTATTAACCAAAAATGAAATTAATTCATAAACAATCGTTTTTATGGAATTCGATGCCTTGCAACAAGTGTTAAAGCAATATTCAAAGTTTGTAAACGAACAGAAGTTTTTGAGAATTAATGGTAAATTCCGTTAATGCGTGGAAGAACCATTAAATTAAATATTTGAACTAAACGTTCACTTAATATGCTTATTTTACGAACTATAAAAATACGTATTAAAAAGGGACCAAAGTGCCCAGCCCTATCCACCATTTGATAAAGTACTGTCCCGAGTCCCGACCCAACGTACCCAGCCCTAGCCACCATTTGATAAAGTACTGTCCCGACCCAATGTCCCCAGCCATATCCACCATTTGATAAAGTACTGTCCCGACCCAATGTACCCAGCTCTATCCACCATTTGATAAAGTACTGTCCCAACCCAATGTACCCAGCTCTATCCACCATTTGATAAAGTACTGTCCCGACCCAACGTGCCCAGACCTAGCCACCATTTGATAAAGTACTGTCCCGACCCAACGTGCCCAGACCTATCAACCATTTGATAAAGTACTGTCCCGACCCAACGTGCCCAGGCCTATCCACCATTTGATAAAGTACTGTCCCGACCCAATGTGCCCAGCCCTATCCACTATTTGATAAAGTACTGTCCCGACCCAACGTACTCAAAAACGGTGATTCAAAGGTTAGAGTTTTGATATGACCCAAGTCCTTCTTTAATAATTACGATTAAAACAAGTGCTTTCTTGTTCAAACATGTACATGTCTTGGGCTGCAAAAAAAGTATAAGAGAGTCATTGTTGAAAAATCTAAGGTGTTGCAACCCTTCAGTATTAAAAAATGATGCAACTTTTTATAGCAGCCCGGATCTGTATGCATCTAATGGTACCAGCAGGTCTAGTGTACAACTATGAACAAGCATGTTTCATGCACAAAATATAGACTGGCTGGCTGGATTGATCACATTCACTGTAGACCAGCCTGGCAAAAAAACGCGTTGGGTCAACTACGTACCTGGTACACCAGACGGGCTGGTATGAGGAAACAAAATTCCTACCAATTCGGATCATTATTCATTCAACAATATTACCTTTGTGTACTCTGCTTAGAAACCTGTGTTCCCCGCGAAGCTGTGAAGGGAGTATTTTTGATTTTTCTACCTCAACAACTCAGGAAAAAATATATTGAAATTATCTTACTTTACTTTGAATCAAGGTTGTATCATGGTGAGTAACTCTCGATGCGCACCAATGTACGGAAAATGTTGTCTCCTAAGATAGATTTGAATACCTAATAATAATATGACGTCACTCTCACCTCAATATTCAGTGACGTCATATTAGATATTTATCTATCTATCTTAGGATTCGACAATTTCCGTACATTTGAGCGCATCGAGGGTAACCAACCTTATTATTCAACTTTGCTTTTAATTGAATTTAAATGCAAAAAATATTCGGATTAGCAAAATTTGTTTGTTCCCTAAGATTGTCAAAAACAAGGTTTTTGTTTTTGTTGCCTAAAAGGGACTGTAGACATAATTTCAAGTGACCCTCTTATACTGTAGAGTGCCATGTTCGTGTTTACAGAGGTTCCCTTTTTACCCTTTGTCTGATCATGGAGAATACAAACCAAGAAAAAATATGTTAAATATACCAATAAGATGAACTTGAAAAATTTGAATATTGTAACATTTAGACTTTTGTCTCTGCGTTTTTTTTTATTTTTTGTCCTTTCACTTTGAATTGCAATTGAAAATTGAAATTTGATTTTAATGCTTTAAAGTCTGTGATTATTGGAAACCAAGACACAATAACTCCGAAGTTAACCCTTAGCTGCATATCATCTGCCATTAAAATGAGGTTGCAAAATTTGAGTTAAAATATATTTTTATTTACAGAGCTTATCTCTAGATCCTGGTTATAGGGCGAACTCAGGGATATAACTTCTAAAAATGTTTAATTTATTTTTCATAATTAATTTTGCTTTTATTCCCATAAGGTGTTTGAATCAATTTGTGTTAACTACTAACTTTTAGTTGAAAAAAACATGGGAAATAAATGACAATTTTCAAGACATGTCTCCGATTTGGTTTAGTTCGACAGTGGTTCTATCCGAGCGGGTACAACATGTACTGCATATCCGAGCCGGTACAACACGTACCGTATATCCGAGCCAGTACAACACGTACTATATATCCGAGTCGGTACAACATGTACCGTATATCCGAGCCGGTACAACTGTACCATATATCTGAGCCGGTTCAACATGTACATTACTTTCCTGGACTCTGGGCAACAAACTGTATAATGGCGATCCTGTACATTTCATGTACCCTGGCAAGTTAGATAGATAGTAAAAAAAAAATAATATAAAGATTAGCTATACATACATCTTCAGCTTTTTTATACTGAACATAAATATTGATTATTTTTTGGTAAATTTTGTTTAAATTTTATAAATTGAAATTGGAAGAAAAAATGCCGTTAGATACACATCAGTTCAAAAACAATAGCCTATGCTTCTTGGGATTTTTATACAAATGACCAAATGATTTTATGTAAGATCAAAGATACAGAGAATAAGTTGATTGCATGTTTATAAAACTCTTTTTATAATCTGTGATGTCATAAGTGAGCCTAAATGTTATACAGCAATTCATTTAATCATGAAAATAATTCTTCCTTAAAAAATCAAATTAAATTTAATTCAGATTTTTTTCTAAAAAAGTTTATACATGTTTTAGCTAAAATAATGTTCTTTTTATCGTCTTTTTTAAGATACAAAAGTGTTTTGTTATCTGACCATATATTAAAGAGTCCGAAGTTGTGTTATTGGTATCGTTTTCATCAACGATCAAATATTTCAAAACGAACAAATTAAATCGTTAAGTGAAAAAAATTATTGTTTTTTTTCAAACCAAACAAGAAAACAAAAACGAACAATTTAAAATTTGTAACAATTACTCGCACATTATTGATCAGTAAAACAGTCGATGAACGATTTCTAAACGATTTTTTCGAATAAACTTAATTTCTTAACGATATTTTTACTGAACGAACGATTTTTTCGGAAAAATGATTTAACTGGTCTTATTGAACGCTTGCTCAGTTAGAAAATGAATAAAATAGACGGAAAATGAACAAAATAGACGGAAAATGAATAAAATAGACGGAAAATGAATAAAATAGACGGAAAATGAACAAAATAGATGGAAAATGAACAAAATAGATGGAAACTGAACAAAATAGATTGAAAATGAACAATACAGATGGAAACTGAACAAAAAGATGGAAAATGGACAAAATACATAGACAATGAACAATATAGATACATAAGGAACAAAATAGATAGAAAATGAATAAAATAGATGGAAAATGAATAAAATAGATGGAAAATTAATAAAATAGATGGAAAATGAACAAAATAGATGGAAAATGAACAAATTAGATGGAAAATTAACAAAATAGATGGAAAATGAACGATCATTCTAAAAATGAACGAATTCAAATTTTAACTGATAAACAAAGAGAGTCGTCAACAAACGATCAATGAACAAATTATAAAAAGCGGAACGCGCCCAACTCTAGTCCTACGGATTCTTATAAACCTAGAAAGAAAGAAATGCGTCACCACTTACAATGTTGTTCAGTTTCTTTTATTGTTTCCAGTTTACGTCAAAGCAGAATCAAATTACAAAGTAGTAAACTCCTCTAAAGAATCCCTGCTTTTATTTCGTTTTATTTAACCCAATAAAGGCTGGGGGGTCTGAATCTATGTATATGTATAGAAAAAGGCCTTAGAGAAAAGGTATAGTGTTGAAATGCATGTTCATAGCCCAATTTGCCAAGGCCTGCTCATTGAAAAAAATTAGACGGATAACTTTAATAGTTCGGTGCTAGGGAGGGTTAAAAAAAAACAAAAAAAATAGTCAGAAAAGTTAAAAAAAAAATTCGCTTTAAGCAAATATGAAAATGTGTCACATATTTCTATATCCGTTTTTCAAGGGCTTTTTAGAAATATAGTTTTTAGATAGGTAGCTTTAGTCACAAAAAAGTCATGGGCTATTTCAGATATTTTTTTCAAAGACCGGACTTCTTCCGCGTTGTACCCAACCCTATGCATTAAAAAAAAAAAATTTACAAAAAATCCTTTAAATTCCTATTCATTAAAAGTCACAAAATTTCACGATGATAGCGTCAAAAATGAGAGTGCTAAGACAAAAAAACTATATAGGGGGCGCCAAACCTCCAACCCCCAGCATGTTTAGGGTTAAGGAGGACTGTACACATAATTGCAATACCCTTCAATTAAAAAGGGGAATTTCCGATTAACTAAGGTACCCTTTAACTTTTTATCTAATGAATTATAATATAAGTTGAAAAGTGTAAAGTTATCCTATTTTCCAATCCAGTACTGTAATGGAACCGTCCTGAGATTATATAACATATCAGAAATTCCAAAAATATTGAAATTGAAATTATTTTCTTGAGAAAGACATCAAGCAAGCGTTTAATTTTTTGCGAGATATCCCTTTATAATCTTAATTAAATTTTTCAGTTTGGGAGTTTTTCAGATATTTTGGAGCTTCAGAGAAAACCCAGTCTTAGGAGCCAAAAAATAGAATATTATTTGATAGATTTGAAATTATTTAGAAATTAATAAATTAAAATTGATATTTCAATGTCATGATATTGAGAAAAGCTTAACTATATTGAAAAAGCATATTGTTATGGCTTTTCAGATCACTTCAAAGCATTGCGAGGTAGATATTAATTTTGTTAAATGGTGGGGTGCCTGGATTATTCTTCAATTCAATTCTCTAAACAAAGGAACTGCGTTCTTGCCACACGCTCTGATTTACTAATCCCTATATCTTTGCAACCTGAAGTCGTAAATCTTTGTATTTCAAACAATGTATTTTCTGAGACCAAATATTCTTAGTTTGCTAGTTTCAAGGTTTACACTATAAGGCTGCAAAGGTATAGGGAGTAGAAAATTTGAGCGTGTGACAAATACTTAATTCCTTTGTATTTACAATATTTTAAAAAATAATTTATTTACCATTTTCTGAACATTTTTGTTTAGTAAAGACGATGAGGCTCAGAGAGAGATGCCCAGCACAGGGTAATATATCTATTTATGTAATATACTCATTTTTATAAATAGTATGCATTTATTCACAAACCCATTTTGCATTTTTGTTTTTTTTTATCTCAAAATTTTTAGTAAATTTTTTGGTCTTTTTTAGTGTATTTTTCTATTTGTTTAAAAACTTAAACTTTTTGACCAATTATTGAATTTAGATTAGTGGGATTCAATAAAAATTGTTCATCTATTTTAACGCTTATTGATGAAAAACCGACACCTACAATACATGTATTAAGATTTCACTGTTAACTATAAACAGATGGAAAAGGTCAATTTTGTGCGACTTTACTGCTAGGACTTTGTGACCTCTTAGCTCTTCTAGTTTTGTTTTTTAAACTTGTATAAAAAAAAACATTTATCCAGTTACATTTTAGAAATTCAGCCATTTTTGTTCTTCACAATAACATATTTGTTTCGATGTGATTGCAGTATTAAATGATTAGCTTTACGAAATCCCTTTCTGCTACACTCTTAAAAACTTCAAATTTACATAGAACAAAATTTGTTGTAGCACAGTCATCAAATTCAAATTCATCATCATTCTTTACATTTTTTTAAGTGATTCTGTTAAGGTAAATTTGATGCCGGTGCTATAACAATTTTTTTCAGATGAAAATTTAAAATTTCAAAGGGTATATGTAAATTTTGTTATTAAATTGGATTTGAAATAGCTTTTTTCTAAATTATATCTTCTGAAATTCAAAGATGCAAACGTGACTAGAATTTAGCAATTTGAATTTTCTGGTAAAGGTTGGGGACGGGAAGGGGGAGATATGCTGGACGGGGGGAGGGTCTTATATGCTGGACGGGAAGAGTCTGATATGCTGGACGGGGGGAGTGTCTTATATGCTGGACGGGAAGAGTCTGATGTGCTGGACGGGAAAGTCTGATATAATGGACCGGAAGAGTGTGATGTGCTGGACGGGAAGAGTCTGACATGCTTGACGGAAAGAGTCTAATGTGCTCCACGGGAAGAGTCTGATATGCTGGACGGGGAGAGTCTGATATGCTGGACGGGAAGGGGGAGATATGCTGGACGGGAAGAGTCTGATATGCTGGACGGGAAGGGGGAGATATGCTGGATGGGAAGGGGGAGATATGCTGGACGGGAATGGTCTTTTATGCTGGACGGGAAGGGTATGATATGCTTGACTGGAAGGGTCTGATATGCTGGACGGTAAGGGTGTTATATGCTGGACGGGAAGGGTCTGACGGGAAGTAAACCGGAGTTTTGTTTCATGATGGACAAGAATTCCTGAACCCTGTTCCAGAATTTAGGAACATTATGGTATAACTCTGAGAAAAACATTCCGAAAAAAATTTCGGAACGTTTTTCCCGAATATTGTTTTAGAAGGTATACTATCTTTGATGGCTTTTTATGAAAAAATTACCCCAACTTGGTACCCCTTGAAGAAAAAAATATAAAAATTCTTAATTATAGATTTCCTGATTGGGAGGTTGCCGGGGCCTTCAAGAATTTAAATCTTGGGTATCAAAATTTTAATATTTTTTTGATATTTATAAAAAAATGCAAAATTCTTAAATTTCATCATAATAATGTGTTCACTTAAAAATGGAAGATGATAATAATAATAATAATAATAACAATAATAATAATAATGATAATGATAATAATAATATTAACAGTAATATTGACAATCATAATGATAATAATATTCAAGCAATAAAAAGATTAATTTGGCGTTTCATATATTTTACCAGTTGCTTTCTTTGGGCCACATATTATGTTTGAAGAAAATACTTGTCTATAAAAAAAAACTCTGCTTAGACCTTATACATTGGTCATTATTCATTTTCTAAAAAATTAAACTAAAATATTTCTAAAATATTTCTAAAATATTTCTAAAATATTTCTAAAATATTTCTAAAATATTTTGAAAATGTTCACACATTGAGAACGGGTTCATGTAATCCAAGTTTACACGTTTCTTCACACACTCCTGTCGAGTCCATTAGTACCTGATCCAATCAGGGTTCAGTCATGTGTTTGTTGTCTATTCTGAACCAATAAAAATAGTATGGCGGTAACATTTATCTTTCTATCTATCTCATTATCCAATTAGAGTTATGAATCCTTCAATCAGCGCTATCAGTAAATGGAAATATTTACTTCTACTGAAACTATGGTGCACACTTTGTTTTGTTAAAGGAACTATCACCAAACTTTTAAAGAGGTCCAATCTAATAGTAGCTTGCCCGAATCATAACAGTATCCCTTTAAACCTATATTTGAGCAACAATGAACGAGATTCCTTATTTTGCTCATTTCCTTAAAATTTGCTCTAATTTTTATTCAGATAAAGGTGTAAAGGGTACCGTTGTGAATCGAGAATATAACTCTATCCATGAAGGGTCACTTAGAATTACGTGGACAGTCCCTTTAAGCCAAAGTTTAAAGTTTCTGCTAAATGTAAATGTTTAGAAATCTGGAATCCCTTAATTCTGAAACCCTGGATTTACCTTTAAAGAAAACCTACTCTAAAAGGTGAACAATATTGAATTTATAGAGAAAAGGCCACATTTAGAATCTAGAAAGTTTTAAATTTGAAAATTTTGTTAACAGGGTGACCATTTTAATTTTTTCAAAATTCTAGAAAACAAATTCACATATTTTCTGTGTACTGCATTGTGTGGGAGAAATGAAAATAAAATCATTGCAGTACACTTTTTTGTAAAGATATCCATTATTTTATTTCTGAAAATTGATTGCTTTCAAGTTGGTTTCTCTGGAAAGTAATTGGAGTGAATTGCCTGAATTAAACACTTTTCAGGCATTAATTAATTAAACCTTCACATTATTGACCAGATAAAGGTTTTAATGGTATTAATGTGAATCGGACATGCGACTCTTGAAATAAAAGATCACTTGAAATTACAGGTACAGTCCCTTTAATTATGTTATTTTCAGTTCTAACTCTAGAAGTTCATCAGTTTCAAACTTTTCCAGTGTTTCCCAGCACGGGAAGCTCAGAGGTAAACTACACCATGAAAGCTCTGTTTAGTACCCCTCTGGAACAATATGAATTTCTTCTTTAAAAATTACCAGCACACACCAAAAATTGTTTATTTAAACATTCTGAAATTTGATTTTCGATTTTTAAAACATTGGTCAGCGCAGGCATTTAAAAAAATCATTAATTACAAAAAGTGAGGTCGATTTTTTTTATTTTTTTTCGAAATATGTCGATATGGGTATCTAAAGTTGCGCCTCTAACCATTGAATATTGCTCATATGTTGCTTTTTTAAATTTTGAAAAATTGTTTGATCTAGGGTCAACAAACTGTTTTTTTAAAAGGACTCTGGCAAAATTCAACTAAAAAGTCGATTTTAAGCTACAATTTGCTCAATTTTTAACAGATTTTTTTGATTTTAACATTTTGAATTCAGTATTTCAAGATAGGTTTTTTTGTTACCCATATTTTCATTTTTGTTTTACCTTTTTATTTTAGAAACTTTTAAGACACGAGCTGACAGGATCTGAATATTTTAAGACACGAGCTGACAGGATCTGAATATTTTAAGACACGAGCTGACAGGATCTGAATATTTTACGACACGAGCTGACAGGATCTGAATATTTTAAGACACGAGCTGACAGAATATTTCATGGTCCCACACTTATGTTTACTAATTAGGGCACCGTTGTGACATTAACAATTAACATTTACTTTTATTTTTGCTCTAAAATAATGGAAGGTTTAATATGTTTGTGTCTCAGATCAAGAATTCTAATAAGTTTTTTTACGTTAAAGGTCTGTAGGCATAATTTCGGAGTGAGTAACCTTTGAAACCAAAGCGCACACACTTTAAATTACCTAAATTGCAAAACATCCATGTACACCTAAAAACAAAACACCTTCAAAATGTTTTAATGAAATTTTCAGAGTGTACATTAGTGGATTTTCTTGCCAGAAATAAGATTTTAATGACGTTTTCAAAATGTTCACATTCATAGACCTAGACACATAAGAATGTATTGTTTATAAAAGCGTTAAAAACTAAAAATTGTACATTATGAACTTGCGTCCTACAAAAAGGTAAATGAATACGTTTCACTTCTCGGGTCAATCTGTAGAAAACAAATTTAACTGATCAGTATTTTGTTATTCGGAATTGTATAAATTACTTGTCCTCTGTACAAAACAAAACACCCTATACACAAAGAGAAGAGATTATACATTCATAAAACCCAAATTTCAAAACACTTAAATTTGGGTTTTATGAATTTTAGGTGCAATGTTTTTAGGAGTTTTGTACCCACTCCGTAATTTCCAGGGACCCTTCATTAAACAAAAGTGACATGGCCGATTCACAACGGTATCCATATAATAGTTTTGTGCATTTTCATGTGCATGGTATATAATTGTTAAACCTGATTATTTTCAATTGTAGCTGATTCTCTACAAAAGAAACTTGCACAGTTCTCATTGAGGAACACAATGAGTGAAATGTTCAAACATAAAAACGTTTAATCTAGAGAACGACGTTAAACAGAGTTTATAAGATACAGTGTTCAAGGGTACCGTACTCATTCGGATTTTGAATAGAGAGAGTCACTCAAACTGTTTGCGACAGTTTCCCAAAAACAGTGTCCCAAAAACAGTGTCCCAAAACGACGTACATTTGTCATTGTAATTCTGAAAAGAAAATACTGATAAATGATAATGATAAATAATTATAATTATTTTTTGATGCAGGGCCTCCTGTAAACATTGTTGCAGTGTGTAAGGTATTCTTAATAATATGTTTTACTAAAACTCTAAAGTGTATTCCAAGGAGTATACTTTATGAATATACATACTTTGCAGACGTACTCCATTTGTATAAAAAATATTCAGTATAGGTTATTTTATACACGGTAATTGTACATCAGACAAATAATTTTTATACAAATTGAGTACCGTCTGCAAAGCATCTATAATCATAAGGTAGGGGCAGGGCGCGTCAGTTGCATCTCCCTTCTTTTCCATACTCCTTGGTTCATTCCTATTCTACTTTTTGGTTTAAAATTCTAGAAAATAAAGTATTAAAGTAGAATAGGACTTTCTTTCCAAAAATCTTTTTCTTTAGATTTCAAGCCAAATTAAAGAACTTTACTTTCGAAAACTTTCTTTAATGCTTTACTTTCTGGTTCTGTTTTTAGAAAAAAGTAGAAATTTAGCCCAATCCCGATTGGGTTATTTTTGTGATGAGGGGGACAATCTCCTCCTCCATGATTTTGCACTTATAGTTGAAATATGGGAGTGTGACGCATGTCCCGAGTCCAATTTAGCTAGGCCAGCTCATTAAAGAAATATACCTCTAGGGTGCTAAGGAGATTCTTTAAAGTTAAAAAAATACGCTAAAAAGTTGGTAAAAAAATTGACAAATATTTACATATGACACATGGTATTTTTCATCCATTTTTTAAGGGCTTTTAAATATATTTGTAGATTTAAAAATCGCAACAGCGTAAAAGGCATGGGTTTTGAATGCCTAGGGTTGGGTGAATGGAAAGCTATAATTAATAGACCTGGTAAACACGGAAATCAAGTGCAAGATATGAAAATTTGCATAAATTGCTAAGACCGGGTCGGGGACGACTTTGAAGTGTCGCCACCGCTTTGTCTTTAGGTTTACATTACAAATTAATCCCTTATACTTGTTTACCATTCAAGATATGTTTATTTTAGAACTACAATGCTTTTGTTTCTAGCTTTAGTTTAAAAGAAGTAATTTTCAAAACGTCTTAGCTCCAGATGTTATATAATTTGGTTCAAAATATTCTATTATAAATTAAAAACTCAGGAACAAGATACTTTTTGTTAATCATTCAACAGTCAATTATAATAATAATGATTTTATTTTTTAATTTATGTTTTGAAAAAGAAACTAAATCTGTAGTACTATTTTGGAATACATAAAGTGGTTTAATATTACCTACTTAAATAAGATTCATTCCTAACATTATTACAGACAATAAAGGAGAAAAATATTTTTAAAAACTAGCTTGGAAACCTAGTTGCCCAGGTTACTCATGCTTACCCTCACTTGGTTGTAAATTACTCATCTTAGAATCTCAAAACTAAGCTAAGAACATTCTCTTGGGTTTCCCGAGTTCCACAATTTGAGGCAAATCGGTCAGGGAGTTCCTGAGTTATGATCGGACAAACAAACAGGCAGACAGATAAACATGGAGATTACAACTTTGAATAATCTTTCTTTTTTATCATCGTTTTACCACTCAGGGTATAGAAGCGGGAAGAGCTTTAATTAAGGCTTGGGCATGTTTAGACTTTTTTAAAACCATTTTTAAACAATTAGTTAAAAACGAAAAGAACCAACATTTCAATTAATTTGAATAGTCACAAACTGAATATTCCTTTCAGTGAATGGGTTAACGATAAAAATTAATTAAAGATCGCTATACTATGAATATCTTAGAAACTGTTAACAGTGCCAGCCGTTAATGATTATGTAATGTAAAAATTAATGTAAAAAAGCATCTAATAATATATTTTGTGCGATTTTAAGCATAAAAATGAACCGTTGTGTTTCGTTCTTTTATCATTTTCGTTCGTTATAAGATTTTAAAACTAACGGTTTTGTCATTTGTTTACTAAACATTCCATTTTCACGGCCTGCAGTTCGTTAACGGAACAATGCCCAGTCCTAGGAAGGGGAGAATTCTAAACATATATATTGCTATACTCTTCCTTCCTTGATCAGAAATAAACCAATCAACGGCATGTTTGGGAAGCTTAGTCTTGCATACTGATTACACTCTTAAATACATCCTTTCCTAATTGGTTAGTACAGGGTGACTCACAAAGAATGAGATTTTAATGACGACCAACGACACTCTCTCAAAATGGGGTTTAGACAAATTTGGCCTGTAAAAAAAACAAGTTTAAAGCTTTAGAAAACCATCCTTTGTTTTCAAAATGTTTTTTTATTTACTTTCCAGAGAACTCACAGAAATAAAAAAATATTTTCAATTCATTATCTTATTTCGGGAGTATTCGGAATTTTCGAGGAATATATGCAAGATCAGCTGAGTTATGTTCACTCTGTATACTAGCGTACACTACAGTTTTTAGGCAATTTGATCATCATTTAAAAGATAAACACACAGTGACACAGGGATAATGATCAGTCTAAGGTTTAAAGGGTACCATAGTAAATTGGGTATTTCTCTCTTTGCCTTGAAAAGTTGAACTTGGGACATGTATCACACTCCATTAGCTCTACTCAAAATCATAGAGAGTGGAGGGGGGGGGGATTTCAAAATTTCAAAAATTCATTAACAATAAATAAACTTCTACGATACAAAAAATAACAGATTATTATGAGAAAGAAGGTAAGTTATATAGTTTTTAAACGTATTAAAATTCAATTTTGTTTATTATATTTTAATTCAGGATGAGGAAAAAACAAGGAAGGATAATGACAACCCTGTATTAATCAAGAAAGATATAAAATCAAAAATAAAGAACGGAAAACTAACAAAGGTTGGAAAACACAATTAACAATAAATATAACGACCTGCAGACGTGGTCGATCGGAAAAACAAATTTAAAAATTCTGAGGGATTTCGTTGTATTTATATTTATTTTGATACTATATGAACTACCAGCTCAAGTGCCCGGTGTTGCCCCTGGAAATGACTTTTGAAAGGGAAAAAAAGATTTTTTAAAAAATTAAATTTTGAACGAACAAAATTTTGATTTTTAAAAAAATTAATTAAATTAAAAAATAAATGCCAGCCCATTCGGTCTAGCCGTTTGGCCAGCTATAAATAACATACAAACAAATATTTATCTAAATGAGCAAAATGCTTTATCATTATTGTCGATGTACATTTTATATATACAATATTTAAATATACTTCAAGAATCTAAAGAAAATGTCTAATTTGGAAAAAAATTCTACTTTTTGTAAAATTCAGTTAAAAACTTGTAAAGCAACATTTGAAAAGTCAACTGAAACTTAAGTGCTATTTAAAGCTATTCCGAATCCGTCAGGGGGGGTGCAAAGGTCATGACCCCCCCCCCTGTAACCGCCCCTAAAAATGCATTAGTGGATTTACAAAAATAATTAGAATTGAACATTTTCAGAGGCTAAAGTCATATGATCCTACAAAAACGTGTTTGCTTGCATCGGTTAAGATGTGCTGGCGTTTATCGGATGCAAGGAAAACATTTTAATCGAAATTTTTGAAGGGAAATAATTTTGTCTTTGCCACAAACTCAAATTTGTTCATCCCTATTTCTTTGCAACTTGATGATGGAACCCATTGATATTTCATACTTAGATTGTTTGATCTACCAGAATGTAAACTTTGAAATATATTCTAAAGTTACAACTTTGTGTCAAGAAAAGATAGGGATTAGAAAATTAAAATTTGTGGCAAAAACTCCTTTTTTATTTCGACCTTCCATAGACCTTCCCTGGGCCTGATTGGTTTAAAACCGTTTTAATATTTATTGGATACATATACAGACAACTACAAGCCAAATATATAAAATATACATGAATACATAGATTTTAATATTGTAGAATGAGATTGACACAGAAGAGAAACCTAACAAAAGATCTACAAAACTTAAATCCGTCGGAAATACAAAGATGACTAAAGGTGATATTTAATTGATTATCAATTAAGGAATTATTTTTGTATTTTTTTTTGCATTCACAATTTTTACCATAACGGATATTTAATGAATGTAAAGTTTAATATTATAACTTTCGTTATTTTAAAGTTCTAAGCTTTTAATTGTGTTGCTCTATCTGTGAGCATTTTCTCTTTGTACAGTATAAAACAAACAAAAATAACTAAAAAATGTTGCAGATTTTTTTATATTTTTTCGCGCATTTAAATAAATTTCACAAAAATAAAAGCTTTCGGAAAGAACTTTATGTAATTCTGAGCATCAATAAACCCTTTCCTGCAGATCATGCAAGGTCCCACACCAATTTTGGGCCAGATCAGTTCAGCCGTTTTGACGCTTATTTGATACAAACAGACAGACAAGCAAAGTATATTTATAGAATATAGATAGATAGATAGCCAATTATGACCCGGGTAGAATCAATCCAAGTATAGTGCAGGGTGGGACCGAAACGAATTTATTTTAGCTATCATAATCCCTGACATTCTAAGATAGCAATGAACTCTGTGAGCTCTAACCCCAAACTATTGTTAACCATGCAATGTTCTCCCCATACTTCAAGAAAATAATTCTATAAAAGCTTTTTTGAAGAAATTCTAATTCTCTCTTTGGAATTAAAAATTTTAATTTCTAACAACGCACTGACGAAACTCTTATAAATAATACTATTATCTATAACTGGGCAAGGTTCTGTTGACAAGATGTAGTTTTTTAAATTAACGGAACATGCACGTTTGCGAACGTCTCGACCGAAAATAACCGTTAATGATAAAAACAAATAGAACAAGAAATAACGAACGGGTACTTTTTTTTTAAATAACGGCAAAATTCGAAAATTTGTTTGCACTGAATTTGCTTAAATTAATGTTTTTAGTAGGGTTTCCACGAAATGGCTAACTCTTTCGCGCAAATTTTTTTTTTGCGAACTTTTGCGCTATTTTTGCACATGAAACGCAATGAGTTTTGCGCTATTTATTTGCGCAAAACCGGAAATATTTTTTGCAAAAGCTGCGCATGAAACGAAATGTAACTTTTTAGGCAAATTGTCAAAAATTGATATTCTATGCATAGAATTAAACAACTGAAGATTTATTCCATACATAAAAAAAATATTAACATACGAGTATGATAACGATTATAATACACTCAATTGGTTACTTCCAGTTACAAAAAGTTTAAATTAAGGGACCAAAATTAATATAATAGAAATTAGAGAGTGTGAAACTTGGCAATATTTTAATCCTATTAAATAATTTCAAGTGACCCTTAAAAGCGTTGCCTAATCAAGTATGAATTATATTCTTAAATTTGTTTAATCAAATTTCTGAAATCTTTTTAATCTCATATAAAATAATGCAAGAAAGTAACCAATGCCTGAAGAATCCACTTTTAGGAAATATGCATGTACAAAACTAAAATTGTCGAGAAAATTGTGAGATTTGAACTCTTCTTAACTGTCATTGGTCAATTATGTAAAAGTGACCAATAGGAAGACATTCCAAAACAAGATTTTTCCAGAATTGAATTCTAAGAAACACACACGTTTGATTTTTACAAAATTGCAGGATTGCGAAAAACTCTGGTTGCGGAATTACGCAAAACTTGAGTTTCGCAAAACCGGAATAGGGCAATTTTGCGCGAAATGAATTTTGCGAATGATTGCGCAAATTGTTGTTTTTTCGCGCAAAACTGATGCGAAAAGAAATAAACATTTTGCGTTTCGTTCCGCAAAAATTGCGCAAAAGTTTTTCGAATGGAAACCCTAGTTTTTAGCATTAACTGTTTTTTCTATATTATGCTTAGCTTAAATACTTATTTCTTTAACCACAAGTTCCCCTTTTCAGAGATAGAAGAAAAACTCGAGTTAACAAACTAAAAAATCGTTAACAGTGAAAGCAGGAATTAGCTAAAAATTAGTTTAGAATTAGATTTGTTAAACTAAATCTATTATAATAATACTTTCGCCATAGGTGGCCAAACAACTGAACCAAATTGATTGAACCTTTTTGAGGGAATCCATCCCGGGGATAACATATGCAAAACAAATGTTTGAATTATTTTTAATTCCTCGGGCAACGCCACGCCGGGTAATTTAGCTTTACAGACAAAGCGCGGGTAAACGGCAGGAGTAACTATGAGCAACTTTAGCTTATAGTATGTAATGTTAAATTTACACGTTTCTCTTTAACTAGAAGAAGATGTCAGACCAAAAGAAGAAATTGTAGTGGAGACTTTTAATTCTTTAAAAGGTAAGTTCTGATTATGTTATACAAGGCTTCCAATTAGGGTTTGCAGCGAATTAAACGTTTCGCGAAAAAATGCGAAAACTTTCGTTCATATTTCGCAAATTTTTTCGCGAATTTCCGCATTTTTTCGCGAAAATGAATGAAGCAAAAATGCGAAAACGAAATGTTCGAGAAAATTTTGCATTTTGCGAAAACCTTAGGTTTCGCATTTCGCAAATATTTTGCTTTTTTAATTCCCAATTTTTTGAGAAATTTTCGCATGTTTTGCGAGCGAACGAATGCAAAAAAAAATTTCCCAAAAAATGCAAAATTTTCGCGAAATTATTTTTCATTTTCGCTGCAAACCCTACTTCCAAGGCGCTCTGCATCCATTTTAATTAACAATTTTTTAAATCGTCGCTCTTCAAACATAAAATTTTCTTAGTAAATCAAATTTCGAGGATTTTCCTGTTAAACTTTGCATTTTCAAAATAATAAATGTCGAGATATTTTTCTTTACAAAAATTGTCATCTTTGAAATTGTTTAAAAATCCATAAACCTTTAACTATTTAGATTGTAAAAGAGACTAAGATAGGTTCAACTATCATGTTTATATTTTATAACAGATCAAGATATAATTAACTATCATGTTTAAAGTGTATCAATATAGGTTTAACTATCTTGTTTAGATTGTATAACAGACCAAGATAGGTTTAACTATCATGTTTACATTGTATAACAGACCAAGATAGGTTCAACTATCATGTTTAGATTGTATAACAGATTAAGATAGGTTTAACTATCATGTTTAGATTGTATAACAGACCAAGATATGTTCAACTATCATGTTTAGATTGTATAACAGACTAAGATATGTTTAACTATCATGTTTAGATTGTATAACAGACCAAGCTAGGTTCAACTATCATGTTTAGATTGTATAACAGACCAAGATATGTTTAACTATCATGTTTATATTGTATAACAGACCAAGATATGTTTAACTGTCATGTTTATATTGTATAACAGACCAAGATATGTTTAACTATCATGTTTAGATTGTATAACAGACCAAGGTATGTTTATTTGTCATGTTTAGATTGTATAACAGACCAAGATATGTTCAACTATCATGTTTAGATTGTATAACAGACCGAGATATGTTTAACTATAATGTTTATATTTTATAACAGACCAAGATAGGTTTAACTATCATGTTTAGATTGTATAACAGACCAAAATAAGTTTAACTATCATGGTTAGATTGTATAACAGACCAAGATATGTTCAACTTTCATGTTTAGATTGTATAACAGACCAAGATAGGCATAACTATCATGTTTAGATTGTATAACAGATTAAGATAGGTTTAACTATCATGTTTAGATTATATAACAGACCAAGATAGGTTCAACTATCATGTTTAGATTGTATAACAGACCAAGATAGGTTTAACTATTTGTTTAACTTCTATTCTAAATGGGTTCCTAGTCAGGTAACTATTTTTTTCTAAAATAAAATGATATTTTGTTAGACTTCAGAGACACTTGTTCAAAATGTAATTAGTGTTTGTTCCTACATTTTTAGAATTTGAGGCTGTCAATGAAGTCTCATTGTTGCTGCACACTGTACAGTACGTACATTATATTTCAGGATAATGCTGGCTGTATAACACTGCCACAGCTGAGTAAATGGTTAAAGAATGCTGGGATTATAGACGGAAGAAAGGTTGGTAATTCACATTTAACTCTTAAAACTGGGATGGGGGGGAGGGAGGGGTCCCCGGGGGGGTATGAAACTTTTGTTGTGTATGCTTGATTTTCTTTTCTGATGAAAAGTTATATAAAGGAATTGAGTCTTTGTCACAAACTCTGATTTTCTAATTCCTATATCTTTGCAGTCCAAAGTTGCAGACATTTGATATTTCAAACTATGACTTCTGTTAGATCAAATAATATAAGTTTGAAATATCAAAGGTTTACGACATTGGGTTCAAAAGAAATAGGGATTAGAAAAACAGAATTTGTGGCAAGGACTCAATTCCTTTACTTATTTGTTTGTTTGTGAGTGTTTAATTATGTTTCTAAAATTACTTAGTGACGTTTATTCTAATTTGGTTTATAAACGAGAACACTAAAAATGTTATAAAATATTTTCTAAAAAGCGTTCTTTAAAAATCACTAAACCTTGTTGTTCGATCGATGTAGATACTTTTTGAGCAATTATAATGAAATTTTCCATTTCCAAGAAAACTTAAATTTGTGTACATAAATGAAGGTTAATTAAATGTGCTGATTGACCTAAACAATTTGTATTTTAGGGTTTCTTTCATTTGAAGAAATATGGTAACCAAATTTTTCATTTTTATTTCTACTGTTCACAAAACTTCCCTGGAGTCATTTTAGGTCCTTTAATCAATGTGGACTGATTAGTTATCTCATTTTGTAAAAGTGTATTAAAGATATACAAAAATTGTTGTAAAGATAATAATTGTAATCATTTTCCCTGGCAAAATTGTTCTATTTTAATTGCCATAAATCTTCCAATTGGGGTCATGTGAGTTCAGCTGTTTTGACGTTTATTGAATACATACAATGAGAGATGGGCGAGTTCGTTCAGAACAATTTTTCGTTCAATAAATCTTTCTTTCAGTAGACAAAAACGATAGTGTTTTAAATAGTTTGTTAAAAAACTCATTTGTTTAGTAGTAAAACTATCGTGTTTTTAAAGTTTGTGGACAGTTCAGTAAAAAATAACTTTTTTTTTAAATTGCTATGTTTCGTTCAGTAGAAAAACTATCGTTCTTTCAAGTTCGTTCGAACGGCATTAACTTGTATGTTTTATTGCTTTATTAGTTTTTTTTTTCTCTGAACTATCTAAGTAGTTCGTTTTGCGTACATCGTTCGTTTTTTTCTTAACGATCCAATCGTTCAAGAAAACCTTCGTTTGTTATTAAAAATATCGTTTGTTTAATTAAACGATGGCCATCTTTACATACAAACGGACAGATAAGCCAAATTATATATAGATATATGTTGTCTATCTTTAGATATTAAAGATATAATTTCTGGTTCAGTTGACAAATATAGAAGTGGCGCAATTCTTCAATATTCAAGTTGGAGCTGGGAGCTCTTTACCCAGGACAGGAGTAGTTAGGTTTATACAGGTAAACATGGTAAACTTGATAAACATGGTAAACTTGATAAACATGGTGAACTTGATAAACATGATAAACTTGATAAACATGGTAAACTTGATAAACATGGTAAACTTGATAAACATGGTAAACTTGATAAACATGATAAACATGGTAAACTTAATAAACATGGTGAACTTGACAAGCACGGTAAACTTGATAAACATGGTAGACATCGCAGTTTCTTACGGCAGCATTAGTGTGGTTTCATAAAGTTTTAATGTAGTTTAACATAATTTTAATGTAATTTAACACAGTCTTTAATGTAGTTTTAAAGGGGTTTAGTGTAGTTTTCATATAGTTCAATATAGTTTCAGTGTAGTAAAGAAAAGTTATCAATGTTGTTTAACACAGTTAAAATGTTGTTTAACACTATTAAATATTTTTTAATACTGTTTCCGTGTAGTGTCATATAGATAAAATATAATTATAGCTTCATTATAGTTTAACACAGTTTTAATGTAGTTTAACATATTATTAATGCAGTTTAACACAGTATTAGTGTAGTTTAACACAGTTTTATTGTAGTTTAACACAGTTTTAATGTAGTTTAACACATAGTTTTAATGCAGCTTAACACAATATTAATGTAGTTTAACACGTATTAGTGCGTAGTTTAACACAGTTTTATCGTAGTTTTATTGTAGTTTAATATAGTTTTAGTGTATTTTAACATACTTAATGCAGTTTAACACAATATTAATGAAGTTTAACCCCGTATTGGTGTAGTTTAACACAGTATTCATGTAGTCATAGTTCTAGTGTATAATTTGAAATAATTTTAACGTTTTAATGTCATAGTTTAATGCTTCTTATTTTGAGTGTACTTGATTGTAATTGATGTCTGAATTTGTAAAAAAAGGTATTATTAATTAGATGCTGAGTAACAAAAAAGGAAGAAAGAATGAATCCTGGAAAATGAAATTGGTTCAGGTAAATTTTAAATTCTTATAGAACAATAAAAATTGTTATTTCACAATAAACCCTCCCCCGCCCCCCTGCCTACAAAAACCTTGTTCAGTGAGAACTAGAAAACTGTGGAATAGAAAGACGACATTAAAGCAAAATTTAAAGAGTATTTGATGTTTGTGCAAATAATTATACTAGCAGCAGTGACATTTTCAGTGCATTAAGCACACTTATTGTATCTTATGTACGTTGGACAATTTAAAATCTTAACTTGAGTCTCAAAGTCGTCTTCTACAGTGGTTGGCAATTATATCAATACAATGAAGACGACTTTCGAATTCAATTTTGATTTAAATTACGCTGCTAAACAACATGGATACACAGAAGACATAAAGTCAAGAGAATTTATCATCCAAAAAAGCTTCTCTTTGATTACATGTAAATTTTTAATACGAAAAAGACTTGTTAACAATCAAACTTAGATAAAAAAGTCGTCTTCATTCTAGCGATATAATCGCTTACCACCGTAATAGTTTTCATGTTTTCACTGTGAACGTCCTGCTCATTATAATACTTATTTATGAAAAACACACATTCGATCTAACCAGACGTTTTTGTAGGACATAATCGAGGATTCTGACTGCGCTAAAGATTAGAGATTGGATCAATAAACTACATCACTTAAAACATTTTTTTTTCGAAAAAAAAGTTTACAAAGTGCTTTATCTATTTTGACCAATATCTAAATTTTAACTCTGGAAAGAAAACAATTATATAATTTATTATACAAGATGTATAAATTATATAATTTACTATACAAGATGTATAAATTATATAATTTATAATAAGGAGAACATTTTAACTGAAAGTGCATCTTTTTGTAGTGAGACTCTAGTTAAGATTTTAAATAGTCCAAATAACATGAAACACAGCATTTTTTACTTATTAATGGATTTTTAAGCTTCTAAATAATACTTATTTGCAATTGTAATGAAATTAAATACACTTAATTTTTCCTTTCTTCCTATTCCACAGGTTTGTGGTTCTACAATGAAACCCATAATAACGAATACATCGGAAGAATTTATCAAATGTCGTCCTGACAATATATCAATGAGTTTTATACTATATTACGTAAATTTCAGTATTTGCGAAAATAAATAAATAGCCATGAATATGCGGGAACAGTTTTAAAGAGTTCCATATAATCATTTAATTAAAAAACTAAATATCTGCAACATTCCATTATCAGAAAGTGAAGAATACGACATTTGATGAATTCTTTCGATGTATTCGTTATTAAGGGTTTCACTGTAGCTGTAGAGTAAAAAATGCGATTTATTTTTTATCATTTGATTGATATTAAATGAATTTTGATTTTTTCATTCAATAATACTGTGCTTTTTAGTTCAACCTCCCATTCTTTTCGGTCATTTCCTTTAAAACGATATCTGTAATCTATATGAAAAATTGAATCGTAAAAAGAAATATAACAATTTTGTTTGCATAATTACTCTGTAATAGTTATTTTTGTTGTTTTCCCCCATCGATCGAATCTCGGAATTTTTCTATTTCGAAAGTTTGGTGTTGTAGGGGTTTTGTATTGATCTGTCTGTCTGGCAGCACGTCCATCCGTCCACGCTTCATTTATTCTGAGAAGAGGGCTGACAAGATTCCAGCTGCCTAAGGAGTAAGGGCTTCTTGGGCCAGAGAATAGCAGAGTGTAGGAATCCTTCTGATATACTGGAATGAGCCCCGAGTGTCTTACAGACAGGAAACATGACACTCATTGCTCCCAATCATTTGTAAGCCCGGATTGGATACCCCCAAGTACCTATATCTGGCAACCATATAGACTCTCCCTGCTTGTCAACTTTTCCTTTCTTCATCTTCATTCACTTGGATCAATCCATTTCAAGCTTCTTTCTTGTAAGAGAAAAAAGCACGCACCTTTCGCTGCGAGAGATTTTGATAGCCGCCCCTCTGTCCTCCTACATCCGTCAGGTGGTCATAACTACTTAACCAATTGCTGGCTTCAGATGATTTTGAAACCACAGGTTTAGGAGGAGTGCGGGAATCGAACCCGTGAACACCAATCGGGATACCAATCCAGTTCCTGGCTGTGAACAAGTGTGCTTAACTTCAGTGATCTAACGAGAACTGGTGTCACACACTAGCCATGCTACCATGGACAGTAAACTTTCGCTATGAAAGCCAACCCAATCATGTTAATTTTTTAAACCAATCTGACATTCAAAATCAAAATTTGCGTTAAATCGGTCAAGGGGTCTATGAGTTATGATTGGACATACAAACAAACAAACAGAGATAACTCTGATTTTCTAGTCCCCTATATTTTTGCTACTCAACGTAGCAGACGTTAGATATTTCAGACTGTGAATTATGTTAGATAAGATAATCTAAGTTCAAAATTTCAAAGGTGTACATCATCAGGTAATAAAGATATAGGAATTAGAATATTTCAGTTTGTAGCACAAACTCGATTCTTTCGAGTGATGAGATAATCTTAGTGTATTTACGCATTTAGTTCTTAGCTGTATTTTTGAAGGGGAAAAACGCAACAAATATGTTTTCCTCGCAAATGTCGCCTCTCTTTCAAATTGACAAACAATTATTATTTCTTCGAGACAAAGATAATTTAGCCCAATCTTAATACTTTAATAGAATATATCGGCAACTGTCAAGGAATTAGTTTGATGTCTAAAATTGTTATGGCGTATGCTCTTCATGCAGGGTAGGCTCTCAACTCACGACATTGACTTTTATGATGAGATAATCTTAATTGTTTCGTAATACTGAATTCCTAAATTAAAAAAAAAGTTAGTTTAGTCGTGAACACTTTCTTTAACTGCTCAAAATCTTCTTTTAAATATTTTGTTTTCCTTAGCTGACTTCTTCTGTAAAAATATTTCTGGCTAAAAGACTTAATTCAGATTTCATTTTAATCAGTTTCTAGATTTCTTTTGTTGGCTTATATTGAACGCACTTTATCACAATCATGAAGTTTTTCTATTTTTAAAGGGACTGTATGCTCAATATTATGCGACCTTCAATTTCAAATTTCTAATACTTGTTTATCTATATTAAAATAAAAAATTTCCATTTGTGGTTTATTGTGAAAGTAACTTTTGTGGATTTTAGGATCAGGGTCAAAGTAGGAAATTGCCAAAATTAAGTACTTTCCCATGGATGATAAACCTACGTTATCCTCCTTATGCCAGATAAAGGGTAAAGGGGTTGTAAACAGAGCATGCAATTCTTGTATTCAGGGGTAATTGAAATTACTCCTACAGTCCCTTTAAAGGAAAGTTGCTTTCAAACAACTTTTGTGCTTTAGACCGGCAAGTATATTCAACCATCACAAAGGTTTTCTTAAAAATAGAAAACTAGTTTCAAAATTAAATATAAATGTGAGAAACTTTTGAAACCAAATATTCTATTTTATTTTGATTAACTATTTCTGGAGAAACCCTACAGTGTCGTGACATCCTTTTTTAAAAATTAAAATGTACAGTATTATATTCATTTTATCCCTTTACGACTCTAATTGCGTGGGATTCAGAATCTAATGGGTGCCAAGGAAGGTTTAAAAACATGTAAGTCTTAAAAATACTTTTTTTGACAAATTTTGTAATGGGCTATTTAAATAAGGCCTTTCAACCGTCGTCATCCTAGTAAGCTGCCCTATGCATTAAAAATAGCATTTAAATAGCTTTTTCCTAAACGCCCAGAAGTTTCAAGGAGAAATTTATTTGTACATTTTTATGTATGGTCCATTTGAGGATTAATAAAAATTACTGCAATTTTTGTCAAGCCAATTCTCCTAAAATATAAAAACGTGTTAAGAATCTGAATTCGGAAAGAAATATTCATAAAAATGACACGTGTTTAAAATGTTTCTTTTTTGTGAGTGGGAATCAAACTTTAACTAATTCCTACAACTCTGTAAATATGAAAACTAATATGTTTTTGATTTTTGTTCTTTCAGATTTATTCACAGTTAAGATTTACTAACATGCTTACATACATTTATGGTGTAGTTTAAATGCGTTAAAAAAAATTGAATAGTAGTTTATTCACAATTAAGATTTACATTACAATATACATCAATTAATAGTGTGTAGTTCAAAGTTTAACATTTTTTAATATCGTAGGCGACATGCATTGATTATTACTCAACAATACAATAAATACATACATTTGTGTCAGAACACACATAATCGTGTTCTAAATGACTTGCAAAGAAAAATATTTTCCCTTGAATATAACGATAACTGAATGAAAAATATTTTTCCCTTGAATATAACAATAACTAAATGAAAAATATTTTTCCCTTGAATATAATGATAACTGAATGAAAAATATTTTTCCCTTTAATATAACGATAACTGAATGAAAAAAAAATTTCCTTTATTTTAATGATAACTGAATGAAAATATTTTTCCCTTTAACATAACGATAACCAGATGAAAAATAAATCCAGACGTCTCATCTTTTGTGGGTAACCCTGTGTAATGTAAATGTCAACAACCCCTTTTTTCATTCACTGAAATGCAGCCATAAAAGCTCATGAATACCTTCATAAAGGTTGATATTCTGCTAGAAATATGAACTGAATTATCTGCTAATCTAATATCTTCTATAGGTTGATAATCTGCTAGAAATATGAACTGAATTATCTATTAATATCTTCCGAAGGTTAATAATCTGCTAGAAATATGAACTGAATTATCTGCTAATCTAATATCTTCTAAAGGTTGATAATCTGCTAGAAATATGAACTGAATTATCTGCTAATCTAATATCTTCTAAAGATTGATAATCTGCTAGAAATATGAACTGAATTATCTATTAATATCTTCCGAAGGTTAATAATCTGCTAGAAATATGAACTGAATTATCTGCTAATCTAATATCTTCTAAAGGTTGATAATCTGCTAGAAATATGAACTGAATTATCTGCTAATCTAATATCTTCTAAAGATTGATAATCTGCTAGAAATATGAACTGAATTATCTATTAATATCTTCTATAGAAGGTTAATAATCTGCTAAAAATATGAACTCAAGAAATTATTAATATCTTCTATAGAAGGTTGATAATCTGCTAAAACTATGAACTGAATTATCTATTAATATCTTCTATAGAAGGTTGATAATCTGCTAAAACTATGAACTGAATTATCTATTAATATCTTCAATAGAAGGTTGATAATCTGCTAAAAATATGAACTGAATTATCTATTAATATCTTCCAAAGAAGGTTAATAATCTGCTAAAAATATGAACTCAAGAAATTATTGATATCTTCTATAGAAGGTTTATAATCTGCTAAAACTATGAACTGAATTATCTACTAATATCTTCTATAGAAGGTTGATAATCTGCTAAAAATATGAACTAAATTATCTATTAATATCTTCTATAGAAGGTTGATAATCTGCTAAAAATATGAACTGAATTATCTACTAATATCTTCAATAGAAGGTTGATAATCTGCTAAAACTATGAACTGATTTATCTATTAATATCTTCTATAGAAGGTTGATAATCTGCTAAAAATATGAACTGAATTATCTACTAATATCTTCAATAGAAGGTTGATAATCTGCTAAAACTATGAACTGAATTATCTATTAATATCTTCTATAGAAGGTTGATAATCTGCTAAAACTATGAACTGAATTATCTATTAATATCTTCTATAGAAGGTTTATAATCTGCTAAAACTATGAACTGAATTATCTACTAATATCTTCTGAATGTTGATGATCTGCTAGAAATGTTTTCAAGGAATTCAATGAATCCAAAGGTGTATTTATGAAGTAATTTTCAATCCTAAAAAAAGTTTTTTTATTAAAAAATATAAAATGTTATCTTTATTTAAAACATTTGTCAGCTTGACATATTAGCAGAGCAGACAGAAATTTAAAAGTTTTCCGACATTCGGTTGCAAAGATATAAGTTTGTTGTAAGTTTTTAGTTCCCTTAAAAACGGCAGAACAGCTACTTAAGTTCTTGTAAGAAAAGCCATTAAGAAATGTTTCTTTTAAGTTGGTGTTCAGATGAAGATGGGATAAAAAATAATCTCTTTTAACAATTTCAGATGTTATTTCTTTACATTCTAAAAGAATAAAGAAAAACTTTTTTCTTAGAATAAATAAAAAAATGTTACCCCATCCCCAGGTTAAATATAATACTGCAAATTACACACCTCTATCTTGCAAATATGTATTGTTTAGATGCAACAAAAAAATGTGGAGATTTGAATTCCCATCAATACTGCATGTTTCCGAAAAGCAGTGCAATTAACCCCATGCCAATCTTGTTAATAACAGTGCAACAAACCTGGCCATTGCTTCCAATCTTTTCAATGAATACTTTATAATAATTTACCTAGGATATATATATGTGTTGTGAGTCTCAATAGGATCCTGCACAAAATGGTTTAATTAAAAAGATGGTTGCTAAATATGGACAAATTGATATCATTTTTATCCAATTTTTTATGAATCAAAATTAATGCGAAACCGTTTCCATGCCAAAAAAAAGGTTAAATTAAAATCTAAAATATCATGGTTCAATTCTTATAACAACTAGCTAAATAATTTTTAATCTGTAAAATAATTTTGCGGATTTAACAAAAAAATTGACTTCTATTTATATTTGTTCACACTTCAGAAATATTGATTGTATAGAAGGCTTGACTTTTGTTCTTCAAACTTTCATTCAAAGTTATTGTGCCTTAAAATTAGAACAAAAGCATAGTATGCGTTTTTAAAAATATTGGAACTATCTATTAATTAACGAACACAAAGATTAGGACGGTTCTGGACTGGGATGGAACAATTGGAAAAAGAACGAACGAGTCCCCTTAAAAAAATAGGAACATGTCCAGTTCCATGTCTTAACTCAGTTAGTACAATAGATATTTATTGAATGATAATTCCACTGTCCACTAAATACTACTATATCTTTGGTCAGTGTACTGCAAATTACTGCAGAACTCACCAAAAGATTAGTTGAGGGTGATCTTAGCTTAGACTTCTGCCGCTTTGTGCGTGCATTAAGACAAACACAGGAACCATCTGGACCTGCCCTGTTTGCATCAAAAACCTCACTGCAAGAGCCATTTCAATCCAATGCTCCTCCTACAGTAATTGGCTCCACAGATCATAGAAAATTCCAAACAAGGACTGGTCCATGTTGCCAACCCCAACCTCCAGCCCCTCCTCCACCATCAAGACCACAACCATCCCCTGCTCCCCCACAGTTACAAACAAAACCTTCAACAGCCCATCCTCCTAACCAACAATATCATCAAGACCTGTACATACTCCAAATAAATATAAATGAAATCCAAAACAAACTAGACGAACTTCTCCACTACATGGAGAAAAACAAAATACATATTGCTGCTATCCAGGAAACAAAACTCACTTCAAAATCAAAACTAAGATCAACTCCAAATTTCACACTGATTAAAAATGATCAAGATAAATACAAAGGAGGAGTTGTTGCCTTTCTCATACACAACCACATCCCATTCCATCAAGTTCGCTGTCCTACTAGTCCCTCACCTAGAGGAATTAACTATCTCTAATGCTAGTTCAAACTCTACACTCTTAATAAGAAACCTCTTCATACCTCCAACTAGTAGTTGCTCACAGGGATACACTATGCCCTCAAACCAAATATATGACGATCTAAATGATAAATCCATCATCTTAGGAGATTTTAATGCACACCACCAGCTTTGGCACTCACTAGCTCTAGTAGGCTTCAGAGGCAAACTCATTGCAGACACACTCTCAGAAGCTCCCTTTGGAGTTTATCTAGCACCTCATCAACATGGTTTTAGGAAAGAACACTCCACAGTTACGGCCCTCGAAGAGATCTCAGATCATGTTACCAAGGGTATTAATAGGCAAAAACCTGCACAGTGCACATAGTACTTTTGCAGTAGCCATTGACCTCTCACACGCTTTTAATACCGTAAATCATGAGATCCTCATCACTGAGATATCCAAACTTGAATTGAACGGCCATTTAAAACGGTTTCTGTCTGGCTACCCACGAGGTAGGCAAACTTATGTCCTATTCTGTGACCAAAAATCAAACTACAGGAAAATGAAACAAGGAGTACCCCTGGATACACCTAGTTTCATTCGAATTATTCCTACTGTATACGACTCAGACAGGAGTCCAGACTGTGGACAGAGCCCTCATACAACAACCCACATTTTTAACTGCCCAGCAAAGCCGACTACCATGACTGCCAGATCCATCTTGGACAACCCTATAGACATGGCCATCCATCTAGGACTTAAGACTGGCCAAGAGGATGATTCAGTATATGAAGGACTACAACAACAACAGGGTGATCCACTTTATTTATTCAATTCAGGAAAATCTGCCAAATTGTTGCAATGACACATGAGGGAAAAAAAACTTCTTTTATCAGTTTCCGTGAAAATCAAAAATGAATCATTTTAATCATGATAAGTAAATTTATGTTATCAACCTACTCACCTTTTTTCAAAAACAAGTTCTTCAAAAAAACAGGATAAAATTTGGCGGACTTGGATATTTTTTTTTCAAGTTTTATACAAATTAAAAAGTAAAATTCTATTAGAAATTAGAATGTTTATTTAAAACAAAGGAACTGTATACATTCGCCACAATCTCTTAACTCTAAGAGCTAAACCATGAAGGGGTCCAAGGGAGAGGAATCCACCCACCCCCTACCCATTTCTATATGTGACAAAAAAAGTAGTGGGGCTAATATTGGGATTTTTGTTTAAAAAGAAAATAAAAAATTCTGAATTTGTTGAAAAATCTTCTGATTATTTATTAAACCAGACCAGAATTTATAGTTTAAATTATAAAAGGTTTGACATCAGGTTGCAAATATCCTATTATAATAGATTATAAGATTAAGTTTGTGGCAAGTGTTCAGTTCTTTTCTCTTACCGGTTGATCCTTCTGGTTATATGCAATTATATATCCAGGTTCTTGTGTTCTTGTGGCTCCAGGTACACCCGGAGTCTTGAGAGAACCAGGATATTCAGATAAGGTTGGATACTTGGCAGAGCCTGGAGACTGGGCAGAGGTATGATACTGGTTGGAAGCTGGATACTGGGAGGCAATTTGAAACTGATTATCTGTAAGATACTGGTTACTGGCAGGATACTGGCTACCCACTGCAGGATACTGATTACTGGCAGGATACTGGTTACCCGCAGGATAGTTATTACTGGCAGGATACTGGTTTCCCGCTGCAGGATACTGATTACTGTGAGGATACTGGTTACCCACTGCAGGATACTGGTTACTGGCAGGATACTGGTTAACTGTAGGATACTGATTAGCCATTGGATACTGGTTACCTTTTGGATACTGAAAAAAGGAAGGATACTGTGAATTTAAGGGTTGTCTAACTGGTGTCTGATACCAGTTAGTATTCTGAGCAGCCCCTTGTCTATTAAGACTACCATCAACTGCTTGGAATGAGGGTTGATATGCCTGCCCTGGACTACCTCCTAGATCACCAAGCTGTACAAGAGCATCTCCTACATTCTTAACTCCAGCAATAGCAATAGATTGTCCACCTGAAAAGTGCAAACCTTACTTGAAGAGTTATTTATTTCCTGTGTAATTTGCATGTCTGTAAAGAGTCTGTAAACGTTATTTCAACTGTCAATTCACAACGGTACCCACAACAACCTTCTCTGATCAAGTATGAATTATATATCAATATTTATATTTTCTAAACTGATTAACTACAATTGTTGTTTTTCTCCATAAGTAACTTGCGCATTTCTACTGAAGGAAACCATCGAGAAAATATCAGGATTAAACACTTTAATGCTATAAAACTGTTATATTTTCCACATCATTGATCGGAGAAAGATTTCAAGGATGTCCTTGTAAATAGGGCATGTCCTTCTTTAAATGGAGGGTCACTTGAAATTACGCATACAGTTCCTACGCTTATAGAATATAGATGCAGTTTAACCCAGAACTTCGGATACATCGAAATAATTTATAAAATGTCGTATTCTAAACCAAATGATAAAGGAATGATGCAGATATATCTTTTTTCATTTGAATAATTATATGGCTATTTATGTATTTATACAATTACTGAGATTTAGGTCTAATAGTATAAAACCCATTGAAAAAATGTCAAGACGACATTCTATTAATTCTTTCAATGTTTCTGAAGTTCTGGGTTAAATTGTATGTTTATAATAGGCGAACAATCCCTTTAGGCCTCATCCTCAACAAAGCTTTCGGTATGTACTGCAGTGTTTTTCATTACTCTGATCGAAGAAATATTGAATTTTAGTATAGAGTGTTTAATGACTAGTTACCTGCTATAGCTATACTACCTAGCCTGCTTTAGTTATCTGCTATAAATATACTACCAGGCCCACCTTTGTTACCTGCTATAGCTATACTACCCAGCACGCCTTAGTTACCTGCTATAACTATACCACCAGGCCTGTTTTAGTTACCTTCTATAACTATACTTCCCGGCCCGCCTATAACTATATTTCCCGGCCCACGTTAGTCACCTGACATAACTATACTACCCGGCCCACTTTAGTTACCTGCTAAAACTATACTACCCGACCCGGCTTAGTTACCTGCTATAACTATACTACTAGGCCCACCTTAGCTACCTGCTATAACTATGCTACCACTATTAGGCCCGCTTTATAGTTACCTGCTATAACTATACTGCCCGGTCCGCCTTGACTAGATGAGGTTGGTACAGACAGTGCCATCCCTCCCTTCCCTGCCAGCGCGGTACTTGTTGGTATCGACAATGCTATCCCACCCACTCCAACTATTGCGGAGGATACAGGTGCTGATTGTGCCATCCCTCCCTCGTCTGGAAATTTAAATAAAATGTCATACATATGAAATAAAAATATTAATTATCTTTTTAAACAAATTATTAATCTCGTGTTGTCTGTTTATTACTATGTACTCATAGATAAATAAATAAACATAGATAGCTTATGTACGCAAAATCACCAAGAATTGTACAGTCCGCGAACTCATACTTCTTGGAGTCAAAGTGTACTCAAATGATAAACGGGGTGGTTTGGTGTTTTAATGGAAATCATAATTATTAAACCACTCAGGAGTGAATTTTATTTTGAGAATATCAAATTATTTCTCGGAGCAATATATCATATTGACTAGAACTGAAGAAGGACATGAGAAATTTCTTTTTACAGAACGCATATACACCACAAGTACTCAATGACATAAGAACAGCCAATGTTCACAACCGACCTAGTTAATCTATATAATAGGAATATCTTTAAAACATCTCATTTATATCTTTCAAGATGAAAAATGTCGTCTTATGCGCAATCTATCTATATCTATGCATGTAATACGTTACCGATTTACCATTAAATTTTTAGCAACTCGGAAGAAAACCACGGTAAAGCTCTTAGCTTGGTTTAAGAGTTTGAGTTGAGAGGATTGGCTTATATCATGAAAGTTTAGTTTTCAGGCATATCTGGGCTCCCAAGCTAGTTATTTTATTTATTAAGTGTGAAGAGGATAATAATGTTGTCAGTTTTAAAACTAAAAATTCAGTGATGGTGATGGACCAAACCTCTGTAGAGTAAAAAAGTAGATGTTAGTTCCACATTTATTGAAAATATATTTCGGTCTGGGTTGACCCTCGTCAGTTCTTGAGATTGTTTCTTCACAAAGATTAAAAACAGATTAAAGATTAAAGATTAAAACTATTTTAAGATAATTAAATAAGACTGAACCCTGGAAATCGATTTTAGATTTGTTAGCTAACGTTTACAACACAAAACAAAATAATCCAGAATTTGTATTTGTCGTTTTTAAAGGAAGTGATTGCGATACATTTATGGGGCTAACGAATACGATGAACACTGATTAAATTAAAAATCAATATCGGATGACACGGTTCCAGCAACGACATAAAAGCATCGGGTAGAATTTAAAAAAAATATATTTTAAAATCTTTTACATTTTTCGCAAACACTCCCTTTGAATTTGACCTGCAATGGCAGCTGCTGATGGTTTACTGGCTGCTACCAGCTGTCCAGGACGAACATGAATGAATGAAATTCCATTTCCTTGGAAAAGTCCAGGAATCTTCGGGAAATTGTCCAAGGTTGCAGCAGTGGAATCAGGAGCTAGACCTGCTGGGGCATTTTCCGCTAAATCCTAAAAAGGGGATTCCAGGGATTCCAATTTTATAATTTGAAGAAAAAAATGTTGCATTTCCTAATACGTTGCATTCTTAAGAGTTGTTATTAAGGTTTATTAAAAATTAGAAAATTTGGTTCATAATTTTGCATTCTTTGCAGCTGAATAATTAGAATTTTGAAAACGCCTAATTTTTTCTGTAATTACGTTTTAACCCTATAAATAGCCCCAGGCTTTTTGTTTTTGACAAATATTAAGATGTTACACTGTTTTGATATACATTTTTCAAAAGCTTTTTAAAATTGTATTTTAGATATATCGTCTTGATAAAAAGTTAAAGGCTATTTTATAATTTGTTGACACCGACTGGCTTTTTTAACTTTATGCAATATAAGAGTATATTTTAGTTTGAAAAAAATCCTTTACATTACTGTGCCTTAAAAGTTAAAAAAATGTTAAGGTGATAATTGCAAAAATGAGAGTGCTAGTGCAAAAAAAGAGGGAGGGTGACAATGCATTTTTTAACGCTAAATAATTTTAAAAGTTCATCTTAATCTCTATAAAATTATGAATTTGCTGATTGCCTGGTTGGGAGCGGAAAATGGCCTAATTGAATACTAAACACAAGCAGAAGGAAAAATTATTCTAATGCTTCTAATGCTATTCAGAACATTTTAGTTCATGAGCTCCGAGCCTCCGAACCCCAAAATTTTCACTATTTTGTTTTTTTCTAAAACTTTAAAGGCTGTTTTTTCACCATACTGTTTTTTATTGTTTGCATTATCACTTACAAGGTGTCCCAAATCACATTAGATTGTTTATAGCATAGATAAATAACAACACTAGATGTCGTCTTTTCAAGATTTAGGGGTTCACAATAACCATGAGGCTGAAGCCCAAAAGAGTTCTGCGCAGGCAGCGCATGCTCTCTCTCTGCCTGCGCGGAACTCCTTTGGGTCTATGCCTTAGGGTTTTTGTGAACATGTGTTCTTTCTGTGGATCTATGGTTTAAATTGCGATTTTCTGGACTTATCAGAACATTTAAAAAGAATGAATCATTTTAGAATATTGTATAATTGGCTAATATAAAATGTGCATGTAGAGAATACTATGTTTTTTGTTAGCATTATGTGCGTAATTTGGCGTTAAAGCTTGGTAAAAATCCCGTGTGATATGGGACGCTCTGTAGAAACTTTTTGAAAAAAAAAGAAAGACTTTGACGTTTCTTACACCTTAAAGAATACTTCAAACAAAATCAATTCAAAATAANCCTCCAACCCACCCCTCCACTCTGTAAAATATATTTAAAAGTTACACGTATATTAAAAATATAGAAAACCTACTTGGAAACCTGAAACCGGTTTTGTGAGTTCCAGAGGAGGAATATCCAACCCTGGTTCTAGAACGTTGTTAGTTCCTGAAATATTCTGCACTGGGCTGTGTGCACCTAAGCAAAGACTTTCCTAATACAAAAGAAAAGGCATGAAAAATGTTTCCGAATATTTAATTATTTATTTTAAAAGACTAATAAAAGATTAACATTAAAGCAGTAAATTTTTAAAAGAATTTTGAAATTTGTGTAGACTGAAGTTAACAATTTATGGGGTTTTGAGTTGCGAACTGTTTAATTATTTTTTCCACTTTTTTTGACATCCTTAAACACTGAAAACTCCTGTTCATTTCGAACTACCCTACCCATATATGGGCAGGGTTATCCTCAAAGAATGAGACTTCAGAGCAAAGTATTTAGTTCTTTTCCTTGCTTTGATTATTTCTTAGCCAAATAATTTCGTACACATATTATAGATTATATTTAAGATGGAAGACCTAGCTCAATCTTTAGAACGTCCTAATTTCAGGTCTTCATTAATGTCTCATTCTTTGTGCGTAGCCCTGTACAGTATACAGACAGGCTGCAATGCTGCAATAGACAGATAAACGCGGGACGATACACTAAATTAGTCATCTCCTTTTAGAGAGGTTGATGAGAATCTTTGGAATTACTAGAAAAGACGACATTCATTGTCATCTTCTTGTATTTTTGGTTAATAAAAGAGATGGCGCGCTATCTTTATATTAGGAAATCTTTGTTCCTTGAATCTCTTCTGCTGGTCTTTGAATACCAATCTCAGGTGTTGAGATCTCCGACGGATCGAGCAGTTCTTCCTCCTGGAGCATAAAAAAACAGAATATTAATCAACATCGGCGTACACATGGAGCGGGGTAAGCAGGGAGTAAGGAATAGAAGGGAGATACAACTGATGCGGTTCACCCTACCATATGATTATACATGCTTTGCAGACGGTACTCCATTTGTATAAGAAATATTCAGAATAGGTTATTGTATACGCGGTAATTGTACATCAGACAAATATTTCTTATACAAATGAAGTACCGTCTGCAAAGCATGCAAAATCATATGGTAGGGCGAACCGCGTCAGTTATATCTCCCTTTTATTCTTACTCCCTGGGGGTAAGGCACAACCGTTTGCCAATCCATGTCACATTTTAGCTTTTTTCTCTTCCGGCAGCCATGAGCCACAACCACTTGGTCTTCTATGCCACACCATTGATGTTCCAAGGGGGGGGGGGAGGTTATTTTATCTATCGTTAAAAGATATTTGCAATTACAACGAAGTCTCTTTACAACATTTTCTTAGATATTTCTGGCTCAAAAATCGATTTTTCTATGAAAAAATGTATAAAATGGAAAACAAAAAATGTGTTTTTTTGTGTCTTTAAACCAGAAATCAGCACTTGTTGTATAAAATCTTTGGAAAGCTCGTCATTGAGGAAGGACATGCAAACAGGTCTTGTCAAACATTTAATACTTTTAAGAACATTTGAATTCGTAGTATTAGATATTATGCCTAAATTATCTAATAATAAATCCAAGTTATGTAAAAATAAAATATAACAAGACAGAATATTGGTTATGCACGAGCCAAGTGAATTAACATGCTGAATACTGAATATTAAATTAATATTTGTAGATTGTGCAGGAATGTGGAATGTAGATTTATTTATAAATACATCAATCTTGATAAGTTAATAATAATAAAAAGAAGAAGAACAAGAACAAGAAGAAGAAGAAGAAAAAGAAGAAGAAGAAAAAGAAGAAGAAGAAGAAGAAGAAAAAGAAAAGGAAAAAGAAGAAGAAGAAGAAGAAAAAGAAAAAGAAGAAGAAGAAGAAGAAGAAAAAGAAGAAGAAGAAGAAGAAGAAGAAAAAGAAGAAGAAGAAGAAGAAGAATATCAATATTAATGCATTTCATAATCCATTTCTTCGTAAAAATTTACCTTTTCGGAATAATGTTTGAATATTTTAAAATTACCCTGTGGAATAAAAATAGAAATAAAAAATGTTTAAACTAAAATTACCTGATTTTCCCCATCTTCAAGATCAATCTGCGTAGAAATATCTTAAAAATGTATTCCACGGAATCAAACATAATGTTTACGAATATTACGTCTTTTTAATGAAAAGATTGTTTTTGTTCGTTTGTTTGTTTTTGTACTTACTGAAACTTTTTAATTCAAAAGCTTGTATTTTTGTATTGCAGTTTTTTTTCTTTAGCAATCTTATTTTTGACATTATCACCTTGAAACTTGTTGACTTAAAAAAAATGGTAATTTGAAACATTTGTTTAGGGTAAAGGTAACAAAATCATAGATAGGACATTTCATATACAGGACATTTCAAAGACAGGATGAATTTTGCATAGGCAGGCAATTTCATAAACAGAGAAGAATTTTCATAGATAAGTAATTTCAAAGACACAAAAGCAATTTTTTTCAGACACAATTAAAGGTTTTAGGTATGTAAAACAATTATTATAATGCCTTTATATCTCCTCTTAATTTTTTTTTCGTTTCTTCTTTTCATTTTTCTGTCTCTTTTATCTCAGATATTGTGCCCTCACGTTCGCCCCCTCTTCTGGGGAAAAGAGGGGCACAGGCGCCTGTGCCCCCACGAAAAAATCAAAAATACATAAAAAGGGTATGATATATTAGATAAGATTATTTGGAGGAAAAAAATTAATTTATCTATGAAAAATATTCTCTGTCTATGAAATGTCATGTCTTTGAAATTTCCTGTCAATGAAATGTCTTCTATGAAATGTACTATCTATGAAATTTCCTGTCAATGAAATATCTTCTATGAAATTTCTTTTATGAAATGTCTTCTAGGAAATGTATTCTATGAAATGTCCTCTCTATCAAATGTCCTCTCTATGAAATGTCCTATCTATAAAATGTTTTTCTATGAAATGTCTTACTGTTAAATGACCCAACACCATTAAAAAAATTTAGAATGGCCCAAAACTTTCTTTATCAACCTTTTCACCGAAATTCCCGGGTTACATATAGATTCAGAACTGGGAACTTAAGAATGGGATATCCTTAATCCCGATTGGTTAATGAATCTAGAGATTAATAACAAGAGGTGAACAAGCATTATTTAATATGGAGATTAAGAAAAAAGGAGATCAAGCATTAATCCCGATATCCACTATTCAAAAGTTCCTAGCTTAGACCCCTCAGCCTTTTAGACAAGGAATTATTTGTTCTAGATATTTTCCTGAGATCCCGGGATTCCAGGGGCCAGAGCTCCATAAACACCTCCCTAGGGATCCAATTTATAATTCTCAAATCTTATATATTACTTTCAATACATTTGTTAAATTTTCTCTGATTTTTCTTTAAAAATATGTATTTTCTTACATTTCTGATAAAAATATACTTTTTTATATTTCTTTCTCGACATTTTTTTTATTCTCTATTTATACAGAGCTTCTCTAACCGTCTACGGGACTTGATTGTAAAGATGTAAGGATTAGAAAATTTAATTTCAGAATATAAGTTTTTTTTCTTTCTTTAAAGGTACTGAACACACCCAAAAAGCTATAATTTTCTTATCCCTATATCTTTGCAACACCTGTGAAATTTCAAACTTGTAATACTTAAATTATCTAGCACACAGTAATCCAAAGATTTTGAGCTCTCTCAAAATAGATCTATATTTTGTCAATTTCTCCTTTAAAAAAAAATCTAGATGCAAGCATTTTGACACTTTTAAGTCGACCAGTCTTTAAGTTTTAAATATTAAAAGTCTACGATATCAAGGTGCAAAATTATGAGAAATATAAAATTAAAGTTTGATGCGAGTAATCATATGTTTTGTTTTTTACTAAAACTTACATCTGACGAATATTTTTTACAAGTTAACGTTGATTTACCTTCTCCTCCCATTCCTGCGGAAATCTGTCATACTGAGTATTCCTAGAATATTTATCAAATTAAAAAATCAGCTGGCAATTTTATTTTGATCCGTTCTTTGTTTAACATTACCCTAAAAAGATATCTGTTCTATGTTTAACCTATACAATAGAAGGTATCCGTCCTATGTTTATCCTATACCAGAGAAGGTAACCGTCCTATTTTAACATATACCAGAGAAAGTAACCGTACTTTATATAACCTATAACTCAGAAGGTATCCGTCCTTTGCATAACCTATTCCTGAGAAGTTATCCATCCTATGCTTAACCTATACCTCACAAGTTATCCGTCTTATGTTTGACCTTTTCCTAAGAAAGTAATCGTCCTATGTTTAACAAATACTAGAGAAGATATCCGTCCTATGTTTAACCTTTATATGAGAAGGTATCCGTCCTATGTTTAACCTAAACTAGAGAAGTTATTCGTCCTATTTTTAACCTATACCTGAGAAGGTATCTATGCTTAACCTTTACCAGATAAGGTAACCGTCCTATGTTTAACCTAAACCAGAGAGGGTATCTCTTCTATGTTTAGCCTATACTAAAATGGTATCCGTTCTATGCTTAACCTATACTAGAGAAGGTATCTGTCCTCAGTTTAAACTATACCAGAGAAGTTATCCGTCCTATGCTTAACCTATACATAAGAAGGTAACCGTCCTATGTTTAACCTATACCTGAGAAGGTATCCGTCATTTGCTTAACCTATACTTGAGAAGGTAACCCTTCTTTTTTTAACCTATACCTCAGAAGATATCCTTCCTATGTTTTACCTTTACCTGAGGAGGTATCCGCCCTATGGTAAACCTATACCAGAGAAGGTAACCGTCCTATGTTTAACCTATGCCAGATATGATTTCCGTCCTAGTTTGACCTATACCTGAGAAGGTATCCGTCCTATACTTAACTTATACCAGAGAAAGTATCCGTCCTATGTTTAACCTATACCTCAGAAGGTATCCGTCCTATGTTTAACCTATACCAGAGAAGGTATCCGTCCTGGGTTTATCCTATACTAGTGAAGGTATCCGTCCTATGTTTATCCTATACCAGAGAAGGTATCCGTCCTATGTTTATCCTATACCAGAGAATAACCTAAACCTAAGAAGGTAACCGTCCTTTGTTTAACGTATACCAGAGAGGGTATCTCTCCTAGGTTTAGCCTATACTAAAATGGTATCCGTCCTATGTTATCCTATACCAGAGAAGGTATCTGTCCTATGTTTAACCTATACCAGAGAAGGCATCCGTCCTATGTTGAAACTAAACCAGAGAAGGTATCCGTCCCATGTTTAACCTATACCAGAGAAGGTATCCGTTCTATTTTTAACCTATACCTTAGAAGTTAACCGTCCTATACTTAACATATACCTCAGAAGTTATCCGTCCTATGTTTAATCTTTATATGAAAAGGTATCCGTCCTATGCTTAACCTTTACTAGAGAAGTTATCCGTCCTATTTTTAACCTATACCTAAGAAGGTGTCTTATCCTTAACCTTTACCAGAGAAGGTAACTGTCCTATGTTTAACGTATACCAGAGAGGGTATCTCTTCTATGTTTAGCCTATGCTAAAATGGTATCTGTCCTATGTTAAACTTATACTAGAAAAGGTATCCTTCCTATTTTTAATCTTTACCTGAAAATATCCATCCTATGTTAACCTATACCAGAGAAGGTATCCGTCCTATCTATAACCTTTACATATAGATATCCATCCGTTTAACCTATATTAGAGAAGGTATCTGTCCTTTCTACAAACCTTTAGCTATAGATATCCTTCCTATGTTAAACCTACATCAGAGAAGGTATTCGCCCTATGTTTGCCTTTTACCTGAGTAAGTATCCATCCTTGTAAACGGCTGGTTCAACCACTATCGCCGAAATATCCTCATGTAGACGGCCGAAAGGAAAAAGTAGAACTTGCTAAATATAAACAATACAAAAGGACTTGGTACAGAAAGAACCGCAGGTATAGTGAGAACCAGAAAACTCTGGAACAAAGAAAAGGCCAACTAATAACTTTGAATAAACCAATATACAGAAATTTTGCAGTGTATACAGACACATTTCTCTTAATAATTGATTCAAAAAGTTCTAGTATAACTATTTGCTTTGTACCAACATTAAATACACTTAATTTTTACTTTAATATCATACTCTACAGTTTTCTGGTTTTCACTGTCGGGGATGTTTTAATATTTCCCATACAAAAAAAAACTCTAAAACTATTTCGTGGATATAAACCTTAAGATGTCAACCTAACATAATTTTTGGAGAAAAATGTTTTCCTTAAAGTCTAAATAAGCACTTTAAACATTCGTTAGTATTTGACTCCACTCCCAATGTGCAAGCAATATTTTAGCTATTTTGTAGAAACTAAAAGCAAAGATAAAAAAATCTTTTATGCGTTCTAAAGAAAATACCTCAAATCGGTTTTGATGATTAGGTCTCACGTTTTGTCCCATATTTAACTCTTTCTTCTCCTCTTCTTTCTCCTTTGTGTCCTCCTTCTCTTCCTCCTCCTTCTCCTTCAACTTCTCCTCCTTCTCCTCAACCTCCTCTTTCTCCTCCATCTTCTCCTCAACCTCCTCTTTCTCCTCCATCTTCTCCTCAACCTTCTCCTTCTTCTGTATCTCCTCTTCCTCCTGCAAGAAAAAATATAAAATTTTAACTATTAAGAATTTTGACTTCTTAGAAGAAACTTGATGTTTCAAGAAGAAAACTTTATGTTTGAATAACTATATATTTCAAGAACTTTATGTTTCAAGAACTTTATGTTTCCAGAATTTTATGTTTCAAGAACTTTATGTTTCCAGAATTTTATGTTTCAAGAACTTTATGTTTTAATAATTTTATGTTTCAAGAACTTTATATTTCAAAAACTTTATGTTTTAAGAACTTTATGTTTTAAGAACTTTATGATTCAAGAACTTTATGTTTTAAGAACTTTATGATTCAAGAACTTTATGTTTCAAGAACTTTATGTTTTGATCAAGAAGAATAAGAAATCTTGATGTTTCAACTTTATGTATCATGATGTCAAAGAAGACAACTTGATGTTTCAAAAAACAAATTGATGTTTCAAGAAGAACACTTGATGTTTCTGGAAGAAAATTTGATGTATCATGAAGAAATCTGAATGTATCTTCATGTCAAAGATGACAACTTGATGTTTCAAGAAGAAATCTTGATGTTTCAAGAAGAAATCTCAATGTTTCAAGAAGAAAACGTTTCAAGAAGAAACTTGATGTTGCAAGAAGAAATCTTGATGTTTCAAGAAGAAATCTTGATGTTTTAAGAAGAAATCTTGATGTTTCAAGAAGAGATCTTGATGTTTCAAGAAGAAATCTCAATGTTTCAAGAAGAAAACTTAATGTTTCAAGAAGAATCTTGATGTTTCAAGAAGAAATCTTGATGTTTCAAGAAGACATCTTGATGTATCAAGAAGAAATCCTGATGTTTCAAGAAGAAATCTTGATGTTTTAAGAAGAAATCTTGATGTTTCAAGAAGAAATCTCAATGTTTCAAGAAGAAAACTTAATGTTTCAAGAAGAAAACTTAATGTTTCAAGAAGAAAACTTAATGTTTCAAGAAGAAAACTTAATGTTTCAAGAAGAAAACTTGATGTTTCAAGAAGAAAACTTAATGTTTCAAGAAGAAATCTTGATGTTTCAAGAAGAAATCTTGATGTTTCAAGAAGAAATCTTGATGTTTCAAGAAGAAATCTCAATGTTTCAAGAAGAAAAATCTTGATGTTTCAAGAAGAAATCTTAATGTTTCAAGAAGAAATCTTGATGTTTCAAGAAGAAATCTTAATGTTTCAAGAAAAAAAACTTGTTCAACGTGTCAAGTGACCCTTTAGGAAAAAACAGAGGCGCAATTTGGGTATTTAGAATTAGCCGAAAACTGCGTTATTTTAAAATAAAAATGATAAAAATATATTTATAAAAATGTTTTTTGCATGTTTCCAACCTCAGCACTTATTTTGAATGGTTTGTCACATTTATAATGGAATAGGTCACTTATAACTAATTTTTCATCCTGCAATCTAAACCTTAAATGTACAGATATCAAATTGGAAAAAAAAATATAAATGTGAAACAAATTTACTATTATAAATAATGTAAGTTTGAAATATCAAAGGCTTACACCACCAGGTTGGAAAGATTAAGGAACATGAAAATCAGATTGTGTGCAGGCAAAGACTCAAGTACTTTCCCAATAAAAGTCAATCCACTCAATTTAGACTTTTTAAACCAGTCCAGTCAAAAGGTTCCTTAATTTTAACGGACAGACAAACAAACAGACATTTAGAATTTACTCTCTTATATCCGTCTATAGTTGGCTTGTAGATATATAGATATATAAAAATTAATCTATATTATTTGTTTGTTTCTATGTTCGTTCAAAACTAATGAACCCTTTGGCTGATTTGCCTCAAATTTTAATCTGAGAACTCAAAAGGACCCAGATATTGTGCTCAGTTTGATTTAAAAATGATAACTGGCAAATAAGGAGGAAGTTTAAATCTCTAGGCAACGATGCAAGATTTGTCTCGAAACTAAACAGTTTCTATTAGAATTCTTAAACCAAGTAAAAGATTTTTCCGTGAAGCTGCCGAGTTCCTCAAACTAACTTTTAGGCAAATTCAAAGGATTCATGAGCTAGGATCGGACATCCCAACAATATACAAACAAACAGTGATTACTACAATATATATAATGAATAGATTATAGAATAAGTACAGCTAGAATATATCTCGACTTTTATAATTGATATCTAACACCGTCCTTCAACATTGCAAATCTTATTGCGGTGCATTGGAATAACTATGAAACGTAATATATTGTTAAAACAAGATACAAAGAAGTACTATCTAGCTCTTTGTCTGTCAGCTTGGATGTCCCATCATAACTTATGAACCCCTTATCAGATTTGCCACGGATATGTTTTAACCTAGGTTTAAAAATCGAAATTTTACCAAATCAGAAAAAGCTGGGTTTCCAAACTCACTTTCACTTAGACTGACTCATCTTTGATTACTCACAGGAAGTGCGATGCCGGATATTTAAAGTATAATTTCAGTTTTAGGGTCTATATATTTCTGTACATTTTAACTTAAAGATCTCACTGATAAGTTCGGGTTTTTTTCAATAAACGGGCCGGCATCTAACCAGCTAGAGCGTGCTGTAAAGTACACATACAGATTATACCAGGCAAAACGGGACGGTACATCCAATGCACTAACCCCCTCGAGGAAAATTCTAATGCGTCTCACTCAGGAAATGTCTCACTGTTATATTAGATTTTGTTTTCTTAGATTTACCTTAGGGAATTTGCGCTGACCGGCTTTAGGCTGCAGAGAGTAGGGAAGGGCAGGTAGGTTGAGCCCAAGAGAACTTAAGTTCGTCAATCTATATCCACTCTAGATATAAACAATCAATCTATATCCACTCTAGATATAATCAATCAATCTATATCCACTCTAGATATAATCAATCAATCTATATCCACTCTAGATACAATCAATCAATCTATATCCACTCTAAATACGATCAATCAATAACTTATATAGAGATGGACATCGTTTTTGTGAACGAACGAAATATTTCAAAACGAACCATATTTTTCAGGAACTACATGGTGTCATTCATCAAGTAGTTTTAAATTATTTACAAATATTACAAAATAAAGCGTGTATTAAAATCCAATCATTAAGTGTTTTCAATTCCCTAAAGGGTATCTGGCTTTATTAGGAAAAAAGTTCCAAAAACAAACAATATGAACATAATTAACGAACAAATTTCATTAATCGCCTAAACCCGGTCTTAAATACATAAAATTCAGTCGTCGTAAATATCAATAAACTGTAAACTTAGGGTCATTTCAAGTACCGGGCCAACTTTTAATCAGCTAGAGCAACCGGTACAGTACAAATTCAGACTGTATAAACTTTTGATTTTAATTTTTGCTCTGAAAAGCTTTCAAATAGCCATGGATTCACAGAAACATGAAAACAAAGAGAAGCTGTCAGTTAACAGCTTCTCTTTGTTTGCTTGTGTAAAGCTTGTTAGAAATCAAAAATTTAATAGAAAATACGTCTTCATTGTATTGTTATAAACGCCAACTACTGTATAATTCCGTCTTCATTGTATTGTTATAAACGCCAACTACTGTATAATTCCGTCTTCATTGTATTGTTATAAACGCCAACTACTGCATAATTCCGTCTTCATTGTATCGATATAAACGCCAACTACTGTATAATTCCGTCTTCATTGTATTGTTATAAACGCCAACTACTGTATAATAAACTGAATGAGGTTGTATAAACATGAAATTAATAGGATTCCCCACATGGAATATACTATTAATGAGAACTTGGAACTTTTAAAGTAAACGTACGTACTTCATGTGCCTTTTCATTTATAGAGTGGCATGTACGAATCCCAATGGCACCTTCCACCGTTTAATGGCGGACATATCCTTATTTTCCCAGCTCAAATTGAAGTACCGTGAACTCAAAAGTAAATTGTACGCTCCTACAAATATAATCTAGAATATTCCGGCACTCAATTTTCTCCGAGAACTGTGAATGTGACATAATATACTGGTAAATAGAAAGAAAGTTCTTTCTTCAGTCCCTTAGCTGATATATTTTATAGGTATACTTAAAAAGCCCCCTCTGCAATGTCTCCGTAATCATCAAAATAAAGAGACGTGGATAAGGGTGTAAGTATAAGTCACACTAATCTAAGCTAAATAGGCGTATGATAGGCCGGGTACTGTACAAATTTTGGCCGCGCCATCAAAGATGAAACCAGTACGCAGACTCTGTCTGGTTCAAATTCAAATTGACCCATAGTCCACCGTGAAGTGCAATAAATTTGTGTTTACAACGAAGTTACTAAAGTCTAAATCTTACCTCATCACTTAACAGGACATCGGTCAGATACAATCAAATTTGTACTTTGTCACAATAAACTAAGGTTCATTTTATTTTGGTTTGAAATTTTGCATGATTCTTTTGAAATGGAGAAAAATGGAGTACGAGGTTGCCCTAGTCAAGGGATTCCGCGTTAAATCTTCAACTTCAAATATGTTAAAAACCGTGTGATTTACACAAATATGTAAAGGATTTGATCACATAGTTTTAATTGGCCTTTTACTTTTTTAAAGTGAAAAACAAAATGTTTATCATACCATTAACAATTCAACCACTTTTTGAGAAGATATCGTTTTGACTCTAGAATGTAATAATAAATAATGTAAACAATAGCTTGAAATATATTGATTAAGGAATACCGCAAAGGTTGACACTTTAAGAAGTGATTACACGGAATGTGAACTGTTTTATTGTGGATATCGAGATCAATGCTTGATCTCATTCTTTGGTTAATCTGCAGATTAATATAATCTTTATTCGATATCCCGCCGTGTAATGTTATCCTGAAAGGATAACTAAAATGAAGGAATAACTAAAATTAAAAGTTCCCAGAGTGAAAAATCGAGATCAAACGACCGGGATAATGAGTATCCAGCACAAAAGTTCCCAGTTCAGTTCAATATTGCTTCATGGTTTCCTGTAGCTTTGCATTAGTTTCTTTTTTTACAAATTCATGAGCTAAACAAACTCCGACATTTTAATCGTAATGTTTTTGAGACAGTAAAGACGACCGGAAACTCTAAAAATGTGACGATCCCACAATAAACTTTTTAATTTTGATAGATTTGGCAAAGAAACAAACAAGTTTACAATTGCAGGGAATCGTGAATATAAGGAAACAGAACGTAAAAGGTTTTGAAGTCTCATCCTTTCTGGGTCCCCCTGTATAAATAAAATAATATTTTGAATGTTTCTGATGTATTCCTAATATACGGATTTAAAACATCCTCTCCCTGCTCTCCCTGGCTTGAATACACTCCCTGAACAATTTAAATTTTAAATTTTAAGTTTTTAGTTTTAAATTTTAAATTTGCTTAAAAATACAATCATACTCCAGATTTGGGTTAAAACTTTAAGTCTGTGGGGATACGTACAAGACTAGCCGTGGGAAACATAAAACATAAATATTCAAATTTTTCATTCGCTCTTTAAAGAGAGAGACCGTCTTGACATGGTAGTTGAGCTGGAAGTGCAGTTTTGTAGCGAAAAACTTTAGGATTCATTTGATACCAATTAGACATTTTTACGGTGTACATTTTTTAAATAAGAGTGAAAAGGCGTTTTGAATATTTCAGTCAGCAGAAGAAACGTTTTTCACAATCATTTAATAACCCGGCCAAACCTGTAAAACAAATTTGTTGATATTAATACATCTTCTCCCCCCCCCCGTAAGTCGTCTTTACCAAAACCCTCTCGGAGACAATATCCAATCCAAAGCAAGTCTCCGTCCAACTTCATCTGTATACTCTCCGACAAACGAAACAATAACCAGTGAAAAGTTTTACTAAGTGAAAGATCAAATACATAAATAACTTTGCAATCCATAGTAAACTCCACTTAAACAATCGGGTATATATTTTCAGAAGTATTTATAAATGTTTTAAACTACACCACCAAACCCTCAAACACTTAACCACTTCTTTTCAATCCATGAAACACGAAAAACTAGTAAGCTTTTTTATCAAACATTTAACTACACTAAAATATTGTCATTTATGTTCAATATACCTGCATTTTATTATTTTATTTTATAGGTTTGAAATACATCTATTTAATGATATTGACTAACCAACGAATCGACCTAACGAACGAACCAACCTAACCACCGAACCGACCTAACCAACGAACCAACCTAACCAACGAACCGACCTAACCAACCTAACCAACGAACCAATTAACCAATGAACCAACCTAACCAACGAACCGACCTAACCAATGAACCAACCTAACCAACGAACCGACCTAACCAACGAACCAACCTAACCAACGAACCGACCTAACCAACGAACCAACCTAACCAACAAACCAATTAACCAATGAACCAACCTAACCAATGAACCGACCTAACCAACGAACCAACCTAACCAACGAACCAATTAGCCAATTAACCAACCAGACTATTAGTCTGTTAATCACCGATGCCTGCCTATTGTTTTACAAAATTATATTACAGACCAATTTGCTAATTAGGAACATATTTCTTGAAAATAAAATTCGATGAAAGCCATAGTAGAACCGTAGAATCGAATATTCATTATCATCAATACCTTTGCTGTTTCTAAAATTTTATTCGCATATTTCTTCAAAACAAGCTACCCTTGATGAAAGAACTTGCATAAACCAGCGAGGTTTTAAAATAAATTATAATAACTTATTTTCAATGATATAAGTTCATTATTGTTCTCAACCTGTTTGTTTACGTACATGCAACTACACTAGTCTAATATAAGGTCTTTAGGATTTTTGAACTTGATCTAAAATAAGTATATGTTGTTAATCTATGATGGTACAGAGACAGATTCACGTTGAGTTTAAGATATTTCATGTAGGGCCTAAAAAGAAAATCAAGTTTTCAAATCTTGCCTGAATCCAATATGTAATCTTAAGCATTTTTCTTTACACACAACAAAATTTGACAAATACATGTTTTAAATATCTTTAACTGTAAAGAATCTCAATACATAATTTATTTCAACCTTCCTTTTCCCAAACTGCAGGACAGAACACTCATAAGACTCAGAAGACTCATAACGTGAAATTCCATGTGTTTTGTGTATTTCTGCAGATTTAAATCTTCAAAAATCTGTTGTATCTTACTCAAATCCGAGAGTTTAACAGTTACTGAGATGGAATTTAAAGAATTTGAGCCGCGGTTTAAATCCGCCAAAACCCGGTTTAAATTAAGCGCCGGTTTAAATCTTGAAACATTTGATGCAATTTTAAGAGGAACCAACCATATTATTTAAACCGCGGCTTAAATTTAAACCGTCGCTCAAATTCTTTAAATTCGGCCACTCAAGTGTTTTCTTCTCTAGTTAAGGTAAACGAAGCTTAAAAGAGCTTTTGTTTTAGTATTATTTGTAGCAAAAGACTCGACAAAATATACTATTAATTTGTAAAGGAGTTGAGTGTTTGCTACAAACTCTGATTTTCTAATATGTATATCTTTGCAATCCAATGTCGTAGATCTTAGATATTTCAAACTATTAATACTTATAGCTAAAATGATCTAAGTTTGAAATATCAAAGGTTTGCACCATCAGGTTGCAAAGATATTGGGATCAGAAGATTTGATTTTGTGGCAAAAACTCAATTTCTTTTGTTGTGACTGATTAAAGAAAAATGCTCATGATTAAACAGTGGATTCAGGCAAGATTTGAAAACTTGATCTTATTTTTAGGCCCTACATGAAATATTTTCAACTCAACGTGAATATGTTACTATACCATCATAAAACAACATCATATACTTGTTATTTTAGATTAAGTCTAAAAACCCTGAAGACATTATATTTGACCAGTGACTAGTTTGTAGAATAGAATTTGTTCAACGTTTTGTCCATGTTATTTAAGAATTGTAAAAAAACATTTCTTCTATTTACTTGGCTCTGTTTACAATTACAGACTGAAACAACAGGTGAAATATTGCAAGCGGATTTACGCTCTTATTTTAAAGTTGTTAAACCGTAAAAATGTCTAATTGGTATTAAATGAATCATAAATTATATCTCTACAATACTGCACTTTTAGCTCAGCTACCATGTCTAGCCGGTCTCTCCCTTTAAAGGTCTCGACGTAATTTCAAGTGACCTTAAAAAATAACAGAATCATCTTAGTTATAAATCAAGAAATTATGAAGCAGAGACCTGGAAGGAAATTGATAATTTTAACTTGCTACAGTGAAACCCTTAATAACGAATACATCGAAAGAATTCATCAAACGTCGTATTCTCCACTTTCTGATAATGGAATGTTGCAGATATTTAGTTTTTTAATAGATGATTATATGGAATTCTTTAAAACTGTTCCCGCATATTCATGGCTATTTATTTATTTTCGCAAATACTGAAATTTACGCGTAAATATATTATAAAACTCATTGAAGAATTGTCAAGACGACATTTGATATATTCTTCCGATGTATTCTTTATTAAGGGTTTCACTGTATGAACATTTTTTAGGACTAAGTCGCACTTTAAAGTGTCGCAACACCTTGGCTTTTGATTCTACCTTACTAACTTATACTTTTTAATACTGCACGTATCTATTGAAATGTAGATTTTATAAATATAAAGCAATTGTTTTTAGTTTTTAGTTCTATAGAAGTTAAATATTCTTATTGATTATTGTTCAAGGCCTTGACAGCTTTGGAGTTGTGTTTGAAAACACACAGTCCCTTTAATGAGAGAAATAATTACGTACGAGGGCTTTGAACAGACAAAAACGTATAAAACTTTTAACAGATGTCTTTTACGTGATAAAAATCAGATTTCTTTCATCAAATTTAAAATAAATGCGTAAAATTCTTCCTAAAAAAATTCTTTTCGAAAAGCCTATTCAACAAATTTGTATTGTTTTTAAAGTATTGAAAATAAAACTATTTAAATTGGTTAATGCCAAGAAATTCAAAGATTGATGAAAATAATATGTACTGCTATAAACAAGAATACATAATATTTCACATTTTTAAACATTTTTTTTTTAATTTAATCATTTCAATGGGAAAACACGCCAGATAGTTTCATTCAATTGATTCCTCTGACGTGTTTAAAATGTACTATTTTCTCAATAAATTAATGCCTAAGTTTTACAATAGTAAAACAAACAAAAATTTGTACCAGGCACAATATGAGCCCTTTTCATTTTAAATTCGTTGTTGATGGTGATGGACTAAACCTTTGTTGAGTAAATAAAGTAGATGTTAGTTCCATACTTATTGAAAATCTATGTCGGTCTGGGTTGACCCTCGTTAGTTCTTAAGATTGTTTCTGTCAGGAAGATTAAAAAGAAATTGTAATGAAATTGAATCTTTGCCGAAAATTTACATTTTTCTAATCCCTAAATCTTTACTATACCTGATGTTGTAAACCATTGCTATTTCAAAGTTTATATTATTTGATCCAATAGAATTTATAGTTTGGGATATAAAAGATCTACCACATCAGGTTACAAAGATATAGACATTATCAGAAAATCAGAATTTATGGCAAGGCCTCAATTTCCTGACAACATGTAAATTCAATTTACTCTTTGTAAATTTGTAGATTATAAAAGGTTTTATTGTATACATGTAAATAATTTGTAAATTGTAAATGCCTTTTAAGTGTAATCAATTGTATATACGATTATTTTTATATTGACTAAAAAAGTGGTAAAAACATGTTAATTGTAAATCACAAACAATTATTCTTATTTGGCAAAACAAAATTGTAAATTTTAAGTTGCAAATGAAAACTTTTTAAATTTCTTTAATACTTCAGAAAAAATTAGTTAAAATTTTATTTTTTAAAAGTAACTTTGAACCACCTTCTCAGTGTTCCACGAAGTAAATTACTTATGATTATCATTTTCGTGAAATATTATCGCTTTTTGCTTTTTATTGGTAAATTTTTAATAGAAAAAAGGGGAATTATAATTTTTTTAATTTTTAAATCAGACGATTTTATCTCCTTCTTCTAATAACCTTTTATTTTATGAGATAAAAAATCTAGACTTTAAAAAATCCAACAAACACAGAAATGGTTATGAAGATAAAAAGAAAACTGATTTTAAAAAAAAAACTACATTTAAAATATTCTTAAAACTTTACCTTTACTCCCCCAGCTGCCCCACGGATTTCTGCCCTGAATCCGTCCCCGTGCCTGTACGCCATTCTAAATAATAATTGTGTAAGAAGGCGCAACTTTGTTGTACTTAGGGGAAGGGGGGGGGAAGGAGGGGGGAGNCAGACTGGAGAAGAGATAGTACTATTGCAGCAGACTGGAGAAGAGATAGTACTATTGCAGCAGACTGGAGAAGAGATAGTACTATTGCAGCAGACTGGAGAAGGAATAAAGAAGATGTTGCTAGGTTGTAGAACGGGACAAGAGATAGTACTATTGCAGCAGACTGGAGAAGGGATAGCGTTTGATATGTATAGATTGCCAGAATTCTTAACGGAATTATTGAAGAATAAGATGAAGAAGACAGGAAACTGGAATACGATGCCAGAAAACAAACAAGAGGAGAAGATCCTAGGAGATATTATACTAACAAACTAAGGCTGTGGATACAAGCATATGCTCCAATATACAGGCTTTAGAGAAACTAAAAGATGCTGTTAGGAAAACCAAGGTTAGAAAATATTTAAATTTTCTTACATGTAAAAGATACATCATTTTCTAATTCTGTTTTTAATATTGTGAATAATGCCACCGAGATTAATTTCTAGATTTTCACCTTTAATCAGATTATCTTCTCTAAGACTTGTATTTTATAACTGAATATATTGAATAAAATGTATATGCCAACAAAAACATATTTATGATAAAAGGCTATAAAATTATGTAAAAGGGGTCAAATTGTGATCGAAAGTCACAGTTTTCTGAAATATTGACAGAACCGTTAAATCCACGTGTGGCATACACACTGAATCTTTAAAATTTAGGCCAGAGGACTGAACTACTAGATCCCATATAGACCAGGGCAAGTGGAGGAGCTCAACTCTGTTTTCATTGTACTTCAACCTACAGGTCGTTGTACTTTGTCTGTAGGTTGATTGTTATTAATAGTAATAATAATAATAATAATCAGATTTACTTCTCTAAGACTTGTATTTTATAACTGACTTAACCAAAAGAACTCAGGTAATCCTCGGCTATGCTTTTATTGTGACAAGAAAGGAAATTTGGCACGAGATTGTAAAGAAAAAATAAGAATCCAGGAGGTTACGAAGGAAGGGGGAGAATAAGAGAGGTGGAGAGAAAGGTGACGGACATAAAGACTGCAGTGGCCAAGATAGCCTCGCATTTTCCCTCCTTGCATTTTCCCTGTAGAGTTCCAACAACGGACAGTTGGAAACTCAAGAGATACAGAAAGTTAATTTAGTAAATAGTAATACTGATAAATTAATTCAAATCTCGTAACTGTCCGACCTAATAATGACGGGTTAACAGAGAACTGTGAGACTAAGATTAAGTTAGAAAAGAAAGTGTTTAGTTGGGAAAAGTTAGTGATGAACTTGATCAGTATAGAAAAGTCCAAGGAAAACGACCATAAAACCTCATATGTGAAATTCAAAAAGTATAAAAGCGAGGCTTATAGGTAATTTCCAAAGGCATTTTCCTAAGGTGACTTTCCAAGTGACAATTGCTCACGTTGCCATTTGGGAAAATACTCTTGGGAAGTTGCCGCTTGGAGAAATGCATTTAGGAAAGTACCTAACACCTCTTTTGTCCATACTCACTTATAAGTTCCATTTAGGAAAGTACCTAACACCTCTTTTGTCCATACTCACTTATAAGTTCCATTTAGGAAAGTACCTAACACCTCTTTTGTCCATACTCACTTATAAGTTCCATCTAGTTGTTTAAGAACAATTTGATTTTCTGTCGCTAGATGGAGCAAAGGATCATTCATCAGAGATCTAGCATTCCTCACATTTATCTAGAATATGTACAGTAGAGTTGAGGCCGAACTTAAAGAATTTGAGTGCCGACTTAAATTTGAGACGCTCCGCGGGCTCAAATACGGTTCGGTCCACTTCAAATTGTATTCAATGTTTCAAGATTTAAGCCAGCGCTCAATTTAAACCGGTTTTTGGCAGGTTAGAGACGCGGCTCAAATTCTTTAAATTCGGACACTGGGCGTCGTTCTCATGTGAACGAACAAAATTATCAAGAACGATGCTATTGCTCTGATAGAAAAAAGACACATAGAATTTGCATTTTTATTATATTAGAACGATCTATTAAAGAACGAATGTGGAACAAACAGTAATTGGTTTAAAAGAATGGTGTGGAAATGTTCTTTGTATAATAGTAAATTCTGTCGGTTTGGTGGGGTTGGCCAATGACCGTGTCCCTTCACCCAACTTCCCCCCATTCAGCCCCTCCCCCCCCCCTAAACCTTTTCCAACCCGTTCCTTGGGACCGTTCTCGAAATCGTTCTCGATCAAGAACACAAAGAACAGAACAGGAAGGGAACAATTGGATTAATAACGAACGGGTAACGAACGATCTGGCGGGAGGCCCTGGTTCTAGAAAGAGGAACAAACAATTTTTTAAAAAAAGGATCACACCCAGCCCTAATGTAAAGTAAATAGCAGGAATTGGATAATTTATCTTTGTACTTATGATAAAATCAAGGTTCTTCATTCATAGATTCATAACGGTCAGTAAATGGCCTCTGTCTGAAAAAAGAAAGATTATGGAAAGTGACATATTTTCCAGCTTTTGGAAAATGATGTTTTGTCTATTTTGGCTTCTAATAGCCCTAAAACGTGTTTAAAAAACTCAAGGGGAATAAAATCAAAATTAAAATAGTTAAAAACTATCTTTGTGTTTTTATGCATTTGTATTGTTATAGGATGTCTGATTAACATGTGTACCTATTACACCTTTATTTTAGCCACATTAACTAGCATTTTAGAATTATGTCCGTTTTGTATATAAACTTGTATATATTTCTTATATAAGTCTATGCATCTATGCATCCTATGCATCCTATGCAGCCGTATATAAACTTGTATATATTTCTTATACAAGTCTATGCATCTATCCTATGCAGCCGTATATAAACTTGAATATATTTCTTATACAAGTATATGCATCTATGCATCTATGCATCCTATGCAAATGATAAAACTCGTTTTTAACTCCAATGGTCTCATATCGTGCCTGGTATCGTTAATAATCCTGTTAAACCGTACTATTTTTTTGAATCCTCATAATTTTTTTTTAACCTTTAGAACCTTTTTAAACCTTTATACTCTTTTTGAACCTTGATACTCTTTCTAAACCTTTATAATCGTTTTAAACCTTAAAAATCTCTTTAGACCTCTATATTTTTTTTAAACCTTAATAATCGTTTTAAACCTTCTTAATATTTCTAAACCTTTATGATCGTTTTAAACCTTAATAATCGTTTTAAACCTTCTTAATATTTTTAAACCTTTATGATCGTTTTAAACCTTAATAATCGTTTTAAACCTTTATAATATTTTTAAACCTTTAAATTCGTTTTCAACCTTTAGAATTTTTTAAAACCTTTATAATCTTTTTATACGTTTGTAACCTTTTAGAAAGTTAATAATTTTTTTTAAACCTTCATTATCCTTTTAAATCTTTAAAACCTTTTATAAACTAAAGAAACTGCGAGGTCTCAATATCGTGCCAGTAATTTGGCACAAATTTGTCTTTTGTCTAGATTGGAATGAAAAGTTTGATAATCTTCTGAAAACTTTAAAATAATATTTTACTAACCTTGACTGTACCTTCCACCAGCCTTTCATCTCCGAGTACTAAACAAAATATCTAATTTTGAACATATTGTTTGAACACAATATTAAAAACTTGTTTCTTCAGTTTAGCTATTATGGCTTTTTTGCTGAGAATTTTTATGATATAATCCGTTTTTGGTCAATTCTAATAGATTTAGTATTTTTGTGCATGTATGTGCAGCAAAAATCGGGAAAAAGAGACATTTTCTTTCAATCAAATTGATTTGTAAAATTTAAATTTGCATTTTTTTAAAGTTCGACACGTTTTAAATTCTTTATTTCAAAATTTAGTGTTTAGTAACGTCATGGGGAAAATAAGTATTTATTGAGATCAATTATAATGATTAATTTATTAATTTGAAAATTTCATGATTTTAATCGAGAAAAAATGTTAAGATTTAAGAATATTTCAGATAAAATGTTTAATTTAATAAAACTTGGCGAACCTCTAAACACTTGTTAGAAATAGAATACAGGGTGTCTCACGAAACATAACAGTAACAAGGCGACTTTAGACAGACAACCTACTTTAACATGTCTGATTCTTGAATCTGAAACCAACATTCTCCTAGTCCTGGCATTTCCAACATTTTATCTAACTTTTTCTGTGCTGTACATATTACTGGAGATATCAAGAATTTCGTAAAGATTTCAATTTTGTTAAAAAAACAAAATTGTCGAAATCTTAACGAAATTTTTCATATTTCGGTTGATATTGAAAGCACAAAAAAGGTAGACCAAATTTTGGAAATGTCAGGACCAGGGGTATTTTGTGATTATTTATAATTTTATTTCTAAAATAAGGTTGACAAATAAATACATAAAATTATATCAAAATTAAAAACAACCTTAAGTCGTAGCTTGCTACTGTCATGATTCGTAGGACACCCTGTATATGAAAGCTTGGCTCGTGGAATGATTTTTTAACAATTAAAGAACTAGATGGATGTCCTGTTAACAACAACATTGTCTAGACAAACACATTCACAAATCACTATCACGCTTTTCATACGTTTTTTTTTAATGTCTTGATATATAATGAATAAATCTACGTTATTTAAACGTGAACCAAACGTACGTTTTGAAAAGAAATTAAGAACTTGCTAATTCCTAATTTTTTCTGTTATATAATCGTATCTTGGGTTAATTAATGACAAAATAATAATATAGGAATTCTATTTAAACCATTTTAAAACTGGGTGATTAACTTTTCAGGAATTTGAGGAAATAATACACGAGCATACAGTGGTGATTATATGGCGTTTGGTCATTTCATAGAAAGACATTTCATAGATAGGACATTTCATAGACAAAACAATTCAGAAATAGGATATTTCAAAGACAGAGAATATTTTTCATAGATAAATTTATATTTTTCTTCCAATGAATCTCATCTAATAAATCATACCCTATTCTTTCTACAATCTCTCTGATTTTTACACTTCACATATTTATTCATATTTTTGCTTTAACTGATAACATATTAAACAGGGGCGTACGAGGTCAAAATGTGCCCCCCCCTTACACAAATGCTCTCGTACGCCCCTGATATTATATTGTTGATTTCTTGTTAGTCAAACAGAGCTAAAAACTTTAGAATGAGATATCCTTAATCCCGATTACTTAATCTGAGTATCTAATGGACACACTTCTGATTTTCTTCTTAAACCGTTCTTTCTTGGATATAGTAAATAAAAATCAAAAACCGGTTTTTTTAAATTAGAGAGTCTCTCCCGTTTCTACATATAATCTAAAATGACGCGCAAAATTTCAAATTTATCGGCTTCACATACACGACTCTGATTGGTTAAATTTTATACACTTTTCAGGATACAAGTACAAGATTATGTTAGTCTCGAGATTAAGAAAAAAAGAGAATCAAGCATTAATCTCGATATCCACCATTCTAAAGTAATCAGCTCAGAGCTGAAAACTTTTGAATGGGATATCCTTAACCCTGATCGGATAGTTAATCTGGAGATTAAAAATGAGAGGAGAACAAGCATTATTTAATCTCGAGATTAAGAAAAAGAGTGGATTAAGCATTAATCTCGATATCCACCATTCTAAAGTATTCAGCTCTGATCACATTTTCTAAAATTTTGACACATTTTTACATACCCAAAGCATTAAATTGAATTAAAAAATTTGTTTTTGTGTATATGAAATTGCCTCTCAATGAAATGTCCTGTCTATGGAAAGTCCTAGCTATAAAATGTCCTATCTCTAAATTTCTTTTATTCTATGAAATGTCCTGTCAATGAAATTTCTTATCTATGATTTTCATATCTATGAAATTTCCAACTATGAAATGCCTTTCTATGAAATGACCCTACAACGACTATATCAATACAATGAAGACGACTTTTTATTTAATTTTTCATTGTTAACAAGCCTTTTTTCGAACGACAAATTTACAAGTAATCAAAGAGGAGAAATTAATTGACAGCTTTTCTTGACTTCTATGTTTATGTGTATCCATACTGTTTAACAGATTGATATTAATCAAAATTAAAATGGAAAGTCGTCTTCATTGTTTTTATATAACCGCTTAACACTGTAGGTTCCTACGGCTTCAAGTTCCGTCAAATTTGACTTTTAAAATATCCAGAACTTAGCGAAGGGTGTTTTGTAGAAATTACAGAAAACAAATAAGTAATTAAGTAAAAAAATTAGATTAAAGAAAGCAATGTGAATTTAAAAGTATAAACAATATAGAAGGTAAAGGAACTGTTATAGAGCACTGCAAACTTGGATTCATTTCAAGTATCTTGCCGACTTTTAATCAGCTAGAGAAAGCTGCATGTACGGTATGCATACAGATTATATTAGTTAATATCCCATTCTAATGAAACTTTCTTATGAATGTCCGATGTGTAATGGTGCCATATGAGCAACGGTGGAGTTATCTTTTTACTACTTTCTACTAATTGATAATTTTCAATCCCGGTTTCTGAGAAGAAATTCCAGATTTCTTGCTGCTGAAAGACTGAGAGAAAATTATGAGAATTAAAGCTCCAAGCTAGAAAATGACTATATCTTATACATTAATGATTAGATAATGGTCTAGAGGGTACTGTAGTGAATCAGGCATAGCCCTCTTTAAAAAGAGGGTCACAACAAATTCCCAGCACAGTCCCTTTAAGAAGAAACGTATAAAAATCACCTGTTTTAAGAAAAAGAAGTAAAAGTATTGTTAGCATATTTTTCCTGTTTACTTGTCACTGTCCAGGTCTATCCTAGACCCTGTATAAACTGCTAAGTTTGGACTCTATTTCTCCAGACCCAAATATGAGTATATGTAGGCTTTAAACAACAGGGATAAACATGGGCAACACATATTTGTTTACTTTTTTTAAATCTTTTTTCTTAATTCTAAATTTAGTTGAATTTTATATAAAATTTTCAAGAAAAGCATTCCCCCCCCCCCTCCCTCCCCTTTTGTGGTGGTTTCTCCTGTACACAGGGCAACATGTAGATTGTAGATTGTAGAGCTCTTATATACAATACAAAACCTTTTTAACCTACTAGACTTACAGGGTTGATACTAGGCCTTTTCATGCTTTTTAGATAGATAGAGAAATAGATAGTTAGATAGTTAGAAAGATAGAAAGACATGAGGGGGGGAGGAGAAATTGTTAGGAGATTTTTTAGATGATTTCTAATCTCTCTAGTCTTGTCATCGTAAACACTAGAATCTGATAAAACAGTTTGGTAAAATATACTGAAGAGTTTACAATAAGAGTTTATAAACAGTTTAGTAAAATATACTGAAGAGTTTATAAAAAGTTTGGTAAAATATACTGAAGAGTTTATAAACAGTATAGTAAAATATACTGAAGAGTTTATAAACAGTATAGTAAAATATACTGAAGAGTTTATGAACAGTTTAGTTAAATATATTGAAGAGTTTATAAGCAGTGTAGTTAAATGTATTAAAGAGTTTATAAACAGTTTAGTAAAATATATTAAAGAGTTTATAAACAGTATAGTAAAATATACTGAAGAGTTTATAAACAGTTTAGTTAAATATATTGAAGAGTTTATAAACAGTATAGTAAAATACACTAAAGAGTTTATAAAGAGTTTAGTAGAATATATTGAAGAGTTTATAAAGAGTTTAGTTAAATATATTGAAAAGTTTATAAACAGTATAGGAAAATATACTGAAGAGTTTATAAACAGTATAGTAAAATACACTAAAGAGTTTATAAAGAGTTTAGTTAAATATATTGAAGAGTTTCTAAACAGTTTAGTAAAATATATCGAAGAGTTTATAAACAGTTTCGCTAAATGTACTTTTGAGTTTGTAAACAGTTTGGTAAATTACACTAAATAGTTTATAAACAGTTTAGTAAAATATATTGAAGAGTTTATGAACAATTGATAACTGAAATGATAAATATGTTATATAATGAGTAATGATCAATGCCGCCTATTTGTGCAAATTTTTGCATATTTTTTTTTCTTGTGTAAAACTTCTTTTGTATTCAAAATATTTAAAAAAATTTAAACTACACCATTTATATATGTATGTATATCTTTGTGTGTGAATAAATCTTTATAATATAATAATTTAAGAAAAAAATCAAAGTCCTGAATCAGTTAAAGGTTTAAAGGATACTGTTGTGAATCAGTTAAAGGTTTAAAGGATACTGTTGTGAATCAGTTAAAGGTTTAAAGGATACTGTTGTGAATCAGTTAAAGGTTTAAAGGATACTGTTGTGAATCAGTTTAAGGTTTAAAGGTTACTGCTGTGAATCGCGCACGTCACTCTACAATTTGAGGGTCCTTTACCATTATGCACACAGTCTCTTTTAGATATTTTTAACACATTGTTTAATTCGCGCTATCTCATGATAGTTATTTTTAACAAGTCCAACAATTGTTCATAAATATTAAAGAATTTTCACAATTAAAAATATTTTAAAATATATTTCTCAAGATACATTCAGAGAAGACAAACAGACGTGAATTGAACTACATATAATAAAACGTATTATAGAATACCATTGAGTCTATTAGATATTGAATAAGATGTTAATATCATTGAGTCTATTAGATGTTGAATAAGATGTTAATATCATTGAGTCTATTATATGTTGAATAAGATGTTAATATCATTGATTCTATTAGATGTTAAATAAGATGTTAATATCATTGAGTCTATTAGATGTTGAATAAGATGTTAATATCATTGAGTCTATTAGATTTTGAATAAGATTTTACTTAAGACGCCAATTGTAACATGTGTCAAGTAATATTTCTTTGCCTTTATTAAAATTATTAAATAAAATTTTTCACCGTAGAAATACTTTTTTGTATAAACAGCAAACTAGTTCACAGATTTAAAAAATTTAAAGTTAGTTATAATTGTCAGTTTTAGTATTTATTTTAAACACAAAATACAAAATAATAATGTATAATGGTTCAGCTAAAAACAAAACACAAAAGAAAATTTAATATGAGCTAATTGAAATTATAATGCTTAATAGTTTTGTTCTGATCGGTATTTGTTGAAACACACTATTTATATCAAAATCTCAACTAAATATACATTCATTGTGCATTTACAAGTAGATACTTAGTCAGCACTCAAATAATCAAAACAATTTCAGGAATGCATTCATTGAACTTATAAATACATATTGATCCAGCAAAAGTAACAATCTATTTTAGTTGACTTTTGTAGTCTTTGCATCCACTATTAGCAAAGGGGTGAACCCATTCTTGTTGACTGTAGTAGACTTTGATATCTAGCATTAGCAAAGGGTGTGAACCCATGTATTTGTTGACTGTAGTAGACTTTGACATCTACCATTAGCAAAAAGTGTGGACCCATACTCAATGACTGTTGTAGCCTTTGACATCTACCATTAGCAAAGGGTGTGAACCCATGTACTCGTTGACTGTAGTAGACTTTGACATCTACCATTAGCAAAAAGTGTGAACCCATACTCAATAACTGTAGTAGACTTTAACATCTACCATTAGCAAAGGGTATGATCCCATGTACTCGTTGACTGTAGTAGACTGTGACATCCACTAATAGCAAAGGGTTTGAACCTCTTCTTGTTGACTTCAGAAGACTTTGACATCTAGCATTAGATAATGGTGTGAACCCGTACTAGTTGACTGTAGTAGACTTTGACATGTACCATTAGGAAAGTGTTTGAACCCATACTTGTTGACTGTAGTAGACTTTGACATTTACCATTAGCAAAGGTTGTGAGCCCATACTCGTTAACCCTGGTAGAATTTGACATCTACCATTATCAAAGGGCTTGAACCTCTTCTTGTTTACTTTAGTAGACTTTGACATCTACCATCAGTAAAGGGTGTGAACCCATACTCGTTGACTGTAGTAGACTTTGACATCTAGTGGATTATTTTCAGATAATTTTGATACAGTTTTATGTCTATTTCTCGAGACAGGAACATCAGATAGATGTGTTATAGGCAAAGAGAATAGAATATATATTGGAGGGGAATTTAGAAAATCCCTCGGTATGAATTTTTTCAGTCCCTTACAGCCTGAAAGGTAGTTCAAAGTGTACAATTATGTAAATGTTCACAAATTATATGCAGTAGAGTACACAAATACAGTATGTTCCCTAGACTATCTATTTCAATTTCTAATTTTTTAAAGCTGTTAAATAAACTTTATGAAATGAAACAGGTGAATAGAATAATCAAATTCAAAACAAAATAATTTAAAAATATCATAAAATATAAACTCTATACAAATGTGGTGAAAGATAATCATGACTATATAGGTTTTAATATCTGAATAATTTGTTTGAAATTAAATTGATTTTTTTACGGTCTAAGTCGCATGTTGCAATTTTCTGAATTTGTATGGGCGCTAAGTTATTCAGTATGAGACGTCTTTAACAATTTTCTCCTTATAGACACAACAGATAGAAGTAAGATTAGTAGCGATCAAAAGCGCTTTTTTATCGCATTAAGCCTATACCCCCTTTTTTTTCGCGAACACTCCCTTTAATATTTACCATCTTTTTTGGAACCTATAAAATATCAGTATTTTTAAGACGGAAGATTTATATTATGAAAACCTTCTAAAATGATCATTAATTCCCCCCACCTCTCCTCCCCACCCCCGAGCACATAAACTTACACAAAACAAGCTCAACACACCTATGCATACAGGTAGAACCATGCAGTACTGGGGGGGGGGGGAGTTTTTCTGTAGATTACAATATATATATATAGTCAATTGGGCTTTTAATTAGAATATAATCGTATTAAATTGAGTTTTGTCAAATAAAATATTTTTTGGAATATTAAAATTTATAATTTAGTTTCATCATTTGAGTTGTAAGGAGTGGTTGTTGAGAAATCTAATGAATCTACAATATACAATATACACTATACAATACAATCTACAGTCTACACCATACTCCTTGGTCTATACACTGATGTTTTGAGTTTTAATATACAATACACTTTACAATATACAATATACAATATACAATACACTATACAATATACAATATACTCCTTGGTCTATACACTGATGTTTTGAGTTTTAATATACAATACACTTTACAATATACAATATACAATATACAATACACTATACAATATACAATATGCAATATGCAATATACATTATAGAATACAATCTACAGTCTACACCATACTCCTTGGTCTATACACTGATCTTTTGAGTTTTAAGACGCAATTCAACAGAATGTGCAGCTCATATATAAATCCCTCCACCACTTGCCTAAGTTTAATTCAAACAATAGTTTTTTTTTTATTTTTCGAAATAGGCGCATTGCACAAGATGTATAGTTGAAATTTTTAAAAAGAAATTTTCTGTAAGAAAGGTACCTTAAGTGTCTTAAATTTCTTTTGAAATTAGTATACATGCAATGCTCGATTTTTGAAGAAAAAATATTTTGTTTTTAAGCCTATATTTTAGCCAATTCGGTCCAGCCGTTTGGTCAACTATATGAGCGAAGATCTTTATTATAAAGATGTTAATTAGAGAAATTAGTTTAGAATATGGAATTTTTTTAAAATTAAAATAACATGACGTGAATGACTACAGAATTTAAGTTTTCTTGTGGATATAATTTATACAAAATTAATTATCATTAAGCTAGACTTATTTTGAAAACTGAAATCAGTGAATCAATATGGGCACATCACGCAGATGTGTTTTTATAAAACAGTGAAAACTAGAAAATTGTGAAACAAATGTCGTCTTTGTTCTCTCTTTAACGTAGGAAATTTTCAGTAGGATTTTCAGTTTATCTTGTTCTTACCGACTCATTTTCAAATTTTTAACATTTTCCCGTCTATTACGCTTTGTTTAATTAATATTGAATTGAGAATGACAGAGCTTATTCCGATTCAGATTCAGGGAAACTTTTAGCTCTTGTTAGTTAGTTTTTTCGAAACGATGGCAACATTTTTCTTCATCTGGTAGAACCATGGTAATGTTTTTCTTTTCAGGAAAATATTCTTAATTGAGAAAATTGACTTTTTTTAAAAAGGCCATAAATAAGGGACAATTGAATTTACGTGGATCTAAAGTACAATCCCTTTAAACTAATAAAAATGGATTCCTTGAATGATTAAATCTTGTTAACCAATTCATTAAACCTTATAATTAATATGACAAATGCATTCCTACAAAGAAAAAGTGAACATTTCTAAACGTAGTTGGAGCCATCAAATTGAAGAAAAAAAACTCTGGCAAGTTTTCCAAGCGTGTCCCACGAAACATGACAGTTGGTGAATAGTTTAAAATGTCTTCTTCCATCATTAGTTAAGTTGTTTAATATTAAAGAGAATGATAAAGTATATTGTATGCCAATTAAACTATCGTAAAATTGATTTCAAAGTAAAATATATTTGAGAAAAGATGTTTTAATGAAATGATACAAAAAGTTTTAATATCCAATATAATATATGGAAGAAGACATTCAAAACTTTTCAACAACTGTCATGTTTTGTGGAACTCCCTGTAGTACAACAAATCAAGAGAAAAAAATGTTAACAGAAAGTTCCTTATTTGATATTTCCAATAAACTCTTTCTGAGTCTTTCTCTGTAAAAGTTACTCCCCCCCCCCATTTTTATTATCTCCATTTTCAAAAATCCAAAAATCTTTTTCTATGAATTTGAGAAGTCGTTGAACTGCCGTCTGCGTACCACCAGTTCAAATCCTTCCTGAATCTTTAATAACTAAATTTGAAACGGCGGTAGGACAGTTCATCGAGACCTACATGTGAATTCATTAATCTGTCCCTGACTATTTTAGTTAAAAAACGCTTAATTGTGTTATTAATATAATTTCATGAAGATGCTTCCTAATAATTAATTAGTAGTAAACTCTAATCTTGAAAGGATGAAAACTGTGAATATAAAGTTATGAAAAGACCGCCTCTATGCATTTTAAGGGCTTTACTTGTATCCACGGTGGTTTATAAAGGTTAAATACTCTGGATGTTGTCTTCATAGTAATGGACACTCAAAATCCTCATATGATGTAATTGCTTATTAGCGGAAGCTAAAGTGAGAGGGTGGAAGGGTGTTCCTCCCATGTCAGCTGAAAAAGCGGAAAAAATCTTCCACCCATTTTCCGTAGATTGGAGTGAATCCAGAGTATCTAACCTTAATAAACAACATTGTTTGTATCTTATTCGTGATTTCTAAACTTAATTAGACTGTTTGAGAAAATGAGAAGCAAATCATGATTAAATAACGAAGCAATTTTGATTTTATTCGATTATTTCTAGAAATGATATAATCTCTACATTGAGACTCATAAAACTGAAATAGGAAGACGACATTTATGCAACCTTATGTGTATTTGACGATGCTGTTAATCAAATACAGGGTGTCCCAATAAACATGGGAATTGAGAGACGTCTTGAAAGTCGTCTTTTTATAAAGTGGTCTACCTTTCTTGTATTTTAAAAATTGGCGAAATTTTCAAAATTTTGCAATATCTCCATTAATTTTGAAGTTACAAAATGGTAGACCACATTTTGAAAATCTCAAGACAAGGCGTTTTCGATATTTAATGTTTTACCTGGAATACTGCAATTATTGTGTTCATGGAAAAATGCAGCATGGATCGAAGACGATATAAAAGTTTTCACTTTATTTCCATGTTTATTTTATTTGCACACCCTGTAGGATAATAGTTTTTACCAGAAACGTAAAAAAAGTTATGAAGTGAAATGAGTTTATGTCCGCTGTACAATTGTTGTGTTTTATGAAACTTGTACTCATCTTCCTAATCCACAGTTTCACGGGTTCACTGCATATAGTAAAAAATGGGAATATGGCAATAAAAAGTGGCATCAATTAAAAATTCCATCACACCAAGGTATAAAACCCGTACCCTCTTGTAATGTTTCGGGAACACTCCCTTTAACTTTTTTAAAGATGAGTTAATTGAAAATATATTAAAGGCTTACGGATCATCTTTCCAGACGAAAGAAATAATTTTCTAAACAAATTTAAATTTAATTTTTTTCCAAATTTTTCTTCTATTGAATTCTGAACTTGTCATTTCAAAGTTTCAATTAAAACATTACTTTAACATGAATGATTCCATAAACATTACTTTAACACTAATGATTCTATAAACATTACTTTAATTTTAATGATTCTATAAACATTACTTTAATTTTAATGATTCCATAAACATTACTTTAACATTAATGATTCTATAAACATTACTTTAACATTAATGATTCTACAAACATTACTTTAACACTAATGATTCCATAAACATTACTTTAACACTAATGATTACATAAACATCACTTTAATTCTAATGATTCCATAAACATTACTTCAACATTAATAATTCCATAAACATAATTTTAACAATTGTGATTCATAAACATCACTTTAACAAAAATGGTTCCATGATCACCACTTAAACGCTATAATTTCAAAAACATATCTTTTTTACAAAATCTTCATAATTTTTAATTAAGATTACGATTAAGATTAATACTAAGATTAGATTAAGACTAAGATTAAGATTAAGATTAAGATTAAGATTAAGATTAAGATTAAGAGTTGATGTTGTGTAGTATAAGAGTTGATGTTGTGTGGTATAAGAGTTGGTGTTGTGTGGTGTAAGAGTTGATGTTGTGTAGTGTAAGAGTTGATGTCGTGTAGTGTAAGAGTTGATGTTGTGTGGTGTAAGAAATGATGTTGTGTGGCGTAAGAGTTAATGTTGTGTAGTATAAGAGTTGATGTTGTACAGTGTAAAAGTTGATGTTGTGTAGTGTTAGAGTTGATGTTGTGTAGTATAAGAGTTAATGTTGTGTAGTATAAGAGTTGATGTTGTACAGTGTAAGAGTTAATGTTGTGTAGTATAAGAGTTGATGTTGTACAGTGTAAAAGTTGATGTTGTGTGGTATAAGAGTTGATGTTGTGTAGTATAAGAGTTGATGTTGTGTAGTGTAAGAGTTGATTTTGTGTATTGTAAGAGTTGATGTTGTGTAGCATAAGAGTTGATGTTGTGTAGTATAAGAATTGATGTTGTGTAGTATAAGAGTTGATGTTTTGTGTGGCGTAAGAGTTGATGTTGTGTAGTATAAGAGTTGATGTTGTGTAGTATAAGAGTTGATGTTGTGTGGTATAAGAGTTGATGTTGTGTAGTATAAGAGTTGATGTTGTGTAGTATAAGAGTTGATGTTGTGTAGTGTAAGAGTTGATGTTGTGTAGAATAAGAGTTAGTGTTGTGTAGTGTAGGAGTTGATGTTGTAAAGTGTAAGAGTTGATGTTGTGTGGTGTAAGAGTTGATGTTGTGTAGTATAAGAGTTGATGTTTTGTAGTATAAGAGTTGATGTTGTGTAGCGTAAGAGTTGATGTTGTGTAGTGTAAGCGTTGATGTTGTGTAGTGTAAGAGTTGATGTTGTGTAGTATAAGAGTTGATGTTGTGTGGTGTAAGAGTTGATGTTGTGTGGTGTAAGAGTTGATGTTGTGTAGTGTAAGAGTTGATGTTGTGTAATATAAGAGTTAATGTTGTGTAGTGTAAGAGTTGATGTTGTGTAGAATAAGAGTTAATGTTGTGTAGTATAAGAGTTGATGTTGTGTAGTATAAGAGTTGATGTTGTGTAGTGTAAGAATTGATGTTGTGTAGTATAAGAGTTGATGTTGTTTAGTGTAAGAGTTGATATTGTGTGGTATAAGAGTTGATGTTGTTTAGTGTAAGAGTTGATGTTGTGTAGTATAAGAGTTGATGTTGTTTAGTGTAAGAGTTGATGTTTTGTAGTGTAAGAGTTGATGTTGTGTAGTATATGAAGTTGTGTAGGTTGGAGGAGGTTGGGCTGGTCAATGGCAGGTATTGAGAGCAGCCCCACTAAACATGATGCTCATGGATGTTGAAGAACAGCTGAAAACAACTTGGAAACGTCAATGGAGGAAAGCTATTTCAGGTAGCAAAACAAACTGGTCAAATCTGATTGAGTAATTTTGATCAGGATTAAGTTTAATTTGAAAAGTTTCATCAACAATTTATGAAAATATCTTTAGAAAAAGTTCTCAGCTTTTCTATAAGATTATCTCAGCCAAACTGCTCTACTCTTTATAAAAAGATTTGTGAAACATTAGAGACAATGACTTTCTCGCAACAAAATCATTCATCTTAAAATAGCTTTAGATTTTTAACGAGTTCTGTTTTAAATCATAAATTGAACCTCTTCATTATAATGGTAATTTTAGACTTCTTAAAGGGACTGTATAGAAATAACTTTAAATGACCGTTCCTTTCGTTTATAGAGTTTTACATTCGATTCACAACAATACCCCTTTAACCTTTTCTGAATGAGAAAAAGGAAGATATCCTTACTTGAAATACCGTCTACAGTCCCTTTAAACAAGATTCTTGAAGGTTTTTTATCTTGCAGGAGATCCGGAGAAGCGGGTTAGGGATCATATGAGTGATCCAGGTGTACAGAAGAGGATCAAACTGTATGATACTGCATCATTCACGGTGGGATCATTAAGGATTCAGGATAGGATCATTAGGGATTCAGGTTAGGATCGTTTGGTATTCAGGATAGGCATATTAGAGATTCAGGTTAGGATCATTAGTGATTCATGGTTGGGATCATTAGGGATTTAGGATAGGATCATTAGGGGTTCAGGATAGGACCATTAGGGTTTCATGACAAGATCATTAGTTATTCATATTAGAATCATTACGGATTTATGTTAGGATTATTAGGGATTCATGTTAGGATCGTTTGGTATTCAGGATAGGCATATTAGAGATTCAGGTTAGGATCATTAGTGATTCATGGTTGGAAACATTAGGGATTGAGGTTAAGGACATTCGAGACACAGGTTAGGATCATTAGGGATTTATGATAGGATTATTAGGGGTTTTGGTTTGGATCATTACGGGTTCAGGTAAGGACCATTAGGGATTCATGATGTGATCATAAGGGATTAAGGTTAGGATAATTAGGGATTCATGTTAGTAAAATTAGGGATTCAGATTAGGATCATTAGGGAGAATTGTTAGGGTCATTAGGTATAAAAGTTTGTATCATTAGGGATTCATGGTAGGATCATTAGGGATTCAGATTAGTATCATTAAGCATTCAGTTGAGGATCATTTGGGATTCAGAATAAGAGCATTAGGGATTCAAGTTAAGATTATTAGGGATTCAGGTTAGGACCCTTAGGGATTTAGATTATGGTCTTAGGATTTCATGTTAGGATTATTATTATTAAAAATTGAAAGTCTACAAATACGAGTTGTGATTTATAAGTTTTGCTAACATTTTTTCAGGGGTAAGTCTAGAAGTCTCAGCTCTAAAAAAAAATTTTATGTTAACTTTATCTAAACTGAGGCCGAATTTAAAGAATTTGAGCCGCAGTTTAAATTTAAGCCGCGGCTCAAATATGGTTGGTTCCACTTAAAATTGTATTTACTTTTTCAAGATTTAATCCGGCGCTTAGTTGAAATCGGTTTTTGGGGGATTTGAGACGCGGCTTAAATTCATTAAATTCGGACACTGGATTCATTTTTGGCCAGGTTGGGGTCAAGCAGATTGTTGTTGGGATGTAAGAAGTGTTCTCCTAAAGGTGGATTAGCTTCATTGTCACAGCATAGGAGGCTCGGTTACCAAAAAATGTTTTTATTAGACGATGCAAAAACCAAGCCGAGCCTTGAAACATATGATCCAGGACGCATTTTAAAATGATTTATGAACTATAATGGTAGTTTTATGAGGTTAAGAAGGAAAAAATTAATATTTGAAGGATTATGACATGTCCGGGCAGGACAAGACCATCAAGACCCCAAAAATGGTCGAAAATATTGCAATTTGAATAGAAGTATGTTTGACAGGCAGCCTGATATATCCTTTTACATTGTAAACAAAGTTGTAAAGCAAGATTTAAAAATGACAAAGATCTGGATTAAATTTGTCCCCAAGTCCCTAACATAGTTACGATATATCCCAAATGAAAACAGAACCAATATGTTCCGAATAAAAATAATACTAATATATTCTGAATAAAAATAATACTAATATATTCCGAATAAAAATAGTACCAAAATATTCCGAATAAAAATAGTACCAATATATTCTGAATAAAAACTGTACTAATATATTCCGAATAAAAATAGTACCAAAATATTCCGAATAAAAATAGTACTTATTCTGAATAAAAATAATTCTAATATATTCCGAATAAAAATAATTCTGATATATTCTGAATAAAAATAATTCTAATATATTCCGAATAAAAATAGTACCAATATATTTCGAATAAAAATAATACTAATATATTCTGAATAAAAATAATACTAATATATTCTAAATAAAAATAATACTAATATATTCTGAATAAAAATAATACTAATATATTCTGAATAAAAATTGTACCAATATATTCCGAATAAAAATAATACTAATATATTCTGAATAAAAATTGTACCAAAATATTCCAAATAAAAATAATAGTAATATATTCTGAATAAAAACTGTACTAATATAGTCCGAATAAAAATAATACCAATATATTCCGAATAAAAATAATACTAATATATTCTGAATAAAAATTGTACCAATATATTCCGAATAAAAATAATTCTAATATATTCCGAATAAAAATAATACTAATATATTCTGAATAAAAATAATACTAATATATTCCGAATGAAAATAATACCAATATATTCCGAATAAAAATTGTACCAATATATTCCGAATAAAAATAATTCTAATATATTCTGAATAAAAATAGGTCCGATATATTCCGAATAAAAATAATACTAATATATTCTGAATAAAAATAGTACCGAATGATATATTCAAATTTAAAATAGTACTGATACAGTCCGAATAAAATCATTACAATCTCCACTAAAACTCACTATTTTTTCGGTCAGTGTACTGCAGATCACTTCTGTCACCCCCCCCCCCCCCAAATAAATATTAAATTGATTATTATTATAATATTTTAGCTTGGTGTCAGCACAGTTTTGTTTGCAGAGTATCTTCTTCTAGGAAAACTTGCAAAACGAGTTTTAATAAACAATTTTGAAATCAGTTGGGATTGTACATAATCATATACATTAAACAGTTGGGATTCTACATATACATATACATTAAACAGATGGGATTGTACACATACACTTACATTAAACAGTTGGGATTGTACATATACATATACATTAAACAGTTGGGATTGTACATATACAAATACATTAAACAGTTGGGGTTGTACATATACATATACATATAACAGTTGGATCAGATGGGATTAAACGATTTATCAAACAGTTCGGACAATTAGATAGTTTTGTTTTACAACAAACAAACAGTTGGGATAGTAAGTGAACTATTTTACATTTGAAATTTTTTTATATTTTATTTTTTGTATTTTGCAATAATTTTACTGCAGTTTACCCGCAGTTCTTTCCAATCTTTTTCCTCATTACCTTCTCCATTCTCATTCTTTTGAGGTAAACCATTTTTTATTTATTCATTTATCCATCAAGAAAAGTGTTACCTCTGCCAACCATTAACGAGATGTTAACAATTATTTCATGTAAAATAAAAATAGTTTGAAAAAGATCAAATACAACAATTAAAAATATCAAAACACGTTAAAAACGTCGTTGGTTCCGCTTAAAATTGTATTCAATGTTTCAAGGTTTAAGCCGGCGCTCAATGGAAACCGGTTTTTGTCGGATTTGAGACGCGGCTCAAATTAATTATATTCGGACTCCGTTCGTTTTCTTACAATCATTATTTTTTTCATGAAGGGATATTTCCTTTAGGTGACAATTTAAAAATAACGATTTTTGCCGTTCCTTAATGGACGCTTTTTTTCAATTTTCAAAAACTTTCGTTCCGTTTTCGGAACATTGCCCAGACCAAATTTTAAAGAACCAAAGAACATTTTCGTGAAAAAGCATGTCGTTTAGAAAAAAAGATTTTGAACGAATGAAAAAAACTAAAATGAAACATTTAAAATTGTTTGAAAAAAAAACGATTTTTTAAACAAACTTTTAAAAAACGACAGTTTTTTACTAAACAAACAAAAAATTAATCTTGTATATTGTTTTCATTGAAGTAAAAAAGTTTTCTTGAACTATAATAAAAAATTGAAAATATCAGGGAACCATTACCAAGGAAACAGAAGTGGATGATACAACTAGATGCTAACTAGATGTCCTAAACTCCACTTCAAAACTCCACTTAAACTCGACTTTAACTCCACTTTTGAATTCCAGTCACCAACCTAGTGAAATCTGGGTGCATAAACTCGACTTTTTAAATCCCAGTTTATACCAAGTCACCAACTGGTTGAAATCTGGGTGCATAAACGCGATGATCTTAATAGCACTATACTAAATAGATCTGAAGAGATCATGAATGAACAAAAAATTAATAAAAATGTTATTGTTTAGGTACTTGACCTACAAACCAATAAAGCATCACTTCTTTCTCTTGGATTTCTGCTATTTAGTCAATGTAAGGAAATGTTGATATTCATTTTGCTAGATTACAAAAATTTAATTGAGCATCAAAACATCGATTAAAATGTCCTCTTTATTTTCTTATAATTAATTTTCCACAACATGCAAGTATGAGTGAAAAAAAGAGGAAAACTTTTGAACAATGTAAAATAATCTTTGCTTGTCCATTTCCTTTCTATAAAATGGCTCGGTCGTAAAATGTGTGTTTTTTATAAAATGTCCTAAGATATATTCATCAATGCAACTTCTTTCTTTGAAATGTTCTGTCTATGAAAAAATGTAAAAAGGGGACACATTTTTTATTATGTGAACACTGAATAGTCCCTTTAACAAAATTGTTGTAGGTGTCAAGTATTTTGCAAAGTCTAGTTTGTGCAGAGGTCAAGGATCAAGAGATTTGTGCAAATTGGCTCACGGCTAACTTTGTGCTAAGGTATTTGCGCAAATAATAATGACAATGATTTAATAATAATTATAGTAATAATAGTAGAAAATAACAATGTATTTAAAATGTTAATAACGACGACGACGATGATGATGATGATGATGATGACGACGATGATGATGATGATGATTAATTAATTGATTATTTTGTTAGTCATGGTCCAATAGCAATGGCTATCCTGGCTTGGCAGAATTGCTTAGTTTTCCATTCTATGGATAAGATGACCAGTTTCTTCATACACATCATGCCGGTCAGATTATTTTTACACAGTGGGTCACAAAAAAGGCAAATTAGGATTTTTGAGTCTTCATTTCAGTTTTAGTTTAAAGTTTTATCCCTGCTTGAAAATATTGAAAATATTGAAAATATTGAAAATATTGAAAATATTGAAAATATTGAAAATATTGAAAATATCAAAAATATTCAAAATATTTATTTTTAAGAGCGTATTATTTTTAGATATGAAAACCCTTGCCGTTGGGTGAAAATATGAGAAACATGGATGTATCAATTTAAAATGGTCAATGACCAAATGTATAAAATTTAAAAATATGTGGTATTATATTAGCCATATTAATAAAAAAATCCGTTAAAAACAAAGAGACCATTGGGCTTGACAATTCATACAAAATTTGGTCTATAAACTGTAAACAAATATGTTGTGACTTTTCAAATATTTTTTTGTGTTACATATTTTATCATTGAGCTCGATCATCTGATATTTAATATTATAAATAATTTTAAACTATTTCAAAAATGTACGTGATAGTTTGAATAATTTAACATTTCTTTTCCCTATTAAAGTTTTGAGTGATAAATTGAAAACATAAGACATAGAAACTTAGATCAAATAAAACAGTTTTGTAATAATTAAATGGTTTCATTATTAGATGAAAAAGCAATAAAAACATAGTTTTAGAATTTAACCCGAATAATTTCAAAAAATAAATTATTTCTTATTTTCTACTGAAAATGAAACCAACCAAAACTTAAATGAAGTTTTAAAAAAAATTTAAAATGTTAAAAAAGTTATTTCTGTCCTTTATTTCTTTCATTGAACCCTATTCATATATTGATATTGACATTCTCAATCTTTTTTTATTACTTTTTAAAAACGTGATTTTTTGAAATATTAAACAATAAACATGCATCTTCTCTCTCCTTGATTTTTTATTTCATAAAGTGCAAACATTAAAGAATCAGACTTAGAGTCTTTAGATCAAAGAAAAATAATTCAGAAAGCTTGAAATTGTCTGAGAGTTTTCTAAAAGAAATCTTATTGAATATAAAAGGTTGAAATTCTGAATTTTTGCGGATTTTTTAAATTTTCTAAATAAAATATAATTAAATGAAATTAAACGTCAAAAAACGTTGTAAAACCTCTTAATGTTTCTTTCCTTATATATTCCGATTTCTTACCCATTATACAGAAATTACTTTTATTATTCTGAATATTTTTTTAGCTCTTTCAAAATATGATGGTTTAGAATATTTAACCTTTCTGTTTGGTTTTTAATTTTCAGAAAGAAATCAAGATCAAGGAAATCAATTTTAAATCTGAATGATTTTTTACAGATCAACTCCATATGAAGTAATAGTTCTGTAAACTTTTTGTTAGCATATCACAGCTAATTCTACGTAGCTTGTATAGGGGGAAGAGATTTATTCGGAATTTGTTTAATGAAGGTTCTGCCATTAATCTCCAAAAGTTTTTGATGGTTTTGAAACGGAGAAAGGGTAGTTTTGAAATCTTAAATTTTTCAAACTTTTCAGAAGAGCATGTTAAGAATTATTTATTTGATTTATAATATGCGATATAAAGTTTATAGGAAGTAAAATTAAATCTAAAGGAGCTAATAGGTCGATATTTTTTTCATTCATTTCGTGTTAAAATTACCTTTCCTTTGTGTTATGATTGGATTGTCTTTAAAATTTAAAAATAACTAATCATAAACTCATTTTAAAAAAACAGTTCTTCACACTCTAAATTTCAAAATTTTGAATAAATACATTTCATATATGACAGTAAAAAATGGCTTATATGGGCACCATCCAACTTTTTTGATTTCATAATTTAGTTTACGTGCAAAATAATTCTCTGAATATTTCATATTAAGGAAAAATTGATTTTTCCTTATATCGTAGGTTCTTTTAAACTATTTACTGAGGTGGAACATAATTCCGAACTCTGTTGGAGACGCTGACCTTTCTTTAGGACTCTGCAATTCAATGTTTTATCCTCTAATCTTCTATTCACTGTGGCAGGTCATACCTTTCTTTGGGGTTCAAACATTTTTAATAAAGAATAAATTTGTTAAGATTTTTTAAATATTTGTTATTGTGTTGAAAATAATCAATAAAATAAAGAAAGCAAGCTTTTATATATAATATTGATGTTTGAGTTTGGAACATGTTTTTACATACTTTTCAATAAAAAATAATTTACAAAAAAAAACCTTTACATGTTTTTCAATAAGTTTCTAAAATCAATTTGAACAATCCATCTCTGTATTTCTTATTTTTAAGTGATTACATGAAATTACAGGGAGTCCCAGAACAAATGACAGTAACATATTTGAAATACTTTGCGACATTTTTTTCAAAAACTTAATTTTAGAATTATGACTACTAATATAGTATACAAGCTTAAGAATCCCTTTGCCTAAAATCCAAACTATATATGAACTGAAATCAAACAAGCTAAATCGGTCAAAGGGTTCATGAGTTATGATCGGACATAAAAACAGAGATTAAGACTTTATATAAACAGAAGTTATGTGTTTAGGCTTGTTATCTGTATGTCCAGTGCACAGTTATTGACCATGATCCGGAGTTAGTGACCAGTCTTAGATATCTAACTCAGGTTTCTTTTTTATCTATTATCGCTTTTCAAGGGCGTACACAGGAATTGTCTAGGGACCTTAAATTTTTTTTTTTCAAGGGGGGCTCCTCACCAGTTGGGGTTAAAAGTACTATATATAGTACTGTACTGTATATATAGTACTGCACTGTACAATACTGTACTATGCAGTACTGTACTATATTCAGCATAGTTTCAGTAGAAGTAAATATTTCCGTTTACTGTTATAGCGCCAATATAAGGATTTTTCTCTATTTGGATAATGAGATAGATATAAAGATAGATGTTACCGCCGTACTGCTATCCTATACCATACGGTACTATACTGTACTATACAGCACTTTCCTGTACTTTACTGTACTATACGGTACTATACTGTACTATACTGTACTATACGGTACTATACTGTACTATACTGTACTATACTGTACTATACTGTACCATACTGTACTTTACTGTACTATACTGTACTATACTGTGCTATACTGTACTATACTGTACTGTATTATACTGTATTGTAGTGTACTATACTGTACTATACTGTACTATACGGTACTATACTGTGCTATACTGTAGACTCCGAGAAATCCCATGTACATGTTGGTGAAGGAAGTGTGCGTTGCTCTGGGGGTATTTGAGAAAGGTATAATAAAATTTAGAAACCTTTTCATCCTCATTTCATATCTTACAATGCTTTAAAGTGACTGTAAGCGTAATTTTAACCGAACGTCATTTTCGGTCGAAAAGTGTTTAGTTCTGATAATTTATCCAGGCATTCTTATACGGCAAGAAATGCGGAGGTCACTTATGCCGAAAAACCACAAATGGGTAAATGCAATATTTGCATGGAGGGTCACTTGACATTACGCTGAAAGTTCTTTAAATATTAAGCTTTAATTTGTAAATTCCTTTTTTAGATGAAGGTTTTGACACGGAAGGATTGAAAACTAAATCTATTTTTGTGATTGGTCAGTTCATTTATATCTTCGTTTCAATCATCCCAGCCTCGCTTATATTCCATTTCAGGTAATTTAAATTTTAAATACAGAGTGTCCCAAAAAACGCTCCTGTTGAAAACTTCAGAAGTCTATAAAAGGGTCAATATTCGATCTACAAAACTATAATTTAAAACCCCGGTTACAAAACTGTAGAGTTTAGACCTTTATTCCCCGTTTTTTTAGACACCCTGCATAACATTTGTCCATCTGTTTTCTGACGTCCGTTTGTATCGTCAAATTATTTTGTGGGATCTCACATGAAGGGAAAGGTTTATGGATGGTAAAAATTTAAAAAAAATTAGATTTGTCAGAATCCACAAGAAATTTTGTTGTTACTGTTTAATAATTTAAGAAGAGAAAATGCCGAAGAAAGAGCAACAATTACAAGATTAAAACAAACATGAGAGCGAAGTACTCTGAAAGCCTAATTATACATAATTTAAAGACAGGGTGTCCCAAAAATATGAGAATAAATGGAAGACTTTAATTGATCCGTAATATTGTTTATTGACTAATTACAAGGGGGCCATGGATCTTAGCTACCTCTCCGTGTATATTAGCCTGAGTGGACACTAAATATAATTTACTGATAAAGGATGTTAAGAGATTATGACCTAGTGATACAGTAAAAACATCAAATATGCAATACGTCTTCGTAGTACAAGTGTATAGGAAGGTTTTGTATCTTAAATTGTACTCAGTTTTCTCAGGACCGTTTAATAACGATGAAATATTGCTCTGTAAAAGACTGTAATAGTTTGAATCCTGTGAAAATGGAATCCTGCATACGATAAAGGAGTAGTGGATTTTAATAGTTACATGGAAAACAAATTCTCCATTTAAATGTTTTCAGAAATTACCCCCGAGTACTGTAATATACAGATTGACCTTTGGAAGTGAAGTATATGGCCTGTACAATTAATAAAGGATTAGCGTACATCATCTCTCTATATACTATAACATCGCTGGCTTATTAACAGACAATTGTTGTCTGCCATTTTTCCTTAAAAATGAAGTATTCACCATATTGCTCAGATGGGAGTCTAATAGAACAGAAAAAGTTAGGAATTAGTTTTTTTGAGGTTGATGCAGCATGCAAATATAGGGAAGGTATATTTTTTATTTTAAGTTTTCTGTAATAAAAAACCGACTGTTTTAGAGAGAAAAAAACTCAAGCTTCTAAGAAGTATTAACAATTTCTTTTCTTGACATCTAATAATTTTTTTCCGAAATATTATTTTTTTTAATAATAATAATTTAATTTAAGCAACAGAAAAGTATAGAAGCAATTGATTTTGAAAAGACCCGCCTGAAACTTAAAAAAATAAAATCAAAGAAGATTTTTTGTGCGGAACAAATTTCTTTGACATTGGACTAGTGAGTACGTTTCTTGTATAAACAACTGGTCCGTCCTAATGACGTACTTTGGGCCGGACGATAGTTTGGCTGCTGGATAGGGAAGATTCTTAACTGATAGATAATTAAGACAAACACAGTTGGAGGAGGGGGGTGGGGGGAATCCATAGACGCCATGAGCCTTCGCTATGCAGACCAAGCCTCAGCTATGCAGTAATGAGCATGCGCAAAATGTGCCTGTGTAATGCAGGATGTATTTTAAAATTTGTGTTATAAGTTTAAATAAAAGATTTCTTTACACATTTTTTGACAAAGTGGCATGAGAGGTTTCTGAAAGATGAGAAGTATTTTTCAATTATCATAAATAGTGCCTAATTATGACTAATAAAATAGTATATAAAGCTTAAAAGATTTTTTACACAAGAAGGAAATATTTAGAGAAAAAAATTTGATCCGAATTTCACTTTATCTTTTATAATCTTTGATTTATGCGATACATTTTTTTGTAGTTTAAATCAAATCTAGAAAATTTGTATCATTTATTTAAACCTTAACATTTTTCAAAAAAAAGTTTTGTTTAAATCAAAGATTACAATAAAAGAAACTAAGTTTACTCCAGCAATATTTCTCAAATAACTTCCTTTTTGCGCAAGAAATGTTTAAATTTAGTGTAAATCAGGGAGTAAGGACGCGGTTCGCCCTACCATATGATTATACATGCTTTACAAACGAAGTACTCCATTTGAAAAATAATTTTTTTTAAAGGTCGTCTTTTAATTTTTTAAATGTAGTTACTTTACCATAATAAATAAAAACAATCTTATTTAATATAAAAAAATATGTTTGTATTGCTAATAATTTTGCATCTTAAAAAATGAATTTATTTGGCGATGTTCAGCATACTTTTTTCTCTGTTAAATGTATTCAATGACCTTTTCTGAATACATGTAATTGTGCATATGACGACATTTAAATATTTCTTATTCAAATGGAGTACTTCGTCTGTAAAGCATGTATAATCATATGGTAGGGCGAACCGCGTCAGTTATATCTCCCTTCTATTCCTTACTCCCTGGTGTAAATCTTATAAATCTAATCATAACAATCAATAAATAACTCTTAATCTTCAGTAAAATTCTTATGCCACTACGTCAAAAAAATTGTTAAAAATAAAAACCAAGATTCAAAAAAAGCTGTGCTGTATGGTGGAGGCTCATTTACTGCATAGCGGAGGCTTGGTCTTTATAGTGGAGGCTTGGTCTGCCTAGCAAATCTGGGAGGTTCGTGTCTGCATAGCGGAGGCTCATGGCGTCCGGGGCTTCCCTCCCTCGTTGTAGACGTCATCTGGTCGACCATTGTATAGTGTTAAGAAGAAACGTTCTCTACTTTCACTTGTTTTTGTTTCAGAGGATTGAATACGACGTTTATTCTGTTTCTGATCCTGGCAGCAACATGGCAGGGTGGCTCCTATTATGTTTTCCAGTTTACTAAAACATACAACAAGAAGTTTGATGACAAGAAGAAAGAAATGCTCGATTAATGGCGAAGTCTCGCACTCCACTAGACGGAAGGTCAAAATATATGCGACAATACTTATTCGACTTTGTGACCTTATCGCTCATCTATTTTTTAGTGTTTCCACAAGTGCGATAAAAACTATTTTTTTGGTTACACATTTGTAATTTCTTCTTCTCAATAGCTCTTCAATTAAAGAAGTTATGGTTAAAAAATTTGAAAGATATCAATCAAACGCAAATTTAAACTTTAATATATAAAAATTCACGAAAGTATTTTTTTAAAAAAAGTTTATTGCATCCAAATAAAGTTGACCAACAGTCGTCGTTGTATGAATACCAATACAATGAAGACGACTTTCTAATTCAATTTTAACAGCAGACATCATAAACATTTAAACAAACAGATTTTGTCAATTAACCGCTTCTCTGTTTACTTGTTAACTTGTAGTGTGATAAATGCTTGTTACGGATCAAAGCATTATTACAAATAAAAAGTCGTATTCATTGTATTGACCGCTTTAGAAAAAGGGAAGATCCTTAAAAATGAAGTATGACGCACATTGTAAAATGTATTTAGTATACTTGAGAATTCTTTAATCAAAATATATGAAAAGATATATCAAAATATATTTCAGTTTTTATTAAAAAGAATAATTCTTATTTGACACTCTTGACGATCCTCAGTAGTCAAAATTCTTTGAACATATATATCTATATATAAATTTGGCTTGTCTGTTTGTTTGTATCCAATAAACGTCAAAACGGCTGAACCGATCGGGCCCAAATTTTTTGTGGGACATCTAGGGACCCCAGGGAAGGTTTATGAATCATCAAAATTCGATCGTCATTAAATTTTTTAAAATTTTGAAAATCCGCGAAATTTTTTGTGAAAATCCGCAAATTATTTTTGTTTTGTTTTACGATGTACACAAAGAGAACATGTTCACAATTAATTTAGGAGATGGGCGCGAAGCGCCCTCTAAGGCTAGAAAGAAGGGCGCGAAGCGCCTTGAATTTCTAATAATTGCTTTATATTGTAATACTGAAGGGAAAGAATCTCTAATCAAAATTTGAAAAAGTGATATTTAGTTGAGATGTTCTTGAATATGAGCAAAATATAAGTAAACGTACAGGGATTACCCACAAACAATAAACTAGTTAAATCCTTTGCTTAATAATTTGATAAGCCATTATTAATCCTATATTTAAGACAGAATAATTAACGCCATGGGAGTAATATTTTTAGAGTTTTATGTCGTCTTTACTCTTTATAGTCTAATCCTATGTAGATAAACCTGACAGTATGTATGCGATAAATGACACTATTTTTTTATACAAAACGTTGTATCATGTTCTTAAACATTTCTGAAAAATTAACAGTGAAGAGACTGTATTACTCTAGTAGACGAAATACAGGTTTCCGAGAAGAGACACAGAGAAAGCAAAAGAATAAGTAAAGCTTACCTCAGATGTGCACAACCGACCACCCTATTAATTGATTAACAGGGGTTGTGTACATCACGATATACGTATCCAACACTGAACACCTTTTCAGTGATCAAAAGCATTAAATTTTGATAATTCACATAATAGTTTCCTATGACAAGAATATTTCATTGATTTTTTTAAGTGAAAGATTGATCCCATGTCAGATTTCGACATCCGTCTTGTGTTTACATTACCGCTCAGAGACAGTACAAAAGATGCGTACACCTCTGAAATAACCTTTCTTCCATTACAACCGTGACCTCCCCAAAGAAATGCGACTGAGGCGAGCTTTACCTCTTCGTTTCCTTTCTCTGGGACTATATGAGAGGGGGGAGTCAAACGCCACCCAATCGTGTTTGCGGCATGCGCACTCCTCATTTGGTAATCAGGAAAAAGAAAGGCGAACATTAAACTATTAATGTCTTAGAAATTTTCAAAGCTGAGGAGCAAAAAGAAAGCTTTAACCTCAAATACACCTAAGTATTGCTATAATGTCGTCTTTCTATTCGTAGTTTTCTGGTTATCACTGTATCTACCCAGAGTTCTATAACGCTAATTCGAAAGAAATTATCCGTTTTTAATCCAAGATGGCCGATATTAAAACAAGAAACCAACAGTTCATTGCATACTTCTCATAAAATTAGCATTAGTTTTAAATCTCAGCACTAAACTTATCTATTGAAAATAAAACAAAATTAGTTCCATGAACAAATTTATTTAAAGGTACACGTTTAATTCCATCTATTCCCAGGAGATTGTATTTTTCATCTGCGCAATACTATCTTCAACACGTGTAGGAGCCATCTTGGTTCCTTCAATTCGGGCTTTGCGCAATCTAAAAACAAAATGGTAGAATCAAATCATATTTGAGTTTTAGGGACGTTCTGATTCTGGTTTCCAAAACTAAAATGGGACTCAAACAACTGTGGAACATACACATGAAAGTTTAAACTCATATTTTAATTTTAAACCATCCAATGTGAAGTACAGTGAGCAAAGACCTAATTCAATTCATAATTTGATTTCTAAGCTACTGGTATCACTTGTTAGCTTTAAAACAATGTCAAATATACATAAAAATGTCGTCGTCCTTTTCCACCGTTTCCTGGACGTCCCACTGTTTACTAAATCGGTTTAGAATTATGGTTTCAGAGTGTTTCTTTATTATTTGTAACTAGCTGAAGTACCCGACGTTGCCCGTAAAAAAATGGAAAAAATTATATTGTTGAAAAAAAATCGAATTTCGTAGCTAATATATATACTAGCTTAAGGGCCCGGCGTTGTCCGTGAAATTTTAGAAACACTTGAAAAAAATGGAATTTTGAAAAAAATTGATTTTTTAAGCCAAGGGTTACCTAAAAAAAATTCAGCCATTTTGGCCGAGCCGTTTGGCCGGCTACAGCTTACATAAATATAAGAACGAAGAGCTTTATTATATAGATAAAACTAAAACAATGAGCAGTCTAAATCTATGTTGAAAGCTCTTAAATTTATTATAAAGAAAAAAGTCTTTTGAAGTCCTTCGAATATGTAAGGTAAGTGCTTATATAATACAAATCTATATCATAGCAGCTGGTGCGAAATAGTGACATAGTAGCTCCTCTAGTTTCGTTTATACACCGACAAAACAAAAGCTAAATTTTGTGTTAGATTTTAATTTAAAGGAACTGTAAAAGAAAATAGGGTGTAGGATAAAACCTGAGAATCTCAGGCGTTAAATGATACAAGAAGACATCTATCTGATGTTCCTGTCTCGAGAAATTGATATAAAACTGTGTCAAATTTATACGAAAATTCATATATATTCAATTTAGTATAAAAGTTGTGGTATTTAACAGAAAACAAATACGCAACCAATCTGAAAACGACGATATTCCACAGGAGCCTGAGAATCTCAGATTTGCTCCTATTATAGTTTTTATTTTTATTTTGAATTTTCAAAAGATATAATTGAAAACATTATTACATATAGTCCGTATTACGTCACCAGAACTTCAGCCAATGGCAGTGGAGTATACTGGTCACGTGATTTCCGTCTGTATCACGTGACACCGATACTGCACTGCCATTGGCTGAAGTTCTGGTGACGTAATACCGACTATACGGTCTTATATGTATCGTTCAACGCCTGAGATTCTCAGGTTTCATTCTATACCCCCTTTCATTTTTCCTTTACAGTATCTTTAACGTACAATTTACCTATATTTAAAGTATGTACTAAACATATATAAAAATAATAAATAGTGAATTAATGAATTAAATAAACTTACTTAAAAAGATATTGATCTGGTCTGAGATCTGTAGATTTTCTAGCTTCAATCCCAACCCTCTCCTAGTACAGTTGAATAGGTAGACAACATTTAAAGGTACTGTAGACGTAATTCCAAGTGGCCCTTCAGTCCATATACATAGAGTTACGTGTCTGATTAACAATGATACCTTTAGAACCTTTATACAGTCAAAAAAGACAGTTTGTTTTGAATCTTCATAACAAAAACAAATCTCAAAACCTGAAGAGGGTCCATTTTCAAAAATGTGGAACTAACCCCTTTTTTATTACTCTGTGAGGTTAGGAGAATCTTCAACACAACATTTTAAATGAGATAACTATTATCAATGTTTTTTACTCTTAAAGTGTAGTATTTTAAATTGCGGGTTCTCTTACAGTGAATACCAGATATATGAATACATAGCAAGAGTTTTTTATAATGTAGTATTACATATTTAAGATAAAATGCCGCGGAAAAACGAGTTTAATATTACCATATGAATTGCAATAATATTTCAGAGCTATATTAAACTCATTTTTCCGCGGCATTAGATCTTAAATATGTAATACGACATTACAAAAAACTCTTGCTATGTATTCATATGTCTGTTATTCACTGTATAAAAACGAGTCATTTGAAATTAAAACGACAGTCTACTGTATAAAATCTTACATATTCATTACACTATTTAAAATCATAACTTATGTCTAACTATTCCATAGCTAGATGGGTACCCAATATAGAAGCACTGATAAACAATTCCACGGATTCTATTTGACAAATCCTCTCACAAACTTTGAAAAAATCATTTTTCCCCAGAACATGAGACAAAGTTTTTAACAGTTTTTTCTTAACTTAGCTTGGAGGTTATCAGCCTGCAATTTGAGATACAATTATAAGAAAAAATCATTATTTGTTTTTTTTTAAAACAGTGATTTTAAACTAGTCACCGACCTGTTCAGGTGTCAGGTAGGGGCGAGTACATAATAAAGCATTTGTCTTCTCCTAAAAATATATAATATAATATAAATGTCGTGTAAAATTGATCGCCTTAGAAAGTAAAATAAAAGGGTCCAGAGGCCGAATTTAAAGAATTTGAGCCGCGGCTTAAATCCGCCAAAACTCGGTTTAAATTAAGCACCGGCTTAAATCTCGTAACATTTGATACAATTTAAGTGGAACCAAGTATATTTAACCGAGGTTGAAATTCAAACCGTCGCTCAAATTCTTTAAATTCGGCCTCAGTTCTATCTTTACTTTATTAGGTTCAGACAGAAATATAGGAAAAAATAAGTGATAAGTTTTATTTTTAATTATTTTGAAACATACAAGGTGTCCCACGAAACATAAAAATTGAGAGACGACATGAAAGTCGACTTTGATGTTTGAACTAATACGCAGTATACTTGCGTAACCCGAATTGGAAAAGTAAAACAATAATCACAACATACGACCCTAGTCCTGGTATTTCCAATATGTGGTCTGGCTTTTTTGAGATTACAATTTTGTTACAATCTTTGTTTTAATTCAATTAATTAAAATCTTAACGAAATTCTCAAAATCTTCAGTATCAGCTGAAGCACAAAAAGGCAGATTACATTTATAAAATGCCAGGACTAGACGAATTTTGAAATTGTTTTAAGATTTATTCATGTTTAAGTAGTTTGATGAATGAATGCCTTCAATTATTTCAAAGATTAAAGACGACCTTTAAGTTGTCTCCTAACTGTCATGCTTCGTGGGACACCCTGTAGTTTAAAAACAATGAAAAAACAATTTAAAATTGGAACCTACCCTATTAATATCCTTCTCTAGTGTGTTTAGATGCCAGGGCATAACCTTCCTCACCATTTGATGTTTTCCAGACCAAATATAACCACTAAACAATATTTACTGTGGTCAGTTGTACACTGTACAGCCCTAGTCAGCCCTATTCGGACACCGGAATTATATAAATTGATTGATAACTTCAAAGTCGTCTTTGACCTAAGAAGTAGCTTGCGGCATTCATTATAGAATACCTGATTTTAGCAATAGTTTGTTATGAAACAATAATTACAAAATAGTCAAGTACTGCCATTTCCAAAATGTGGTCTGCAATTTTCATGCTCTCAAAATACCAGAAATAATAAGAATTTCATATAAATTTAAATTTATTAGATGAAGCGATGAAAATGTCTTGTGCTGAAAGAAATCATTCCTGTCTACGGTAATTATAAAAGCGCAAAAATGGCAGACCACATTTTGGAAATGACAACTAGGTCTAATCTGTGATTATTGTTTTTATAAAAGATACAACTAAAATCAGGTTACCTATGTTGAATGCCGTAAACTATTTCTAAGGTCAAAGGCAAATTTGAAGTCATCGATCAAAATTTATTATTTTAGGTTATTTTGAATAGGACTAAATACAATACAATGCAATAAGTTTCAGCTTCCATACGCTTTTACTTTTGACTTTCAAAAATTGGTCGCAGCCCCCACCCCCTCCCCTCCCACAATTGAGGATTGAAGATTTCAAACTCAACATTGTTTTCAAGATGAAAATGATAATTGATCAGTTTAATGTTCAAATAGAATTCTTGGAATAAAATTCTAAATTTTAACAATTTGAACACGGGAAAATCTCAGATCAAAATCAAACTTTTAAATTGAATTGCCAAAAGTAAATAAAAATTCTTAGAAAATTTTAACATCAACAATTTGCAACGTATACTGATAATAATCAAAGTAAATCATGATCAAATCAAATTACGAAATGAAGGGATTGGGTTCAGTTATACAGACCAGATCGTTTCAATTCTTCACAACAACAAGGTTCTATTTTAGTCAAACTTTATCATTTTAATCATGTTTTCAGAAATAATTCAAAACGACCAAACTTCAATGACTAATTTCGAATTTAAAAATTTAAAAATTTCGTTAAAAATTCATTTTAGGAAATCCACCAATGAATTCATTATTGGAAATCCACCAATGAATTCATTATTGGAAATCCACCAATGAATTCATTGTTGGAAATCCACCAATGAATTCATTATTGGAAATCCACCAATGAATCATTGTTGGAAATCCACCAATGAAAACAGAAAAATCTGCAAAACTTTCCAGATTTTTGATGTATGGCCGGTGGGATTTCAAAGCTAAAATCAGTATAATTGAGAAATTACTAAACCATAAAATATTGCAAAGTGCTCACTTAGGTCTCTTTTTTGGCCAGGCGAGTAAGATCTGTGTCAGACGCATGTTTGTTCTGAAAAGAATAAATCTATCAAGTAAAGACTACAACTGAAAGTCCTGTTCTAGGTATACAGGCGTATTCTGATTCATTTACTAGGTTTATACAACAAGGGGTTCAGTTTGATATTTCTTGGTGAGGGATTTCTCAAAATATTCTTCATATTCCTTCTTCAAAGTTTCGCGTCGCTCGAAGAAATCTCTCATCATAACCTAAATAGATAAGATAGTTATAATGTTAAAGGGATTCATTTTACAAAGTGTCAGGTCGGACTATTCCTCATTAATCTATGGAAAAACTTTTAACCGTTGAACACTTTCTTTAAACGGTTTTTTATTAAAAAAATATTAATCTGCTCTTCCTAATTTTCTAGATGTGACAGAAAATACAAATTTTCTTTCCAATATTTTGAAAACCGCTTTCAACGTGAAATATACATAAGTAACGGATCAGCCGTGTTGAATTCACACTGTACACAGAGGTTTGCAAGAATTAACAAGGTATTCGATAGACTTACACACTCGATTAACAGAAAAAGGTTTTAATGGTACCGTTGTAAATCGGATATTGCCCTCTTTGCGTGGAGAGTCACTTGAAATTACGCTTAGAATTAGATTAGAAACCGAGCTTTGCCCGGCGTTTTCTCTATGAAAATCAACCCACTCAAATTTTTAACTAAGCTATGAAAATCGGTCAAAGAGTTCATAAGTTATGACATCCAAACCAACAGACAAACAGAGATTACTACTTTAATTTTATCAGAGTGTCCCTAAAAATGGTATGCTAACGGGTTATATAGCCTTTTCTACATTAAAGATATAAAATTTGGACTTTTTCTGGAGGAATCTTTTTCTTTTCTTTTTTGACCCGAAGTCTTGTTTTGGGACCAGAAAACTGGGGGTATTTAAATCTACACCTGAATAATATCTACTTAAAGTTCTTATCAAACTGCGTTGTATTTCAAGACAAAAAATTAAACAAATTCTTGGGATTTATTTATTCAAAGGTTTTTAAAATCCATTGTCCTAAGACGACGTTATGAATTGTTAACATATTAAAAAATATTCTATTTTATTAGTGGTCCAGTCAGATGAAAAGTATTTCAACAAGTATTTTTCTAAAGAATCAATTTTTGTTTAAGATATAAACAATTTGAATAGAAATCGAAGAGACCAAAATCATCTATCAGGAACTTAAAAGGAACGAAGGCTTAATTTCAATTAGGTGACATATGTCATCGATCCATAAGTGTCCCCTTAAAACCTTCGTCTGATAATTTTCTCTCATTGCTTCTGTAGCAACAAATCCGCAAGTCATTTTTATAGAAAAAATATTCAATATTTCCACCAATTTTAGTCCAATAAATGTTTAAAGGGTACCGTTGTGAATCAAATATTCCAATTCACTTAAAATTACGTTTAAAGTTCCTTTAAGAACCAACATTTTTATTTAAAAATTAGATAAAAAAACTGTTCCTAAGACATCTCTGTTCAATAATATGAAGGATTCCAAGAAGAATCGAAAATCTATAATCCTAAAAACGATCGGAACTTTTTTAGACAATTTCCAATATCCCTCTATTTAACGGCACCCTTTAGAACTTAAGCTGATCAACAATGTAGAAGATATTGTCATTGAAAAAATAAATTTACAAAGTTAAAATATAAAAATCTTATTCATTCTTTATCATACAGAGCTTTAAAGGGTGCCGTTCTGAATCAACTATGCCGTTTACAAAAAAAAAGATTAGTTGAAATTTCGTTCACAATCTCTTTAAATGGTGATATACCTTCTCCCAAGGATGATATTGATCAAATAGATAATCCAGATGAGTGTGTTCTCTTCTGTAGCAGATACCTCCTGCATCGTTCTATACAGAATAGAGATTTCATTTTAATATTTCAGGATATATGGATGGGTGTCCAAAAAAGGAGATCGGAGCCATAATTTTTGAACTGTTCATTCTTGAGGGATCCTATTTTCTAAAAAAATTGTATACGAATGATTGAAATATGGTTGCCATTGAAGACAATGCATTAATCCAAAAACCCTTTTCACTTTTTTTGCGACATCTTTTGTGCGTTATTGAAGACGCAACAAAACTTTGGTTAAAATTTTATTTAACATTTTTACAAATTTTAATGTATATGGATAGTGGATATTGATTCATTCGTTAGAGTCCAAGAAAACTATAAATAAACTAAGTTCCTAAGACGATAGGTCAACATTCTAACTCTTTTAACTGAAATTTAAAATTTGCCTGTGTTCACTGTTGATTGTTCCCTTGCATCAAAATTTATGAAAATCAATCGAGTCTTTGCCACAAACTCTGAATATCCATCCAATGCAATCACTATATCTTAGCAACCCAATGTCATAGACCTTAGACATTTCAAACTATGACTCTTGTTAGATCAAATAATCTAATAATCTAAATTAATGGATTAGAAAGTTTGATTTTGTGACAAAGACTCAATTCCTGAAGAGATTTCCTAAATGTAACCTGGCGTTGATTGCTTTATAATTCTAAAAATTAACAACGCTGTGCACCCCTTGGTTCCCCCTAGTCTACCTTAAAGATGATAGGATCACTATGCTGCTTCTCCCACAGTTCATGTTTAGCTTCCTCCAACCTTGCAGCATTCACTCTCATATCCTTCTCATTCCTAGTCTCATCAAACCTATAAAAGAGTTCATGTTTAGCTTCCTCCAACCTTGCAGCAGTCACTCTCATATCCTTCTCATTCCTAGTCTCATCAAACCTATACAATAACTCGTGTTAATCCTTCTAATTCCTAGTTTCATCAATCCTATACAAGAGCTCATGTTTTGTCTTATCAAACCAAGAAGAGGGTTCATAATATTTTCCTCTTCTCATGGCATTTATCCCTCTTATTCAAAGTCTCATGGGTAATGATTGAAACCTACTCATGAGTTCATGAAATATACCTCTTATTGTAGTATTTTTCCTTCTCAATTCCTAGTTTCGTAAAACCTATAATCTATAAGTCTAGATATAAAGTTGTCTGTTAGTTTGTTTGTTTGTCCTATCATAACTCAGGAACCCCATGGCCGATTTGCCTTAAATTTGAATTGAGGAACTCGTTCTCAGCGTCGTATTGAGATTCTAAATAGAGTGTGTCGACTTATATTGGGAAATAATAGCTAAAATCGTAATTTACGACCAAGTGCGGGTAAACGGCGGGAGTAACTCTGGGCAACTTTGGGTTCCCAAGCTAGTACAAGATAAATCTACAATTATCCCTCCAAACTGTGATATTAAATACAAAATAATTATCGTTTTTATCAACTCTAAAATTTTAAATTTTGTAATTAAAAAAGCTTCCAGGGTTACCGAAATATATTAGGAAAGTAGATTCTATCTTATTGAATAAATTCTGAATATAATTTTAACCCATTTCAAATCACTAACGTTGCTAATAGCAATTAAGCTAATGTAGAAATATGTAAACTGAACTTAAAACTAAAATAAAAAAGTTTAACTTAATTTTGAAACTTCTAAGTCATTAAATCATTTTATCTTTTCCACAAAACTGAGTTTCAAATTGTTTCTCTGAAAATATGTTCCCCTGACTTCTGCATAACTTTACATAAAAACTGCCTAGTGCCTACCTGGCTCGAAGAACTGTTGCATTAAACCTATGCTCAGCTTTACCCAGAGTCCAATTCTCAGTGGAACGAAGAGCAGCCTGAAGAATACAAATACATTTTTAACAAATCTATTCCCAGTAAAATGCTGAAAGATATGAACCTTGAATGATGAAGGTGCTATTCCCTTTGAAAAATTAAAACTATTTAAAAATACTGTAAGCGTAATTTCAAGTGACCTTCCATTAAAGAAGTGGCATGCTCGATTTACAACGATATACTCTTTAAACCTTTGTTTGATCAAGAATTTCGTGGATTTTCTTATTTCTACATAGAAAGTTAAGTGCCAAGAACCGCGCAAGTGTACACTAGCACGGAGTGTACAGTGTACACTGTAACCTCGAGTCTCCCTGCGCTCATATTTTGCTATAAGAATGCGGTTATCTACCTCATCGTTATTCCGACATAGGTTTACAGGGTACCGTTGTGAATCGGACACGTCACTCTATACATCAAAAGTCACTTGAAATTACGCAACAGTCACTGTAACTATTATTTATATTACGTAGGGACCGATTATAATGTTACAAAAACAACTAACAAGCCCCTTTATTTATATTAAAGAAGTCCCTTCAACAGGTAAAATAATTTTTAATACTTGGTAAAGCTCAAGCTCACTTCTTAATATATAATTAACAAAAGATTTCTCTCTTAACGGACATTTAGGAAAATGTGAATTTATTGAAGGAGTCTGTACCCCANAACTGGAAAACTCCTTAATTGCATTTAATTATGCCTTACCTTGTATAATCTGCAAACCTTCTGAGCATGGGTCAATATCTCCTTAGGTCCACTCATGATTCTTCTGGAAATATAACAAATAAACAAAACTAATGGGCTTTGTGGACAAAGGAACAAAATACAAAATGCGTTGAAAATGCACAGAATATTTTACATGAGAGGAAAACATTTTCGAACTTATTTAAACAATAAGTATGATGATGATATTGATAATTATGATGAAACTATTGATGGATAATGGATATATTTGATTGATGGATTGCTGTGAGCTAAATATGTTTGATTGATTAATTGCTCTGAACTATATATGTTTGATTGATGGATTGCTATGAGCATGATATATTTAATTGATGATTCCTATGAGCTAGATATATTTTATTGGTTGGTTGCTATGATTTTGATATATCTGATTGATTGCTATGAGCTTGATATGTTTGATTATGAGCAGGTTATTTTTGATGAGATAGGTTCAAGTGCAGCAGCTTCCTTGTTGTACACCTCTATACTCCTTGTCATCACTTCCCACAGCTTCTCCTTAGTGGCCTTCTTACTCAGTATCTGAACATATATTTATTATACGTGTTCTCAGGTGTACATGCTTTTATTTGTGGGCTTGACAAATTAGTTTATTCCCCTTCCCCTAAATTAGAAAATAACCATAACATGTAAAAACATAAATAATATTTATAAAATAAATATCTAAAGCAGTGATTGTAACATGAAAAGTATGAGGCCTAGAAAAAAGTATACACCTTGAAATATAGCTATCCAATATAAACTTGATTGTGAAAATTAAACGAAATTTAATCCCTCAGATCCAAAACCCCCAACTGCAAAGTTTGTTTTGGAACACCCTGTATGTACTGGAAGGAGGGGGGCGGCATTAATATTTTCCGGGAAATTTCTGTGTAATACGTCTTTGAGTGGTACCATTTCAATTATTTATATTCTTAGGAAATTACCAAAACGTGATCCTAACATAAATAATATTTATAAAATTATATCCGACCTTAAACCAAGCTTTTTCTCCACTCTCAATACCATTCATCAACGGTATCTATATTAACCAATATTCTATTAAAATAATAAAATAATTAATTAGAGTTTATAACAAGAAAACATCCATTGTTTAATTCAAACAATGAAAAAAAATGATTGTTGAAAAATATTGAACAGAATTTGTTCTCATGGTATTTTTTAAAATTAATTAATTGATTAATTGATTAATCGATTAAGTTCCTGAATTCCATATATTTCTAGAGTGAGCTGTATTATACCCAGAGCAGTAATGGATGGATCTGTACTAAGAACATGCGGATCATGGTACAGGTCCTTAATAATAATAAGAAAATATAGTAAATAGAGATTAGAGAATAGTTTCAGAAACTAGTGAAGAACGTAAATAAAATAGATGTACATATACCATTATAGTGTACGTTTACCCAGTTCAGTTTACCTGTACCCTGTTCAGTGTACCTGTACCCTGTTCAGTGTACCTGTACCCTGTTCAGTGTACCTGTACCCTGTTCAGAATACCTTTTCCTATTTAGTGTACCTGTCCCTGTTTAATGTACCTGTACCTGTACCTGTACCTGTAATAGCTTCCATGATGTCTCTGCTAAAGGATATTTATCCCAGTCCTCAGCGCTCATCCAATCTCTATTCTCGTCAAACAAATTAAAATCAAAATCAAAATCAAGATTTATTAACTTCAAATCGTCTAATTAAATAATTTTCTTACAATGGAAAAATAGCAAAATTGAATATGGGTATTTTCGGGTTTAAAATTTAACTCGCCGAAATCGACGAGTGATTTTTTACCATTTATTCAAAAAAAACAAATTTAATTCTAGATGATTAGTGTTCCTAATAGAGCTGAGGTAATGAAGAAGGTACTTGTGCGGGTGAATAAACCGAACCTAAATAATAAAAATCTTCTAGGTTTCGGAAATGATCATAGCGCAAGCTTTTCCACGGGCGTATACTGGGATAAGGGTTGGAGGATAAGCCCCCCTGGATCAGTGAAACCTATGGTTTACAGACGGTTTCAAATTTTCTAAGATCCCCTGGAAAGAAAATAATCTTAGCTTCATCTGGAAAAATATCTGTTTAAGCCCCTGAAGAATTCATACATTTTGAACAAATTTGAATCAGAATATCGTTAAAACTTATTGGATTTTCTGTTTTTCTTGGGAGGATTTCAACCTTTTTCAAAATTTGCCAGTTCTGTATATATTTTCGGACAAATTTTTTTAAAAATAGTTGGGAAAATGTTCATTGCTTTCCAAAATTTCATAAAAATTTATCAAAATTGAATGAATCTTATTTTATTCTCGAATCTTATTAACTGTACAATTAGCTATAAAATTATAGCTCAATATATTTGTCAAAAATGTTTTTTCATACACAATAACTCTTGTAATTATTTCATGTAAATTTTGTTAAACCAAATAACCTTACGAAAATAAAAATATTTCGTTTTAAAAAATTGAATGAGACATAACAAAAAATGTTAGCCAATTATTTTCATTTTTGAAGTAAGAACGTCAGTTCTAAGGTTATAATTTGATAAAATTAACAGCAATCCACTCTTATTTTTGGCGGATTTTTAAATATACCTCATTTAATTTTAATTCATTTTTATGAGACAGTAAACATTGTCACATTTTACTTTTTTATGCGTAAAATCCGAACAAAACGAAAATCTGAATTTATCTTTGTTCTCTCAGATCGCCGCCTGGTGAAAGGGTCATTAAAGGGACAGTAAAGGAAAAATGAAAGGGGGTATAGACTGAAAGCTAATCACTTTAGCTCTCGATCGCGACCCATGAAAGTTTTATCAGATGTTCCTATCTCGAGAAATTGATTTACAACTGTGTCAAATTTATACGAAAATTAATATATATACAATTTTGTATAAAAGTAGTGGGTTTAAATAGATTAAATTCAGCAAATATGCAACCAATCTGAAAACGATAATATCCCCGAGAAAGCTAATTATTACTTAGGTTTACTCCAATTCTAATTTTATATTTGTTATTTCTATTTTTAATAGATTTAATCCATAATATCATTTACACGTCCGAATTGCTTGACCAGAAAATCCACCAATGACAGTGCAGTAAAGTGGTCACGTGATACAGGCAGAGACACGTGATCAGTATACTGCTCTGCCATTGGTGATAGTTCTGGTCACGTGATTTAAGTTTAAGATTTTCTAAATTTTACATATATGAACTTTCGTATGATTTTAACACAGTTTTATATCAATTTCTCGAGACAGAAACATCAGATAAAACTTTCATGGGTCGCGATCAAGAGCTAAAGTGATCAGCTTTCAGCCTATACCCCCTTTCATTTTTCCTTTACTGTCCCTTTAAACATGATCCCCTACTCGTTCCATGCCATACAATTTTGAATACTAAGGGTGATTCATTTGTTTCTTTATTTTTGCAAACAATCTCTTTATGTGGAGTTCCTACCTGAAACCCAACCATCCTAAGGACGAACAGTTCTGTCTGGACGATAGCATCTCTGATGTTCCAATATTCGTCCCCTAGAGCCAAGGGTTCTAGAGTTCTAGAACAAATAAATTTAGCTGGAGTGTTAAAAAATGGTAGTGTAAAAAAGAATATTGTTTTCTAGCTTGAGAACCCAGCCCTGCCAAGGTTACTAAGGTTGCCGGGAAACTAAATTCTCTCTAATAAAGTGGACCTACTCAAATTAGAATCTCAAAACCAAGATAAAAACATTTTCTTGAATCTCCCGAGTTCAACAGTTATAATTTGAGGCAAATCGGTCCATGAAATGTCCAGACATTTAAAAATATTTATCCAATTTATTAGGATTCTAAGAATGTCTTGTGTTATCTTCACTTATATAAGCGTTGGTATTGCCATAGTTCTTTGTAAAGAATAATCAGGGGGGGGGGAGAATAATGGCTGAATAAAGTAAACTGAAGGCATAATTGTTAAAGAAACTGGTTAATTACCTGTGAAGGACAGCATGGACAACATTTATAACATCCCGAAGTTTCAGATGATCATCTTCTACTTTACCACCTACAGACATATATTTTTATAAACTGAGGATTCAAAGGGACTGATCTTGTAATTTCAGGTGATAATCTTCTACTTTACCACCTACAGACATATATTTTTATAAACTGAGTATTTAAAGGGACTGATCTTGTAATTTCAGGTGATCATCTTCTACTTTACCAACTACAAACATATACTTTTATAAACTGAGTATTTAAAGGGACTGATCTTGTAATTTCAGGTGATCATCTTCTACTTTACCAACTACAAACATATATTTTTATAAACTGAGTATTTAAAGGGAATGTTGTGATTTCAAGAGATCCTCAATCTAAAAAAGGAGAGGCATGCCCGATTCACGGAGGTTCCATTCAACCCTATTTCTGATCAATAATGTACAAGATGTCATCGTTTTTAATCAATTGAAAATAGATTAATTTTGACAGTTTACTTGATTGTTTTTGTAAGCAGAAATCCGTAAATTACTTGTGAGAAGCCCCAATTTGATATAGTTGAACAAAGAAAAAAAAGATAACCAGGCTGCCCATAAGTGAGAAGGCTTTATTATCTATTGTAACTCCATTTTTAAAGAATTTTGAGTAACCCTGCATCTAGACTATGAGTGGCATATTCGATTCTTAACCTTTAACTTTTTGTTGAATACTGGCAATTTCTTTTATTATCTGTGCAGCATGAATCCGCAATTTTGAGAAACTTCAATTAAAAATAAATCATCAATGATTTTATAATACATTAAGAACATTTAATTAATGCTTGATTAGACCGCTGTTGAAAGGTACCACTGTAAATCGGAAATTCCACTCTAAACATGGAAAATACCTTGAAATGTTGCCTACAGTCCCTGTAATATATATATGTATTTACCTAGATATATACAGGTTCCTGCCACCAGGTAAGGATCATAATCCAGTATGTTTGCACAACTAACAGAACAACAAATAAAAATTTAGATAGTTGAACCACATAGGCTCGCCTCCTATTTAAATTAGTAAAATCAAAGGCACAACTGGGAAGGAAGAAAGAAATGAGGGGGGGGGGGGTGGACACTGGACAGACACACTCCCTAAGTTTTAAATAGAGATTGATAAATGGGGTAGGGATAGCATTACACTCCAGTAGTGGATAGATGGTCAAAAAGAGATGTGAAGAGATGGAAACTCATCATGTTTTAGCCTTAGAAAGATGAATCTTTTGTGCACTTGTTTGATAGAAATGCTCAATTCTATCTTGCTCCGGTCCAAAGTTAATCTTTTTGTGCGTGCAAAATTAATTCACAAGTGCAAGCTTACTTTAATGTTGTAGAAATCCGATAAATAAAATAGTTATTCGGCTTGTATGTGAAATGGACGTTATTAGGCAGTTTAATACTAAAATTTGAAAACCAGAACAACATGTTTAATATTATTAATAAATCTACCTCCCTCTTATCATCTTAAGTTTTATAATCGTTACTGAATCAGTTTTGATTCCTTCAATAATAAACCAAATTGGATTTTGGTTAAAAATAAATTTTTAGACGTTTGAATTCTTTGAAAAATTATTCCGTGCGTTGTTTGGTGTTGATTCTTGGATATTATCCACTGTGATAAGTTTTCATTACTGACCGTTAGGTGGCACCAAAGTTAGTTATATGCTTTCCGATACAAATGATAGTATACCTTTATTCTATTGTTAGTAAACTTAACTCAAGTAAGATAAAAAGTTTACCTGAAAAACTTATGGAATAAGCATGCAGCCGTAGCTGAAGTGATGCACTTGGCTTCCAGCTTCTTACAGCATTCAAGGATAAAATGTGTTACAATATAATGAGTACTTCCTCGCATATAGTCAACCTAGAGATTAGCAGTTAGTCTGAATAGCACGAAGTGATAGGTCAGTTGAAAAGGATCTTATAGTAAAGGACAACTATCAAAAGAACATAAGAAACCATTGGAATCTCTAAGGAAAACGAGACCGGAGGAATCAAAGCGTAAGAGAGATTTGGGAGATCATTCGAATGATGAGGGCTCAATGATACTTACAGAGAATGGTGTCCAAGACACTTGAATCGATGCATTCAAAATTAGACCAGACAGGACGGAAAGAATATTTTTGAATTGTACTAATAATTGCTTTTAAACATTTTTTTCTTCTCTAGAAATGTTTATTAAATCAACATGTAAATATAAGTACAATGAATTTATTCCTGAAAATTCTTTAATTTGATGATATAGTGACTAGTGACTAGATTACATTGGGAAATGAATTGTTGGTTAATATAATATTAAAGTAATGTAACTTAATTAGACATACAGAAAGCCATGATCGAAAGACTCGGAATAAATTTACTTTTAATAAAACAACTTTAAAATCTAATTTTACAAATATGATTGATGAAACTAAAATCACTAAATAGCCCTAGTCCTGCCATTTCAAAAATGTGGTCTTCCTTTTATTGAGCATTGAAAATTGCCAGAGATATATATACCTAAACCATTTTATATAAAATTATGTTTAGTATTATGTGAAATGAAATCTCAATAGTAAAAATAATAATAATTAATCATGATTATGAATTAAAAAATTACAAAAGAATACAAGTTTGGAAAAATTAATGATTTTCTACCTGTTTCTCTATTAATCCCTCATCCTTATCATCTCCTAGAGTTATCAGAGGTCTTCCAAATATAACCTGACAAATATAAATATACAGCATTTACAAATAATCGCAATTTGTCCTGTCTGATCGATCATAACTCAGGAACCCGCTGACCAATTTGGCTCTATTATCACCTGGGGAACACAGTAGAACTAAGCAAATATTTTTAGCCTAGTTTAAACTTAGGCCGAGTGAGTTGTCTTTTGAAGAGAAAATGTTTCCAGGCAAAGCTATTACATTATAAATATAAAGGGTTACACATAATTTGTTTACTTTTTCCTTTAACAATAATGGTTTCATACAGCTTTTAACTACTTATGTTGTCATATCATCAATATTTTAAAAGACTTAATTCAAAACCGAATACCAAATATAACTTTCAGAATAAATGAGTTAAAAAATTTAGGTCCTCATTAAAGTCTCATCCTTTAAAATAATCCTGATAAAATTTACATATTCATATAGTCTTGTTTAAATAGATCAAGATATATATATATATATAAAAATTGGAAGAATTTGAAAATTGGACTTAAGTAAAACATGCAAAGATGATGATACAAAAATAAATATCTTTCATAAAATAAAATACATGAAAATTCGAGAACTAATGTTCACCTGTTGGGCCGCGTTTATATCTGGCGGGGCACTTCCATTGTAATTCATTTTTGGACCGCCCTGTATTTTATATACTCAAATACTTTTCTGGCAGGACACCCTGTCTTCTTTTTTATCTGTAATTAGTTTAAACTTTGGTTTAGTTTTCATACAAAACATACAAATTCAGACATCAAGGATTAATATACAAGATAATGTTTAAGTTAAAGGGGTTGGATATTTAGATAAAATCAATTGACGTCAGATAATCAGAAAATCTTGGAAATATTTTCATCCTTTGTTAAAAGTTCCAAAAATATCTTAACAGAGGAATCATTTTTCGTAGAACATCTTCACAATATCAAAAGATTAATGCTAGGTAACATCTTGTTAAAAATTGTTTTCATTTTATCATAAAAATTTAAAATTATCTATAAATAATTTAAAATTTTTTAAGATAACAATTAATAAGGGTTAGCGAGCGGTAGGTTGGTTTGTTTTGTAAAATCACTTAACTGTACAGTGTACATTGTTCAACTAGCGTACAGTGTACATTGTACAATGTACAGTGTACACTGTACACTATACTCTGTACAAAATGCACTATACTCTGCGCAATGTACATTGTACGCTGTACGCTGTACATTAATTAAAGTACATATTACTTGTCCCAACAATACCCCAAACGTATTAAGAAAATAAATTTAATCAATTAGATAAAACATTAATACAAGCAAAACATATCACAACGTAAATGCAATAATGAATCAAATGACAATTAATCAATCAAACTATAATGAAAAGTTTTATCATGCAGAATATTTGCAATAATAATAATAATTAATTATTTGTGTATTAGTTTCTGGGTTAAAATATGGACCGGGGGGCTGCTATCAACTTATATTGGATTGTCTGAAGTATGGTGGAGAGAGGTAATTGTCAATATTGTTAGAGCACTTCTCAATACCGTCGCCATCAAATACAGATAAAACAGATAAAGAAAAAGAGATCATCTGTTTTTGTCTTGAATCTAGGAAAGGTTGTTAAGTGGTACTATTTCTATTTCGAGCCAAATTTCTTTTTAGAGTATACAAAGAAATTCCTATAAAATAACAAAGAACGGGTAAAAGCTGAAACACCATATACTCTTAAAACAAACTTAGAACGATAAAAAATAGTAGCAATGTTGAAAAAAGCACTCTACCCATCTTTTCGAATTTGTGTAAACTGTTATTAATATTTAAAATTTGTTGATTTAATCATGGTTATCGATTATTTAGGTATATTTCATGAATTTCAGCTATCCCAGCCATCAAACGGATGGTTAGAAGCTTTTTTCTGATTTAAAGTGCGTTTTTTATGAATATTTTATCAGCTGACAGAAAATTTTTAAAAGTAAGAATAACGCGGTCTTTGGATGAATATTTGATTAGCTGTCAGTACATTCCAGAAGTAAGAATACCGCGGTCTTTAGATGAATATTTGATCAGCTGAGAGAACATTGCAGAAAGGAGACACTATCTCGCTGGTGAGGAAGTAGAAGATAAGACCAAAAGTGATGGAGATGGGCAGAGCAGGCAGGGCGCGTCTAAACAAGAAACATCAAGCTTAATTTTCAAATGATTAAAATATAAGAAACTGCACAAATCTACATAATTAAGCTCTTCCCTCATATATATATTATAATCTTATGCGGAAAAAATTTAATAATGGAATTTCACGGGCAACGCCGGGCACTTCAACTAGTTATTGATAAATGGAGACAAAAAAATGAAAGAGGCTACTGTCGATACATGTGTTCAAAATTTGAATTAATCTTCAGTTTCTTATTTACCATCTAATGTTACTCTTAAGCAAATTTTCCCTCTAGTAATGATAGCTGCATACCGGATATGTTTATCAAATACTTATTATAAACGCATAAAATAGAATATGCTATGATTCATCACTCAACCTACGTTTATTTCACAGATAAAATATGTTAATAAAACTCGTTGAGAACCTAATATGCTGCATCCTAGTTTGGATGAAAACTAAATGATGAAAAACATAATAAACAACATAACAAATGTCCAATTAAATAACAGGAAAAATCCTCCAACTTCAAGAAACAAATACGTAGGGCCAAAATTTGATAAATATAAACTGCCTACTGCCGGTTTGAATTTGAATCACTGATTCTAACCTTCTTAACTTTGAATCCGTGGTTCAAATTTGAACTCGGTGCAGTAGGAAGTGCTGTGAAAAAAAAATATTGTAGCTAAAAAAAAAATTTCTGGAAAATCAAGTTAAAATCATTTTAGCCAATGTTACCCACAGGGTATCCATGGGTTCACTCCAAAATGTTCAGCCAATTTGGTTCAGCCGTTTGGCCAGCTATAGCTAACATATATACATATATCTATCTATACATGTAAAGTTGAAATCTCCTCTGATTGTCTGCTTGTTTGTTTGTCCGTTCATTACTCAAGAAACCCTGAACCGATTTGCCTCAAATATTGATTGGGAAATTTGGGAGACCCATAGGAATGTTCTCAGCTTGGTTTAGAGAATCTAAGTTGAGTGGGTCGTAATTTACGACCAAGTGCGGGTAAACGGAAAGAGTAACTATAAGCAACCTGGGCAACGCTGGGTTCCCAAGTTCGTATATATATATATATATATGAGTGAAGAGCTTTATTTTATAGAGTTAAAGGAATATATCAAGAGAAGGAAGTTCTTCTATTCCTAATCCTAATCAAAACTCCCGGAGGTGATCAAGCTTCTTTACAAGAAAATGGTTTTGTGTCATTTCATAGAAAGCAAATCAAATCAAGTTTAAATCTGAAATACAAGAGGAAAATTGATATTATTCAAAACTCACGTTACAACACCTTCATGGACCTATTCAAGGGACTGTACACTAAAAGTGACTCTCCATTAAGGATTGGAATATCTGATCTAAACCCGAGCTTCTAAAACCTTTATAACTAAGAAACAACGATTTTGTAGATGTTCTATCCAATAAGTGTTTTTGTACAACACTTATTTCTGCAGTGTTTTTATTGAATCCCCCATAATAAAAAATTATCATTTTCCTGTTGCCTACATCAAGTTTTGCCTAAGAAAAAAAAGGCCTTAAAAAGTTTAGAAGGGTGCCGTCTTTAATTGGACAAGGCCAGGGTTGGTGGGCTGTTAATGGGCTTTTTTGGGTTATATTGTTTTTTTTTTTAAAAGAATTTTTCTAATTATTGCCTTTTCTTCCCTTTTGTAATGATAAACTCTTCAAGAAATAAGGTTTACTATCAGCTGTATTGATTTTAGGGAGTTTACAGCACTAAAACTGACACATTTATTCATTTTCTATGACGAAAACCAATGATCTTAACAAAGTGAATCAAGTAGAAATAATGAGTTATTTAAAAAATATTAAATTAATCAAAGTAGTCAACCTACTCACTCTGGACTTACAGACGGTTTCGGGTTTTAAACCAGACAAATCCAATTGTAGAATTTTTTTGAAGCAATCGATCATCTGCAGTGCTTGTTTTTTTTAAAATAAAAAATTGAAAAACCCAAGAAGATACACAAAACTACATCAGAGTTTTCAAAACTTGTTGCGATAGAAAAAGGATATAAAATTTCTTTATCATTTTTATTTGTGAATGAGCTGAAATTTTTCGGCATTTATTGTGAAACGTCCAATATATAAGCTTGTACAACAACTATTGAATAGAAAGATGGCTTATTAGGCTTAAGTTATCTTAATAAGTACAATCCAATGGACTTAAAACACAGCAACTATGAGTGCACAAACGATTAATGAAATGTGGGCAGACGCTGAACTCCAACCTTCGAGTGTGCGAGGTGGGGAAGACTTCACTGCCGCGCTAGATTAAAAGCATGATTAAGGGGGGATGACATTTGAAGATCGAGATTGAATCCTAGCCGCAGCGCTCGGCCCAGAAAGTGTCATAACTAAACCTAACCCGTGGCCGCAGCGCTCGGCTCCCTAGCCTGTCCTAGCCGCAGCGCTCGGCCCAGAAAGTTTCTTAACCTAACCTAACTAAATAAATGAAAGTGTCCTAACTTAACCTAAACCGTGGCCGCAGTGTTTAGCCCCCTAGCCTGTCCTAGTCGCAGCACTCGGCCCAGAAAGTGTCTTAACCTAACCTAACCCTAAATAAATACTAATTTAATTGAAAATTGTTGAAAAAGTGGTCATGTACAAAAGTAAAATCTGCAGTGAAGTCTTCCCCACCTCGCACACTCGAAGGTTGGAGTTCAGCGTCTGCCTGAAATGTGGTCTTCATATTCCAGTTTATGGGTCCAACTGTAAACTGTTCAGTGTCCAGTACCTGAACAAAGCTAGGAAGACAAGGGTTAAGCAGAGTCCAATCAGAATTGCCACGAAGCATGCCAGGGTAGTATTCCAGTCACCATTACTACTAGCCTAGTTCAACCATGTCATCCTTACAAGAACTTACTTCAAGTGACTTTGTTGTAATTTCAAATCACAAAGCTGGTCACAAAATTAATATTGTGGAAAATATTGTCATTTTTCAAGCTTAAATAGATAAATTGAGGGTCACTTGAAATTCTAACTTCAGAAAATTCAACATTTGCATATTTCAAGTAAGAAATGTAGGCAAGGATTGACTTTCCTTTCCAACCAGGATGGAGTAGAAGATAAAATCTCCTAAACCAAGCTTTACTCCTCTATCCTCATCATCCTCCTCCATCTAAAAAAACAGCATCTTATATACGGCCAAAGCCAACTAAATCAGTCTAAAAAAACAATTTACCTTGGACCAAATCTAATGAATATGAGCTACGTGGCTAAACTGCCAGTTCAATTTGAATCACCGATTAAAAGTTTAAGATTCAAAAAGGATTTAAATCCGTGATTCAAATTTGAACCGACTGTAGGAAGTTCAGCGACCCTGCAAATTCATTAAATTTGGTCCCAGGAAAAACTTGTTTAATGTTCTTCCAGGTTTAATCCAATCATAATAATAGACAAAACAAATGATATTATTCATAATTGGGACAGACAGATTTCAATGGTTTTGACGATATATAAAGTGGAGAGAGTCGTGATTGTGTATGTGTTTTTATGTTTGGTGTATGCGTGTCTGTTTGATACTTACAGACGATCAAACGGAAACGATGAAAAATATCACTTCAGGATATGACCACCACGGGATATTTAAGAGGAACTTAAGTAATCCCTAGTTCTTCATAATATGGAGATAAATGCTTGATCCCTAGTTTCCCGACACAGAAGTTCCTACTACTGCATGGGACACCAAGTTAAGTTAATTAATTCGGTAGTTCTGAAGTCAAAAGCACAAGCTTGGATAATGATCATAAAATCAACAACGCTAAAATCTGATTGGTTCAAAGCAATTCGACCGAGAGGAGTGAATAAATCAAACTTAAGTAAATCCTTAGTTGATATTGGTATTTAAAATACGTTTTTCACAGAGTTTCATTTAATCACTATTTTACCAATAAAAAAGGCTTCCATTTTCTAAGAATTATAAATATAAATTTGTTTTCCAATGAGAAGCAGAAAACAATACAAAAACAATTTAGACCTTATCATCGTACTTTTTCTATTTAAACCAGACTTTTAAAGTTAAATAAGAAAAGTATTAAAAAAAAATCAAATTATGATAATATAATACTGCCTGTCAATAAGACCAAAACGAATCATTTTAGTAAAGTAATCATATAATAAAAATATAGTTTATTGACAATTACTCTATATACTTTTTTAAAACAAGAGTTGAACAGAAGGAACGGTGCAGGGTCGGTAAATGCTCCCCTTGAATGAGTATCTTTGTACAGAACCCCTTTGGCAGTTACCCAAGGAAGATACGTTCACTGGCCGCGTTGAATTATAAGAAGAGAGAGATTAGTAAATATTTTAGGGTTAGGTTATGACAGGCAAGGGGGCCAAACGTCCCGGCTAGGGGCCGAGTATCGCGGCTAGAACAGACTCTCTCTGTCTTGTAAATCAACGCGGCATGCGCACATAACTTTCTTAGGCTTCTACCAACCCCGTTATAATCTGTGGTGAAAAGTTGTCAAAAACTATTTTCGCATACATAAGAGAAATCCAGTGAAATCCCAGAGATTTACAATAACACTAATACCTAACACTCCATTTATTATTTACAGAGCAAAGAAATCCAAATGAAATTAATGATCAGACAACAGCCACAGTTGTTACCCAATATTGATGTCACTACTCTAGATGTTTGCTTTGCTACATTGTTGTTGCTACCGTGTTGTTACATGCTGCTGTTGTTGTAGTTTCATTTTGTCATTGCCTGCCATTGTTGTTGTCGCAGCCCAAAAAAAAACACCCAAAAAAAAACAATAAAACCCACTTTCAAAACCCACTTGTAAGTGGATTTTTTTGGGGTTTATTGGGTTTTTATAGACTTCTAATAAACGTTTTTTCTTCACTCTTATAATGATAAAAGGTCTACTATCAACTAAATTGATTTTTCAAAATATGTTGCGATAGAATAAGGATATAAAATCCCTTTAGCATTTTTATGTTGAAGTGAATCGAAGTTTTTCGGTATTTAACAATGGTCTTCCTTCTTGAGCATATAATTATCTAGCGATTAATCGAAGTAAAAATATGTATCCAAGTGAGAAAATAGAAGTAGCCTAAAATTCATAGAACTACATATTCTATGAAAAAAATTGCAGTATTTCACCTATGAAGGCCCCCTATGAAGAAGGGAGGTGATATTATTGTATTTGAAGTGTATCTATATATGATTACAGCCTATTATCTCAACAATATTATTATTTTTAAGAACTTAATATAAAATTCACCTATTGCTTCAGAAGTCTTATTGTTCTAAATTAATATGAATTTACAAATTGAAAAACTCAAAAAAACCCCCCCCCCCCAAAAAAACACTCCAAAATCAAATATAACCCAAAAAACCACTGAGTTTTTTCTGAAAAAAACCTGTTTTTTTCCAACCCTGCTTTTGTGGCTTAATAAAGTTGCTATATTGTTATTACCTCATGTTGTTATCGCTGGGTTATTATCTATTGTTGTTGTTTGATTAAGTTGCTATAAATTTGTTACCTGCTGTTGTTGTTGTTGGCGTTGTCTAGCAAGGTGGGCTCTATGCTCCTCAGGGTGTTCTTCCATCTAAACAAAGCATTTGAGAATCTAAAGGTGGGTGGGGGGGGGGGGGGTAAACTCAGGTTTGTTTACATTTCCCGGAGCATTTATGAAAAATAGCATTTATAAAAACTATGCAGGTCGTACAAAACATCTAACATCAGTGGTTTAAATTCAGATTTTGCTTACCCATTCTCTAACTCGCTGTGCTCGCGATTCTTCCCTACTCTGTGGATTCTCTTGTCCCCATCCCTCGGTAAACCCATCAAGTTCGTCCTGACGTCCACCATGCTCCCTCGGCCGGCCAGCCGATCCTTTCCTTCGGCCGCCAGTATCTCTAGCTTCAGGCCTAGCGCTTCCTGAAGCCATGGCACTGGAACAATAATAAGTTGAGTTAAATAACAAAAATTATCGCAATTTTACGAGAAAAAAAACGTCTAATTCTTCAAAATAAGTTTTCCAGATTTGTCTTCGGTAATTTTTGTCTGGAATTTTTGATAAACAACAAACAATCAACCATCATTCCATACATAAGGTACAAATACATAATAGATATTTTTAACATATTAATAAATACTCATTAATTTTTTTCAGAGTAATATTCGCTAGATTTGAGAAAATAAATAATTTGACATTATTGAAAATAAATATTTTGATATGAAATAAATACCATTTTTCCACAAAAATTCAATTTTAAAAAGTAAATGTGAATTATAAACTATCACTGTTTACAGGGGGTGGGGTATATATATATATACTATACAGGAGGGTGTGTGTGTAAATATACTATATTGGGGTAGGGTGTGTACTGCACAGTGTGTGCCTAAAAACCGGCATTTCGACCGGGCGGGAATTATTTTTCCATCAAAATCTGCATCAAAGTTCTTTAATGTTTACTGTAAGAAATTCATTTTTCTTTAACTCAAGATTAGATTCTTGAAGATAGACATTGGAAATTGAAATATTGTTTGTTTTTATACTCTTAAAAATTTTCATTTATATCTACATAGGGTTGTTTACAACGCATTTATTCTATGTTTTAAGATAATAATTGAATTTTATGATGTCATTCACTGTTTATATAAATCTGTATGATTTTGTTTACCTATTCTCTTGTGAGTTTTCTTCTATTCTCCTGCGTCTGAAAGAAAAATTAAATTAAATTATCTCAGAATTGGGGGGAGGGGGGGAATGGAGGGAGTTGTCAATAACAAACAAAAACTAGATTAATCTGGATTGTGGATAATACGTAGAATATAATCATTAGCAGGGGAAAATGTGGGTTAAGATTTCTAATTGGCTTTTAATGCCTGAATATGATTGAATCTTAATGCGTAATTAAATATGTTTAAATCTACAACTTAAACGTAATTGGTATACACAGTGTTCCTAAAGAGCAAAAAAAGTTTAACTTGGTATTGGGGAGCAAATCATTCAATCCTCTTACTTTCTTCCATCTTCATTCTAAATCTTGATCCTATACTTTTCTGTCTTAATCCTAATCCTTTATCCTTTACAATCTTCACCTTCCATTTTTCCCAATAATTCTTATCCTAATCCTTCTTTAGTTTTTCTTTACTCTTCTATCTCGACATACTTCATTTCTTTTCCAGTCTTTTATTTTTATCTACCATCTTGGCTCTTCTATCTTCATCTGTTAAATCATACTTTTGCATTTACATTATACAAACATCAATATCTCACGGGGACAATGAGATAAGTTTTCCTGGTCCATTATGGAGTTAATGGAATTCTCTATCATCCTCTAAGAATTTTAAATGGTATTTACCCCCTTTGTTTGGTCCTCGGTGCCCGTTTGGTGCAAGTTGTTGTGAGTTGTGGGGTTCTCACAACACAAATAAAAAATGAAATAGGTTACTAGACGTTCTTAAATGTAAAGACCTCAGTTTTGAAAGGAGACTCATGAAAATTTATATCGAATAAGATAATACATGCAGAAAGTTCTGGGAAAAGAAATTAATGGAATCAAAGTTACTACGCACGTAAAAGGTGTCTTCAGTTGTACAGGGTGTGTCTTATAAAAACATCAATAATTCACCCTCATACATGAGAACCAGAAACAAGTTGAATTTGTTCCGCAATACCAAGTTAAACTTTTTTACTCGTAAGGAACTTTTTCATAAGTATACTTTATTATTTTTTTTTAATGAGACTTTTTAGTAGCAGATTTTATGGACTTGAAATATTATTTGTGAAGACATTGTATGGTTAAGTGGAATTTTCTTTGGGTGTGATAGTAAACTGCGCTGACGCAGATTTGTTATTAAAATAGTTCGAATATTAATACTAATTTTTTATTAACATTCAACCTACAGTAAAAGTTTTATATTTTGCAGGCTATATACGCTTGCATTAACCCTATCCCTGCTGGGGTACTTGAAAACCAGGATATGATGGGGGGGGGGGGGGGTCAATTTGACCCCTCTATTGAATGCCTTATGCTCTACTTTAAGAATCTGCAAAAAAATAACAAATTTGCAAAAAAATTATTTTTTTGCAAAATCCAGTTATATTGTAAAAATATGCAAAAAAAAAAACTTTGTAACATTTTTAATAACATGATGTGTAATTAAGAAAAACGAAAATGTGCAAATTTCTATTGACAGATTGGATGCAAATTTGCAAAAATGTGTTTACAAAACTTGTGCAATCCGTTTCCTTTTGCCATAGGCTTTCCAAAAAGCTGAAGTCGATCTAACTCTGAAAACTGAAAGTGGGTCAAAACAAAGATTTAGTTTGTTACAGGAATAAGTAGTCATTCAAGCAATTTTCCCGAGTCCTTCGGCAGTTAGTTTAAATGCCTGGTTTTAGACCTAAAGGTAGGGGTATGGGTATTTAGGATTTATGTAAAAAAAACTTCCCCCTCCCCCCCACCAGCGGGAATATGGTTAACAGAAATAAGAAAATCCCCGAGAAAAGCTTGATATTACAAAAAATGCAACAAAAGAAGACTGTTAATTGTGTATCAGTACGGTTTAACGTTTACCTGGCTGGTGCCTGCTGTTCTTCTTCCTCCCCATCAGCTGTAGTAGTTGTTGCAACAAGAGCATAAACCATTCCACTTAATTCAAATTACCTTTAATATCTGATCTCTATTTAATTATTTTTTTTTAAGAATCTATGAACCAGTGCAATTCATAAAAGATGGACATACTTTCATCTACATCTAAACTAAAGTCCCATTAAACTGAAGTATTTACAATAAACATATCTATATAATATAACTTGATTGAATGGCATGTCTGTACTATTTATTGACTACAATATGTTTCTTGTTTTAAACAATCTTCAGGTCAACTGGAGAATTTTTATTTTATATTTAAATATTTTTATCTATATATCTATATATATTTACCTGGAGTAGATGAGGGATGGAAAGATCTGTTCATTTCGTTCTTGAGCAGTTTCTACCAGAATTCTAAATCAGGAACTTTATGAAAACAATATAAATTAAACTTGCAAGAACAATAAGGACTCACAGTCACAACGTATTGCATACAACCAAATATTAAAGCTTTGAATTATACTAACTGAAGTGCCCAGCGTTGCCCGCGGAGTTTTGAAGAAAAAAATACAATTTTTCAAAATTTTTTTTTTGATTTTTGATAAAAAAAATATAGCCTATGTTACCCTTATAAAAGAGAAGAGCTTTATTATATAAATAATACCTACATTCTACAATCTACATATTGTACTGTACTAACATTTAATAATAATGGGTCAGTTTAATTTTTTATGCAACTGCAACGAAAAATTGGAAAATATAGAAAAAAAATTTAAAAAAACGTTAAAAAAGATAAAAAATAATATGTTGTGCTTTTACACAAATTCTCCTGAAATATTCTTGAATAAGACCGATTATAAAACATTGTTAATTGGAATAAAAATTTATGTAGCACTAACCTTAATGGTCCAAAGGGGGCAAGGACAGCAAACAGATCCCACAAACTTAATTATTTATCAGTCAGGACATTTAATTAATTATCAATTTATGAATATCTCAAAAATAACTTTTTAAAAGGAACTTACTAACTACAAGGGCCCGGCGTTGCCCGTGGAAAAAAAATATTTTGAACAAACAAAAATTTCTATTTTTTAGCCTATAAAACCCCGCGGCCACCCATGAATGTCCACAAAAAATGTCAGCCCAATCGATACAGCCGTTTGGCCGGCTGTACGCATGAATGTCTTGTTTTATCATATATATCAATTTATGAATATCTCAAAAATAGCTTTTTTAAAGGAACTGTTCTTACTAAATGTCAATTTATGAATATCTCAAAAATAGCTTTTTTAAAGGAACTGTTCTTACTAAATGTCAATTTATGAATATCTCAAAAATAACTTTTTTATAGAAACTGTTCTTAGTAACTCGCAATTTATAAATATTTTCAAAAATAACTTTTTAAAGGAACTATTCTTAATACCTAGCAATTCAAAAATATCTATAAAATAGCTTTTTAACTTGCAATTTATAAATAACTCTTAAATAGATTTTTTATAGGAACTGTTCTCGCAATTTATAAATATTCTTATTTACTAGCAATTTATAAATATCTATAAAATAGCTTGTTTATAGGAACTGTTCTTAACTTGTAATTTATAAATATTTTAAAAATAGTTTTTTTATAAGAGCTTTTATTTTTTACTATAAATTTATAAATATCTAGAAGATATCTTTTTTAAATGAACTATTATTACTTATAAATATTTCAGAAATACCTTTATTAAAGGGCCTGTTTTTGTAGTTTCACGATTGTACGATTCACAACGGTACCCTAAAAACCTTTACGAAATATGGAAAATATTGTCGTTTTACGGGACTTCGGTGTTTTATTCTGACAGCCAAATTTTTAGAGAAACTAAAAAATTTGAAAATAATTAACTCTAAATAAGAAAACATGGAAATTCATTCATTCTTGATCACAAGCTTGTAAGGGTGCCATTGTGATTCGGAAACAAGGCTCTCTCTAAATGAGAGATCATTTGTAATTACATTCACAGTCCCTTTCATGATTTGGGGTATTTAGCAATTGTCCTGATAATATTCCTAATTACACCGAGTACAACCCAGGTAGTCCAGTTGGGTAGATACTTGATAAATATCAGGGCCATCAGGGCAGACACAAATATCAGGTAGGCCTACCACCAATATTCATAAAATCAGAGATTAGAACTTTACAGTTCTTGATCCCTGGATCAAGCAGAGCAGTGGTCTGTTGTTTTTGCCGTTCTTAGGATTAAATTAATTCATTGGTGATCGTGCTCTTCTAGGGATTAAGAAAGTATTTTTCAGATTTGTTTTCACAGTAGAGATCGAGATGGTTAATTAGAGTGTACACAAAGACTATCCCTTACCACTCAAATATATGTCAAACAAAAGGCAGAGGCGTGTACAGGGGGGGGGGCCATGGGGTCTAAGCCCCCCTTGACCAGTGAAATCTATGGATTTCAGGGAGTTTTTAGGCCCCAACGGGTGCTGAGCCCCACCCCCGTGTGAAAAAAAAAATTAAGCACCCCCCATGAACAAATTCCTGAATACGCCCCTGACTAAGGGGCAGAGTGAAAAATCATAGCGTTTTCCACAAATCTTATTTTCTTTAAAAAATTATTGTTTTTAAACATTTAATAAAAATTGCCAGTTAGTTTCTTTCTTTTCATCTGACACAATGTTTTAAACATATCATTTTATTTATTTTCTGGTTATTATTAACATTTTGGTGGTTTTGTATAATTGATCAATCCATATTTATAAAATATTTCTTTAACTCTACGAGGATAGTTTCATTTCAACTTTACAATCAAGAAAACTGTATTTTTATTATTTATGTTTCTAATTTAAACACACAAAAAATAAAATCATGAGATAAAAAGGGAGAAAGAAAACACTGACGTTTTCTAACAAAAGTTTTAATGAAGAAGAAAATAAATTGATTCTGTTCCTTTTCTGTGTAGAACTAATAAAGTAATATTATTAACTTTTGACGTCTGATTTTATACACGATAAGTTTTCAGTACTAAGTTATCAATATCATTGTAAATGAAATTAATGAAACCTGAATTGATATTTTCTGAAAAGATAAAAAGTAAAAGATTTTATGAATCCCTGTTGAAGTATCAAGGGTGCCTTCCAGTAGATTGACATCATTCCAACTATTCCAAAATTCCATATTATAATCGCTGAAATGAAAACAATGAGGATTGACTATGCATTGATGCTACCCGGAACCCTTATTTTTATTAAATTCCTCCAGAGGTCTAAGTAAAGAAATATTGCCAGATGAGGTCCCATTAATCCCNATTCTTAAACAAATATTTCACTGAGGAATTGTAAATTGAGAGCTAGTACAGAAAATCGAAGAACAGAGATGCTCAATTAAGACATTTTCCCAACCTTCAAAATCCATGTGTTAAAAATTCGCCATAAAAAATAATCAATATTTTGGTTGGATATTTGGCCCAAGCTCTGGGGATATTACAGGCTAGGGGTCCTTGCGCTGCAGCATCGGATTTGATCTTTTGGACAAACGGGATTTAGTATCCAGTCCATTAATTGAGCTCACCGAGCGTGATGTAATCCATAGGCAGGTTGTATGCTTTCAGAACTTCGGAGAGGTACAGGTAGGAGAACAGGAACAGTAGCATTAAACTTTAAATCAGTCTTTCAAATAGTTAACCAAGCACAACAAAGGTGTCTATTTTCTAAAAATCCCCCCCCCCCCCCTCTCTCTCTAAAAGTCATTTTTATCATTCTGGTAAAAATATTCTTTTTTAACGTTTGAGAAATGCTATTATTGATTAATAAGTCAATTCAATAATGTGTCCGTGGAAAATAAATTAATATTTTTCTTTAAATGTTGAGATCATTTCATGAAAATTTGCTTGCCTGTGACAGAATGTAATTACTGTTCGTGAAAGGACGCGGAACTTTTCGTTACAAAATTTCATCAAAAAACTAATGTTTAATCAATTCATTAATTTTCCCCCTTCACATGAAAACAAGTCTTGATGAGTAGATACAGAGGGGATAAGTTGGGGCAAAACTCCAAGTAAGTATTTTTATCAATTGGTAATCTCTGGTTGACTTTATGTGAGTCCGATAATAACTCAAGCACCCCTGGACCGATTTGCTTCAACTTTTGATTGTGGGAACTCGGGTGCCCATGGAAATAGCTTGGTTTCAAGATTCAAGTTGAGTGGGTCGAAAAACAAACATATAAAAATACTAGCTTGGAAACCCAGCTATGCCTGGAGTTTTCCCTATACGTGAAGTCACTCAAAAATTTTCTAAAATCCCAGAACCAGGCTAAGAACATTCTCGTGGTTATGCCGAATTCCCGGGGAATTTAAAAACATCATAAAAAAACTTTTTTTTCTTTCGAATTTTGGGAGAAAAAGAATTTTTTTTTAAGCCTGTCACCCTGAGGTACCTCAAAAAATGCCAACAAATTCGGTCCAGCCGTTTGGCCAGCTGTAGTCGACATATAAATATATAATTATTTTAGCGAAGAGCTTTATTATACACTAGCTGAAGTGCCCGGCGTTGCCCGTGGAATTTTGTCAAATCGAATTTTGATTAAAAAAATTTGGTTAAAAGAAAAAAATTGGAGTTTTGAATCAATTTTTTTAGCCTATTTTACCCCTCGGGCACCCATGGGTTCTCTTAAAAAAGTTCAGCCCATTCGGTCCAGCCGTTTAGCCAGCTATAGCTAACATATATATATATATATATATATATATATATTTTACTATCTGAATGAAAATTCATTAAATATTCTTGATAAAAATAAAATATTAAGTTTTAAGAGAAGTTTAGCTGTTAGTTAAACCAAAATGCGTCATAACAGGAAAAAAGGTTGGGTTAAGTAATTATTTTGTATCTGAATGAAAATTCATTATTAACACTTAATAAAATAACACAATTTAATTCAAAGTTCCGCCGGTTAGTGTCAAGGAGCTTAAAAAAAACCGTCAAACTCCATCACAACCAAAGTTTGATTTACAAGTTAAAAACCAGTCGAACTTAAATTTTTGTTTTGTTTTGAATCGAGATAAAATTTTTTTACATCGATACTAGAGATTTTACCACCTTAACTTTTTTAAATCCATACATCTTTGAAACCTGATTGTGTAATTACTTTCATTTAACAATAAGATTTTCACCTGTCATAACAGCAATGACGGCCAGCATAATACCAGCATTTGCCAGAGCGTTCCAAGCAATAGTTCCAGCATTGTCGCTAGTCTCATGGAACGGTGTGTACACTAAATATGTTCCCTAAAATGAACAGTGTTAATTTAAACTATTCAAGTTGAGTGTATTTAGTTAATCTCTACATTAATCCCTCTGATCTCACCCTGCTTCAGATTACCTGACAATCTCGCATCTTCCAATCAACTCCCTACCTTTCCCAAAACAAGAGAATTTTACGTTCGTATCCAATTATATTCATTATCGTTCACTAACTTAGGGCCAACAACTCAAAAAAAAACTAACCAGGTAAGGCAGGACCAAACTGCATAGTAAAATGTTTATTTGTAATATCTCCTGCTTTGTAGTTGAATAAAAATATGAAAAAAATGAATGAGAAATCAGGAAAATCATCAAAATATTTAAAAAAAAAATTTCCTGATTTAGACTGGGATATATTGTATGCAAATCAAAAATTTACCAAACAAATATAACAATAAAATGTGCCCAATTTGAGGCAAATCGGTCCAGGGGTTCAATCATGAGTTATGATCGGACTTATAAACAAACAAACAGAGATATCTACTTAATAAAGTTACCTTCTCCGTGTAGTAGGTTATAGATGATATTGTAGCAACTACAGAGATATCTACTTTATATATAAAGATACCTTCTCCGTGTAGTAGGTTATAGATGATATTGTAGCAACTACAGAGATATCTACTCAATATATAAAGTTACCTTCTCTGTGTAGTAGGTTATAGATGATATTGTAGCAACTACACCTGAGATATCCACTTTATATATAAAGATACCTTCTCCGTGTAGTAGGTTACAGATGATATTGTAGCAACTAAAGAGATATCTACTTTATAAAAACAAAGATACCTTCTCCGTGTAGTAGGTTATAGATGATATTGTAGCAACTACAACTGCCATACACAGGGTGACTGGAGTAAACAGTTTTATCACATGATGAGCTCCGTATTTTAAACTCAGTTCCTCTTCGTCTTCCTCCTCGATCTATGTATATTGTATATTATAAATAAAAATACATCTCTATTTAATAAAGCTCTTCGTACCTATAGCTAGCAAAACAGCTGAACCAAATTGGCTAAAATTTGTTGACCAAATCACTGCTTTTGGTANTCCCTAAGAAATACCTCAGTTTCGCTTCTAATCAGTGAATAATTTTACTTGCTCTCATACCTGTCTTTCGACCTGTTGCCTCCTGACTCTCTCCGGTCTGGTAGGTCGACCAGCCGGGTCATCAGGTAACAAATCCTGCCTAGAACTAAACCATTATTAGAACATCTGGAGTTGTAAATTTTAGAATTGGATAAATATCCAATGTGGGCACTTTTAATTTCCTTCTAAATCCGCTCTTATTCTCTCTTTTTTGGATATTCCTTTCAGATTCCGACCAATGAGGATTCTCTCATTAAATGGCGCGAAACATTTCAAATTTCCCGGGTTCTCTGATTTTCTTTTCCGGTTTCTCCTCAACGCCACTCCATTGGTTGAGTTAGATATACTTTTGAGGATACATACTTCAGATTAAATTAATCTTGAGATTGACAAAAAGAGAAGATCAGGCATTTATCTTGATCCACATTTCAAAAGTTTTCAGCTAAGGTGTTCTTACTGTTATTGAGAAATGCTCTTTTAATATTTTTGGCAGTTAAATTTCAAGTGAAGATCAATGGCAAAGGGTTGGCATAAAAATCAAATTTAGTAGGTTTTAACGACTTTCAAATCGAAAAACCCCAAACAGCCCAAAACAACACAATAAAACCCACCGGGCTGGGGTTTTTTGTAAACACCCGGGTTTTTTTCAGTCTTGGCTAGATCTCAACCGCTCGTTCAACCGCTCCCGCTGAGTTTTTTTCTCCAAAGTATATAGCATTCCTGATCCATACAAAGATGAGAATTCCAGATTTAGAACGGTACCCTTGAAAACTTTATCTGAGTTCCTGAAAACTTTAGAATGAGAAATCCTTACTACCAGTTACTTAATCTGAGTATCCAATTGACACACTTTGATTTTCTTCTAAACCCGTTCTTTCTTGGATATAGTAGAGAAAAATCAAAAAACCGGTTTTTTTAATTTTGAGAGTCCCTCCCGTTTCTACATATAATCTTAAATGGCGCGCGAAATTTCAAATTTATCGGTTTCATATACGCGAAATTTCCGGCTTCAAATACGCGACTCAAATTGGTTGAATTTTATACACTTTTCAGGATACAAATACAAGATTAGGTTAGTCTCGATATTTAGAAAAAGAGAGGATCTCAATATTCACCATTCTAAAGTTTCCAGCTCTGATCAATAATGTGGAAGATATTTTCGGATTAAAAATGTTTATTTATGATGATTCCTAAATGTTTTCCTTTAGTAGAAATATGCAAGTCGCCTTTGTAGAAAACCCACAATGAAAAATAAACAGTTTTCGAAATTATAAATATTCATAACTAATTCAAACTTGATCAGTCAAGGGTACCATTGCGAATCGGACATTTCCATCTTTTCAATGGCGGGTAAATTGAAATTGAAAATTGCGGATTTTTCTCATACCTGTCTCTACTTCGTCTGCTCTGTACAGTACTCTGCTCTTGCTGGGAGCCTGGCATGTTACCGGTAACAACTAGTTCTGTCATACGAGTTCAGATAGATTCCTAAACAATGTCACGTCAAACTAGAGTAAATTACATTTAAAATTGAAATCTTAGATGTTTTCAATCATAACTTCTCAAAGAGCTATTAAATAGAGAAGAAAAAACATCTTTTAAATTTTTAAAATGTGACTGGGCAAATTTTCTCATACTTATGGTAAAATCAAACAAAAGGAGCTACGAGGTCCCAAACTCGTTCCAATAATGTCGCATGAGCATGACCTTCCTCTTATGTCTAATTTGAATGAAAAATATGAATGTTTTGTAAACTCAGATATTTTCTGAAGTCGCAAAAGGACTAACAAGTAATATTCGCCATAATAATAATAATAATAATAACCATCATTATGTAGAAATAAAGGTTAATTTCGGCCTAAGTTAAATAGTTTGTAAATTTTTTACAATTATTTTAATTTAAATTTAAACTTCACCTAAGGTGGAATCTCAATACAGGATGATATTATCATTATATTTTTCTATAATATTTTACCTATTTTATTAATACTGGATTGTCCTATTTCAAAAATATCTTTCAAAAAGCCATTTTATCTGAAATTAAAGTGATTTTTAGAAAAACAACGGAAGGAGACTATCGTATCAGGAAAAACCTTGGTGTCATGGTGAACAATGAGCATGTTAATGAACAATAAAATATGTGAACTTTGCAATAAAATATTGAATATAATTTACATAAATTACACAAAATCTTAAAATATCACGAATATAAAAAAGGTCACAAGAAGTTAAAATTGCAATATTTGTGGTAACTATCATATTATTGTATACGTTATACCAGGTAAATGTTTTGTTTGCCAAAAAATGCTTATTGGCTCGAATAAATACAAGGTGTTCACTGTCAACTTTCCATAACATGGTGAAAATGAAATCCAAAATCTACAAAATTACAGACAGATGGGAATAAATTATGGAGAGAGGTTCAATGGCTCCAATGGACATATAGAAAAAATAAATCAGACGTTCGGTAATATTACATCGTCGATACGTTGATCTGAACTCCTGACCTACTAACTTTCTACTTACAACAATATCCAACCTACGACAGTTGTTTAATGTGTATAATTTGAGGGTTAGGTTAACATAATTTGTGGACCGACTGCGTCCAGGTTAGGGGCCCGAACGCCGCGGCTAGGATATGCTAGAAGCCAGGCGCTTGCAGCCACGCCCACATGTCAAGCTGGTAGCTGTAAAACCAAATGCAAGCAGGTCAAAAGTTAAATATAGCGGATGTACGAAGGTCAGAAGTATAGTATAGCGGATGTGCGTAGTTTGAAAATACAATATCAGACAATCCTTGATGTTTTACCAAAAGTCGTCTTCCTCAGCATCCTCGTCCTCGCCTGCTGACATGCTACGGGGCGCTGCGATAGGATCGACAGCTGCAGCGGCAGGAACCGGTTTATTTTCTTCCTCGCTCCGCTCAGGAGAATCCAAACCGAACATTTTCTTGTTTGCACTTACCAGCGTCTGAACAGCAAAAAAAATAGAATGATTCTTCTATGGCGCTTTACGCACATTAATCTAGTATAACTATTTAAGCTTATAACTGTTGTTTTTCAAGCCACCATTCTTTTCTTTTCTTTGTACTTTATTTATTAAAACTTTTTTGGTGTTTTCGACCAGCCATACTTTATAGTCTTTCGAAGGTGTCGGTTTAGCCATTTATAAATTTATTGGATACAAACATATAAACAGAAAACCTAATTAAAATCAAGTATAACAGCCAGTTTAAGGATATATTTAACTCTGAATTGGAATTTTTGTTTTACCTGAAGATTTCTTTTTGGAGAATTTACAGGGGTTGAACTGTCGCTGCTTGGACCCGAGTCTAATCCTAGGTTTGAGGATCCAGGGAACCGAGGTCCAAGATCTTCGAGACCTCTAACTTTTGGTTTAAGATCCTCCAGACCTCCAACATTTGACCCTGCGTTAGAAAAACCTCCACTTAAGTTCTCTAAAATCTTTGATTCCATGTCTTTGCCTCCTGGATCCATAGAAACAATGTTTTCAGGATCTCTTTCAGATATTGGATTCTTGTCCTCTATGTCGGATCCAGAATCCCAGTCTGCTGCTTCCTTCACGCCCTTGAACTCAACCTTCTTGTCATAAACAAAACCTTGAAGTAAAAAGATAAAGTTAAGCCAAAGTACTAAACAACCCTTGCACCTTCCATCTCATTTACCTTCCGCACCCTTTACCTTCCACCCCCTCTTCCTTTACCTTTCACCCNCCCCTTTACCTTCCACCACATTTACCTTCCACCCCCCTTTACCTTCCACCACATTTACCTTCCACCCCCCTTTACCTTCCACCACATTTACCTTCCACCCCCCTTTACCTTCCACCACATTTACCTTCCACCCCCCTTTACCTTCTACCCCCTTTACACATTGTAGGTCGATTTTGAATATCTCAATTACTTTATACGGATTTGTAATGAGTATACATACATTCTACACTTCTAAACAACTATGTCAAAAAATTCTGTAAAATTATTTTTGGAAAGAAAAGTTAGATTTTTTTTACAATTTTTTAAGGCGCCTAAAACATAAAGCACAATGCTGATATGGACAACTGCAGGTCCATATTTGATATCTCAATTTCTTCGCACGGATTTGTAATGAGCATAGATTCTACAATTCTGAACACTATTTTCTGTAAAATAATTTTAGCAAGGACAAGTTAGATTTTTTTACATACAGGGTGAGTCAAAAAAATCTGATTTGCGGCGCCTGGAGCAAAATTGTACCTTTTTGTGCAAATCTCCTGTATGGTGTTTTTCCTTTCTTCTTGGTATATTCTGAAGTCTATACGCTGTTCAGTTGAAACCTTAAGAACCATTAAAAACAATTTTTCCGTAAAAATTAGACCAGAACTGAAAATTGCGAATTTTCTTATTACAATTTTGCAAATTTTCTGCGATTCTGTGATTCAATTAAATTTTAGATTTCGATAGAAATAATTTATTTACACATTTTTGTTTTTCTGAACTTTTGATTTTGAGAGAAAAAAAGGCTCGCGGATCTTTTTTTGGGCCATTTGAGTACCAAAATAATACAAATTAAAAAAAAATATATTGAAAAAACACCATTCAGAAGAGTAGTACAAAAAAGGTACAATTTTGCACCAGGCGCCGCAAATCACACTTTTTTGACTCACCCTGTACAAATTGTTTTAAAGCCGCCCGAAACAAATATACACATGCTGATATAGAGGTATCTAAAAATATCTTTATTCCATGATTTTTTTCTCTCGATAGTTTATAAAAATTTTCAGCTAGGACAAAAAAACGATGTGATGTTGGCTCAAACTAAAAAGTTAAAATTTGTTCATTGGAAATTTATTTTTTTTTGATTAAATATTTCTCCCGCTTACCTGGGTCTCCCTTTTTGATATTATTCTTTTCAAAAGAAAGATCCATTATTTCTTTTCTTCTTCTCAACTCCTGATTTTAATCAAATTTATATAGGAATAAATATTTTTGGAAAACAGAAACCATATTTCTTTAATTGAAAAATTGTTAGTCGATCTATTTAATTTACACTCTCAAAACCTAGCTAAGAACATTCCCGTGGTTTTCCCGAGTTCCCAAATAATAACATGAGGCAAAACAGTCAAGAGGTTCCCGAGTAATGATAGGAAAAACAAACAGAGATTAAAACTTGATATAGATGTTTACTCTGAATCTTTGTGATCTGTTCTAATTCATCTTTTTAAAAAATAAGAAAACTTGCAAAACAAGTTGATGAATAAATACTTTCCTTATCTGATAGTTTATTCAAATCCTCTCCAGGGTTCAATTCAAACTCTTTTCTGAAAAAAAGCTTTAAAAAATAAATTTTCAGAAAACCTTTAAGTTATTCGTAAAAGCAACAAACAGGCTACAATCTTTTTGAAATTATGATATTTCTTAGATTCCCAAGCATAGACCATTGTTTAAGTGTTTACCACCATTCTACATGGAATCAGCGCCCCCCCCCCCTACACAGTGGGGTACTTTAGGGGGTCAAGGGGGGTGACTGGTTTTTGATATTTTGATATTTCTTAGATTCCCAAGCATAGATCATTGTTTAAGTGTTTACCACCATTCTACATGGAATCAGCGCCCCCCCCCCCCACACAGTGGGGTATTTTAGGGGGTCATGGGGGGTGACTGGTTTTTGTCTCATTACTCCTCTTATAATGCATTTGTCTTGTGTTTCATGGTGAGAATGGACAAAATGAATATATTCTGATAATGTATTCATTTACAAACATTGTATGAGTTGTAGCTAGAATTTATTTATAATGATTTCAATTTATAATTACTTTTCCCGTTCATATATTTATCCTTGAATGGATCCTGTAATCCTGCAATATCTTTAGATGTCGTCTTTGTTACAGTGAGCTTTTCGACAGATAAACATATATTTTATAGGAAAGTACATAAAAGCACAAAGGTCTGGGATAATCTAAATATATTTGAGGATTAAAAAAGCCATATAGAAAAGATTTAGGTCCTCCAGCAGCACCCAAAAACATTAACGTATTCAGAGTAGCATGTTGAAAAATCCTATTTTAAGAGTTTTCAATGAAATAGCGGGTTTTCGTGGCCGAAATTCTTAAATAAAACATAACATTTAAACCACTTAAAGACTTCTATCAAAAAAAATATTTTTAAGCGTCCAAGCCTTCTTTGACATACAAAAACGGGTTTATGGAATAAAATCATTTTGGCTGACCCCCTGTCTTAANTAAATCAATTTAACATAAACTTTTAAACAAACCTTATATTTTCCAGTCCTTGTTCTTTACTGTTTCCCTTCATGTGCTCTTGAATTAATCTAAACATTGTCTAGTTCAAGGGACTGTCGGCGTAATTTCAAGTGACCACTTGTTAAAACCCTTTAAACCTTTATTACAGGAACATTAATTAATGTATTGTCATCTGTCAATTGTAAGGTTCCGACCATTTCTCCCACTGCAATACACAGACAGGTTTGACGCTTAGAATTCAAAGGTTTTCTTCGGCATAATAGATTGCACTTTTTTTTCAATAAAAAACAAAAAAATCCCTAATACAATCAAAATCAAATATGTAACAAACAATATCATTTAATGTTCAAAGATATTTTTTTTTTCAAAATCATTTTGTGCTTAAAAATATTTGGTGGTTTATAGATTTTTTACGATCATTTCGCTAATAAAGAAATTTTAGACGTAGAAACGCAAATTTTAAATTTAAGTAAAAAGATTGCAAAAGTAAAATTTCCCTTTTTCTATTTCACCCCCCCCCCCCTCCCCAATTTTCAAAATTACTTTCAGAAAATATGGTTACTCACAAAGGATGGCACTTTAAGGGTCTTAGAAACAACCAATTTCAGTCTATTAATAGCCAGGTAAATTTAGTTATAAAAGTCTTATCCTTTGTGAGTAACCCTGTATAAACTTCCAGTCTACACTAATTACAAACCTGATAAGAATCTCAAGTCTGATAGGATTAATACTGCCTAGATGCTTCCTATGTCTGGTTTTTAGTCTTGAGCTAAGCTGACTACAGTCACTCAGCTCAGTTAAATCCCTGAATACATTTATTTTATTTCATTTGTAATTTAAATTAAGAAAATAAATTACATAAAAACCTTTAATTTGCCCTTCTCAACAATAAAATAATAATATCAAATATGATGGCTAAACAGTAAACATGTTACCCGATCTAATATGAAAACTTTATACATTGTAATCAAAAAAATTACCCAGTTTACAATGAACCCAATCTGTCTGCCCAACAATATTATCTTCTATATAATAAAACAAAATATTTGTATATATGTTCCCTATAGCCGTCTTCTATATAATAAAACAAAATATTCGTATATATGTTCCCTATAGCCGTCTTCTATATAATAAAACAAATCATTCGTATATATGTTCCCTATAGCCGTCTTCTATTAATAAAACAAATCATTCGTTTATATATTCCCTGTAGCCGTCTTCTATATAATAAAACAAAACATTTGTATACATGTTCCCTGTAGCCGTCTTCTATATAATAAAACATGACATTCGTATATATGTTCCCTATAGCCGTCTTCTATATAATAAAACAAGACATTTGTATATATGTTCCCTATAGCCGTCTTCTATTAATAAAACAAATCATTCGTTTATATATTCCCTGTAGCCGTCTTCTATATAATAAAACAAGACATTTGTATACATGTTCCCTGTAGCCGTCTTCTATATAATAAAACAAGACATTCGTATACATGTTCCCTGTAGCCGTCTTCTATATAATAAAACATGACATTCGTTTATATATTCCTTATAGCCGTCTTCTATATAATAAAACAAGACATTCGTATATATGTTCCCTATAGCCGTCTTCTATATAATAAAACAAGATATTCGTATATATGTTCCCTATAGCCGTCTGCTGTAAAATATAACAAAATATTCGTATATATGTTCCCTGTAGCCGTCTTCTATATAATAAAACATGACATTCGTATATATGTTCCCTATAGCCGTCTTCTGTATAATAAAACAAGACATTCGTATATATGTTCCCTATAGCCAGCCAAACAGCTGAACCGAATGGGCAGAATTTTTTTTGTGTACACTCATGGTTAGTCTTGGGGTGACAAAGGCTAAATTATCATTACTCTTTAAATTGTTAAAGCTACCTGATTGGCATTGTTCTTTTCTTGCAAACTTCTTTGTCTCGATACAGAATAACTATTGCTGGAGGTTCAAATATTACACCTGAATATTTATCATTATTATAATTAATATCATTATTACTATTTTATAATTTATATCATTAGTATCATTTGTATAATTATTAAAATTATTAATATTATTATTATTATTATTATCATTATTATCATTATTATCATTTGTATTATTATTAAAATTATTAATATCATTATTATCATTATTAACATCAGTATTATCTTTATTAACATTATCAACATTTTTTGCATTATTATCATTATTATCATTATTATCACAATTATCATTATTATCATTATTATCGATATTATCATTAATAACATTATTATCATTATTATCATTATTATCATTATTATCATTATTATCGTTATTATCGTTATTATCGTTATTATCGTTATTATCGTTATTATCATTATTATTATAATTATTATCATTATTATCATTATTATCATTATTATCATTATTATCATTATTATAATTATTATCATTATTAGAATCATTATAATTTTATCATTATTATAATATTAACATTATTATCGTTATTATCATTAATAACATTATTATCATTTTTATCATTATGCTCATTATGATCATTATTATCATTATTATCACTATTATCATTATTATCGTTATTATCATTAGCTTCATTTTATATCATTATTATCATTGTTTTTATTATAATCATTATTATGATTATTATGATTATTATGATTATTTTCATTATTATCATTATTATAATTATTATCATTATTATCATTATAATCTTCATTATCATTATTATCATTATTATCATTACTATCAGTATTATTAGTATTATCATTATTATCATTATTATTAGTATTATCATTATTAACATTATTACCATTATTATCAAAATTATCATTATTATTAGCATTATCATTTTTAACATTAAGGCAACTTACCAATTTTTTTGCAGTGAAAAGTAGACTCCATGATGTATATAGTTTTGTTATTTCAGTCAGCAAATAACAAAACCTTAACGGTTTTCAGATTAAACAAACATTCAACAATCAACTTCATTCATTAAAGGGTATTTCGACGCAATTTCATAATCTCTAATTGTAGAGTGTGATGTACTATTTTCAACGGTACCCTTCAAACCTTTGAATGATCAAATTTAACAAAGATATCCTTTTGTTCATAGCACTTAAAAGATTTCTGGGAAACTTAAGGTTAGAAGTAAAGTCATAGTCAATGCCAGGGTACACTAAATTTTCGCGAAGCTCAATTATCAGCTTTAAAATTAAGAAAATCTACCTCATCCTTAAAATGTCCTGCTAAAAATAGGCTATAAATCAAAGGGTTGCTGGAAATAACGTGAACGATCTACACTCTACAGTCCAACTAAATATCTTCTATTTTTATTAATTAGTATTATGAAAATTTTAAAGGTTCATTATTGATTTTGAATTATGCACGCCCACATATCTACGTTCTACGAGGGTAATGCTTAAAGGGACTGAAAGCGAAATTTCAAGTGACCTTTCGTTTATAAAGAGGCATGTCCGATACACAACGGTACTCTTTAAACTTTTGTCCGGACAACGATGAGGTACCTCCGTGCTAATGTACACTCGCACTAGGCACTTAATTTCCCGAATATCTACAAAATCCTTGATCAAGCAAAAGTTTACAGAGTATCGTTGTAAATTGGACATGCCACTATATAAATGAAAGTTTACTTGAAATTACACTTACAGTCCCCTTAAGATACACATTTAATACATAAAAGCTTACTTACTTACTTAATTAGTATAATATTGCGGCTTTTTTACAGTAACTCCTCTATCAGAGAGCGCAACAGCTAAAGGAATAAAATATCAAAATAACAAGGTGAGGAACATACAGGTTGTCCCACTAAGAAGACGATTCGATCTTTAAAATTATTTGCGGCATCCATTCGTCAATTTAATAAATTTAATTTATTTAATGAAGCTCCTTTCTAATATATATATTTGTATGTATGTATGTATGTATATATATATATATATGTGTATTTATTTTTATGTCAGCAACAGCTAGCCAAACGGCTGGACCTTAATAAATTAAAATTGTAATTACTGTGTTTATTTAAGTTTTAAAATTGTAATGCGAGGGGTCTTGGCACTACAACTTTTGCTTGGTGAGCCCCCTGGTGTTTAAAATTCAGAAATATTTTAAATTATGAACGCAAAAAAATATTGTTATTATTATAAATATTAATGTTAATAATTATATCTAGATTTTTAAAGTTATATTTAACGCACATAAATATTGCAACAATCTGATTTCTTTACAATATTTTTCAATTGTTTCCTTTCTTACCGAGATCATCCGTGGTTAGAGCATATTTTCTATCCTTGCCAGACACCTTCTTAGTTTCCTTCCCTCCCCCTCGCATCTTACAGTGCTGAATACAAGGAGGTTAAAGTTAAATATACTTAAAGGGACTGTAAGTGTTATTTCAAGTAACCTTTAATGCCCGATGTACATCGGTACCTTTAAATCCTTTGTGTGTTTCTCGAGTAAAGAGATATGCGTGTTTAAACTTATCGAAACCCCCGCTTGTATTCAGTGTTGAGTTCAGACTGTACGTAAATCAACCAAGGAGAATGGAATATAAGGGAAAAGAAATCGACCCGGCCCGCCCTACCATATAATTATGAATGCTTTGCAGACGGTACTTCATTTGAATAAGAAATATTTGTCTGAGAAAAAATTAGGCTGAATAACGCAAACAAAAATATTAGCAATACGGTGTATTTTTTTATATTAAAAAATTGGTTTTAATTAATTAAAAAAAATAAAAGACGACCCTCTAAAAGTCTTTTTTCAAATGGAGTACCCCGTCTGCAAGGCATGTATAACCATATGGTAGGGCGGGCCGGGTCGATTCCATCTCCCTTATATTCCATGCTCCTTGAACTCAACACAGCGCAGCTGAATAGAAGAGGGTTTTGATAAGCTTGCACACACATATCTCTGTACTCGAAGAACGCACTAGGTATTCAGTGGGCAAAACTTAAGTGTTGGATCTCAAAACAAAAGTTACAAACTCAAGACACTTTATACTCCTACCTTTTTCTTCTAAAAATAATTTTAATTTTTGCTAAAACGATGGAAAATTCGGATCTACATGAAAAGTCAGACATGACCATTTCGAACATTTAAAAAATACTATATTTTCTCCATGAAACAATATGACTTGCTTTAACTTGAATTTTAAGGATCAAAATATAATTTGTTGTGTAAAAATTGTGTTAAAGAATGATTCTTGCTTAAGAACTTGACAAGAAGATAGGTATAAATGAACTGACTACTACCTGAAGGGCATCGTATGCAACATCAGAAATGAACTTTTGAGCAGCTGATGATATCAATCGAACAATCTAAAATCAACAATTTATTAAAATATATGTATAAGTGAATAAGTTCGATTTTTTTTTCGTCTGATCGAAATAAATGTAGTTTACCCCCCCCCACACTATATTGAAGAGCGAGTTGTAAAAACATCCCAATGTATTGTTGGTGAATTGCACTGTAACCTGCGGATCATCGGTGTTGACTCCAACGTGTTGTAGAATGGATTTAGTTGTAGCGTCTGATACAACAGGAGTATAAGCTTCAAGTTTAGTCAATAAACTCTCAATACCACCTATATTATTACATACAAAGGGACTGTTATCGTAATTCTAGAGAGGGGAAAAAATGATTATCAAAAGAAGAGGGAAGGGATGAGATTTTTTGGGGGGGAAATATCCAGTATGCACTCATAAAATATGCAATATGCACTCATGAAAACTAAAAAAAACATTAACCTGGAGTAGGGGGTGGAGTGTTTGGAAAATCATCCTTCGAAAAACTTCCCGACATTTTTTATCATTTTCTGAAAATATTATTTCTTTAATGATCTCTTTTTACCCTTGTAAGTGCCGCTGAACCGATCGTCTTCCTTCCTGAATAATTCAGACATTTTAATATAAAAACTTGTCAAAAAAACTTCCGCTTTAAAGTAGTTAAAATTCTTTAAATTCCTTAATGGAAAAACATTTTTAATGCAACAAAAAAAATTCAGAAAATAAAAGTTGATCAGAGCTGAAAATTTTTGAATGGTGGATATCAAAATAAATGCTTGACCTCCTCTTTCTCTTAATCTCCAGATTAAATAATGCTTGTTCTCATCTTGTTATTAATCTCCAGATTAATTAACCGATCGGGATTAAGGATATCCCATTCTTTAGTTTTCAGCTCAGAAGTCAGAACTTTTGTTTCGTGGATCTCGGAATAAATCATTGATCTTAATCTTAGCGGGTCTACGGATTAACTTGATTCCTTTCCGATATCCCTTGAATGATCCTCACAAGTATAACTTTAGTTTAGAAATAAAGCATTATTCCTCAGATTTAAAAGTGCCCACATTGGATATCGAGATCAAGCGTTCAAGTTGAACAATATCCACACATAAATTCTCATCTCAGAGCAGGAAATATTTGTGTTAGATATCTGGCTGCGCGTAAGAATCCTAGACTAAGCCGGAGATCCGAAATAAAAGTTTAGTCATTATTTAAAAAATGAATTTAGTTTATGAAAAGAAAACCAGAATTCAATTTATAATTTTGCTGAATTTTCCTTATAAACTCTACATCAGTCAACATGTCAGTATCAGTTAGGTCCTTACTTTTCTCCTCCTTCATAAATAAAATAAAATAATTAATTATTTGCTTCATTCGTTTGCTTCTTTTGATTCAATTGACGTCAAACCGAATCAGCCTTCTAGGGACTTCCTGCTCTCCAGTCTTGTAAAAATTAAGTTTAAACTTGTTAAAAAAAATTCAGCATTTCTCTTGATTTTTTTCTTCTTTCTCTGAATGGGTGGAAATAAATGATTTTTTGGTGAAAATAAACAAATTTTTGGGTTAAAAGCGTCCAAAAAAGGCATAAGTTAAGGGTTGTTTTTAATAAACTTTACAACATTTTATCCCAAAAAGAAAGAAAAACGATCTAAAAACGATTGCTATAACACATCGTTTTTGGTTGTATTCTATGAGGATCAAAATTTGGCACAATGTAAGAAAACCCATGTTTAAAATAAATTTTGCCCCTGAAAGAAAGAAACCAATTAAGGGCAAATTCCTAGTTCTGGATACCTGATCAATGTAGAGAATGGACTTAAATGCATTCAACTCTTCTGATGATAAAAACCAGCATGACCTTTATAGAATTGCCACTTACAATCAATTGAAAGATCTTTAAATCAATAAACTTAAATATTCTTTCTTAGTTCACTTAGTAAAAAATTATGATGTTGGTTTTAAAATTGATTCAAGCTACTACCCGTAACAAGGTCAACTACCTGCGTAGTGCGTAGTTCGTTGAACGAGCCATTAATTTTTCGAATAAATTAAAACTTTATTTTGAAGAATTTTTGCGAGAAACCCTAATTGTATCTTATTTTTAACTACGTCTTACGTAATCATAAAATATCAACTCTGATAAATTAATCAAAATAATCAAATGGAAATGGAAACTAATGCTTTCTTTTATCTTTATGACATGAAGAGAAGAATCATCCAGAATAATTTTTGATGATTTAGGAGGGGGGGGGGTATGAAAATTGGACTTCAAATAGGCAAGTTTTGTTTTCTTTTTGATCCATCTAACCTTAAATTTCATTTATTTTCCACTAAAAATCATATATTTTCTCCAATTTAGAGAATTCAATCCTAAATAACTTCTAGGGGGAAAAAATTTCAAAAAGGGGGGGAATGATTTTCTAGACAATATACACCCCTGGTCATCGGTCAACACAGACCGAAATATATTTACTACAAACACTACTTTGTGTCGTTTGAACCCAACACGAACACCAAATTCTAAAGTCAATGCTGGTGGTTTTCCTAGGGTTATGTTGGGTGAACATTTTTCTAGGAACTCTGAATCTGATTTTAAGATTATCTTGGTTAATTCAGGTTCCGCTTCAACTAACTTCATTCCTGCACAAAACTAGCCTTTAATTTAATTCTAACATTTTTGCTTTTTAACCGAAAGAAGTGTAGAGTGTAGAGTGTAGAGTGTAGAGTGTAGAGTGTAGAGTGTAGAGTGTAGAGTGTAGAATGCAGAATGCAGAATGCAGAATGCAAAATGCAAAATGCAAAATGCAGAATGCAGAATGCAGAATGCAGAATGCAGAATGCAGAATGCAGAATGCAGAAGCAGAATGTAGAATGTAGAATGCAGAATGTAGAATGTAGAATGCAGAATGCAGAATGCAGAATGCAGAATGCAGAATGCAGAATGCAGAATGCAGAATGCAGAATGCAGAATGCAGAATGCAGAATGCAGAATGTAGAATGCAGAATGTAGAAGGCAGAATGCGGAATGCAGAATGCAGAATGCAGAATGCAGAATGCAGAATGCAGAATGCAGAATGCAGAATGTAGAATGTAGAATGCAGAATGCAGAATGCAGAATGTAGAATGTAGAATGTATAATGTAGAATGTAGAATGTAGAATGTAGAATGTAGATGGAATTTCAAGTGGTCCTCTAACGAAGAGCATCCTTTAATCCATTAACTTAGAAAAAATTACAGAAATAGTCTTGATTTTTTTATCTAATGATTAAGTTTCGATTTTGGTTTCTCTTCCAAAGTTATGCTGCAGAGGCAAAGATGGAAAATGAAATAATTTCACACGATTCAAGATGAAATAATGACGATATCTTTTTCGTTGTTGTTTAGATCAAAGTGCAAAGGGTACTATTGTGAATCGGGCCCCCAGCTCTTTAAATTTTACATAAAAATATTAAACTTCAAGGCCGAGCCTCCATCAGAAAAAAAAGAAAAACCACCGAAAGTACGGATATTCATTAATGACACAAGTGTAAATCAACGTGTTAAAGGTTCTGCCAAGAACGCAAAAGATTACCCAATTGCACACCAACCCTGATTTGAAATTAAAAAGTTTAAAGAATTCAGGAGCAAAAAGGATTATGTTGTTTTTTTAATAGCAAGAAGAAGCCCACTAGAATGATTTCTTGATGGGAAAAATATTCATAAGAAGAATAACCATCTGCTTTTTTCTCCCTCGAAATTCTACAAAGAGGGTGAATTTAAAAAAATGGAAAATAAATATAAAAATATAATTTTTTAAACAGCTAAAACTGGTTCCTTGTTGGTTAGCATCAGGATGTCTATAGAAACCACTCCGTAGCAGAAACTCATATCTAAATAAAAATCGGATCTGTCCGTCTATTAATCAAAAACCTCATAAAATTTCTACGGAATGAGCCTAATCTATGTATTGAACAGCTGGGTATGGTCTAGATCTGAACCTTGAATGAGCCAGCCTTAAATAACAAATTTAAAACAAAGTTTCGGCCAAAATATTAAATTTTCATTCAATCTCAATTTCTAATTAGAAAGCACTTTCCAATTAAATTAAATTTGGAAATAATGGAGCTATTGTTCAGAGAATGAACATTGAACATTTTTTTCCTTATTTAAAAAAATTCTCCATTAAAATTGACAAAAAGACTAAGATTCTAGTTTACGCCTTCAACCATAGTTTTCAAAGCTCTATTGATAACAACGCTTTTTACGGAAGACATGCACCAATTTCTTTTTTAAAGAAAATATGCTTTTGTAGGTCAGTATGATTTTAAGGTTAGATAATAATAGTTTAGACCTATACGTTTATGCTATGCAATATGCATGCATCTTATGCAGCAATATTTAAGAAGTTTTATATATTAATATATAAATCCTCTCTGCATAACACTGTGCTATATATTAAACCTATATGTATATGCTATTTTTATATATATCTCATGGTATAAACGATTGAATATATAATGCATAGTCAAGATATATCTGAAGTGAGTTAGAAGTTAGATGAGACTAGTTTAGACCTGGTGTGGTAAAAGTACAGAGAATTCTGAATAGAGTCATGAGTTAGGTAATACTAGTTTAGACCTGGAGTGGTAAAATTCAAGAGAACTCTGAAGAGAGTTAGAAGTTAGATAATACTAGTTTAGACCTGGTGTGGTAAAAGTCGAGAGAACTCTGAAGAGAGTTAGATGTTAGATAATACTAGTTTAGACCTGGTGTGGTAAAATTCAAGAGAACTCTGAAGAGAGTTAGAAGTTAGGTAATACTAGTTTAGACCTGGTGTGGTAAAAGTCAAGAGAACTCTGAAGAGAGTTAGAAGTTAGGTAATACTAGTTTAGACCTGGTGTGGTAAAAGTCGAGAGAACTCTGAAGAGAGTTAAAAGTTAGGTAATACCAGTTTAGATCTGGTGTGGTAAAAGTCGAGAGAACTCTGAAGAGAGTTAAAAGTTAGATAATACTAGTTTAGACCTGGTGTGGTAAAAGTCGAGAGAACTCTGAAGAGAGTTAGAAGTTAGATAATACTAGTTTAGACCTGGTGTGGAAAAGTCAAGAGAACTCTGAAGAGAGTTAGAAGTTAGATAATACTAGTTTAGACCTGTTGTGGTAAAAGTCGAGAAAACTCTGAAGAGAGTCAGGAGTTAGAAAATACTAGTTTAGACCTGGTGTGGTAAAAGTCGAGAGAACTCTGAAGAGAGTTAGGAGTTATAAAATACTAGTTTAAACCTGGAGTGGTAAAAGTCAAGAGAACTCTGAAGAGAGTCAGGAGTTAGAAAATACTAGTTTAGACCTGTTGTGGTAAAAGTCGAGAAAACTCTGTAGAGAGTCAGGAGTTAGATAATACTAGTTTAGACCTGAGATGAGATTTTAAAAGCTTAAACCCATGTAAAACCCGGTCTTTGCGTCTGCTTAGACCCAAGTAAAGCTCAAGTCAAGACCCGGGTTTTTGATGGCCTTGAGTTTAGTAAGAACCAACCCTCTTGGGGTTTACTCTCTTTAAGACTCGAGTCTTCAGCAGCTGATTATTGTAAACAGCTGATCTGACGGCATTCTGACTGCTACAGAGAGAAAGCTTTCAAAACAGTCTCTCATTGGTCGAATCAGAACCAATCCTGACTTGGGTTCTATCTAAGCCCGAGTTTGAGTTTTAGTCGGGTTTAAGCTTTTAAAATCTCATCTCTGGTGTGGCAAAAGTCGAGAGAACTCTGAAGAGAGTTAGAAGTTAGGTAATACTAGTTTAAATCTGGTGTGGTAAAAGTCGAGAGAACTCTGAAGAGAGTTAGAAGTTAGGTAATACTAGTTTAGACCTGGTGTGGTAAAGTCAAAAGCACTCTGAAGCGAGTCAGGAGTTAGATAATACTAGTTTAGACCTGGTGTGGTAAAAGTCGAGAGAACTCTGAAGAGAGTCAGGAGTTTTTGATATTCTGTGCAGGCTCACGTTCATCGTTCCAAGCAAATATTTTATTTTCTAAAACAAGTTGGATTAAAACAAGAAGAAGTGTTTTTTAGTTTATAAATACTAGGACCAACAAAAGAAGTTGTACCGCTTAGACTTAGTTAAACTACTTATTGTCTAGTCAATTAAAAGCTTTGTCTGATAAAGAATAAATTACATATTGATGTTAATATCAATGTTCATATCAATGTAAATACAAAAATGACTAGCGCATTTTTGCTGCAACTTAAAAAACAAATAGGACTTATTAGAATTTAAAATTGTTAAGTCTAGAAAAACGACAATATCTTCCACATTATTGATCAGATTAAGGTATCAGAGGCACCGTAGTGAATCGGACATTTCCAACTTTGCATGGAGGGTCACTTAAAAAAACGCTTACAGTCCCTTTAAGTTAAATCACCTTTTCAACTGAGTCGAAACTTTCATCAAACAATTTAGGATTGTTTGCGAGAAGGTTAAATAATTCCTTATGCTTGAAGTAGTGTCTAAACTCAATCCATCAATTAAAAACAATCTTATTTGATCATTTCAAAGTAAAATCAAATCCAATCGGAGACGTCTGACTCAATTTCACAATAAAAATAATAATAAAATTTAAGTTTAATATTATACAATTTTTTTATCAATCAGAGTTCGGAACTTTTGAGTGAAGTTTTGTTCATCTTGATATCCAATTGAGGAAAAATCCTTGATCCCTGGTTTATCAAAGAGAAATTAAATCAGTCCGTAGATCTGCTCAAGAATACTGCAGGGCATCGTTTTGAGACCCGTTTTTAAACATTTAAACATTTATGCTTTTAAAAGGTTTTACAGTTCACAAGAATCTGAGATAAATTCTATTTCAAAATTGCATGCTTGACAAGTTTACTTTTATTACACAAAGCAAAACTTTACGTTTTGAAAAATCATTTTGGTTAAAATTGTTTCTTATAACAATCCCTTTTAAGCAAAGTAACAAGATGAAATAGGTTTCTTTGCCAACAAAAGTTCTATTAATACCAAAATCATTAAAAAAAAACATTCATAGTCCGTTGAAATTTGATGTTAAGTACAATAAACTCTGTGTAGTGTGTAATTGTATCTAAGATTAACCTAGAAGAATAATATTCCAGGGAAGATGAAAGGCAGACAGCTTAACAAGAAGATCTGTCAACTTCTCTTCAACTTGTTCTACTCCCAGACCAACTAGTTCAGGACATTCTCCTAGATATTCATCGTCAATATTCTGATCAATAATAACAGGCTTTTAGGACACTTCACGCACATTTAATTGAGGCTCTTCTCTTTGTACAATATCAAAGAAAAACAAACAAAAGTTTACAGATTCCGCGAATTTCTTTTAAAAGAATACTTTCTAAAGGGGTGGATTGCAAAGAAAATTTAAATTTTCAGGCTTTGTAATTACATATAAATCATATGAAGACACAGTTCTGACTTACCTAATCAAAATTTTTAGAACAAATCGGTCAGGGGGTTGTTTCATAATGGATTCAATCTTGAGTAAGTACTGTTTCTCTACTCCAATAAATTTCAAAATTTTGTATCAATTTCACGATTTTAAATTCTTTGTAAAATTCGAGAGACTCCTAGTTTATACATCTAAAGTTGGTACGATTTCTTCTCTAGAATTTAATTTTGTTTGGATAAAAACTTTTTATTATCTCTGTTTGTTTTTACCTATGAACAATAAACTCTCTTCTCGGGACATAATCGTATCATCCCCATGATGTAGAAACACCCTACACTCTCGCTTATATAATTAATATTTTTTATAGGTTTGGCATATTTTTTTATATAAAAGTAGGTTTACAAAATCAGGGCTGTATATTTTTAAGAATTAACCTTACAAAAAATCAAAATAACTCATAGCGAAAAAAATATGTTTGCTAAAAGGAGGGGGGATGATTTATTAAGAAAATATACACCCCTTTTATCAATTGTTTCTTTTTTTTCTTTATCAGTTTTAAATTTACTTGATTTCTAATATTTAATTGCCCGCATTACAGAAGTTTAATCTTGTTGTTTAAAAGTATAAAAGCGTTTTCCTGGATATTTGATCAATGGTTTCAGCTGAGTAGTTTAGAATCTCGGGACTCAACAATACTATCTGGATAATACAATTTTAAACATAACAAATACGAGAACCATTGTCCCAAGTACTATGGACAATGGACATGGTGTCCCAAAAGCATTCAGCAATGTGTCTGAAAACTATGTCCCAAAAAATATTATTCATGGTGTTCAAAGGGCTATAAATATTAAAACTTGATCGCTAAAAATTGACTATAAACACAGAAACACAATAACTGAACATCAAAATGAAATTAGTCTATATAATAAAGCTCTTCGCCTGATAATTTATATACATTTATATTTTATATGATAGCAATAGCTGGCCAAATGGCTTGATCAAATGGGCTGACATAGACTAACAAAAATCGAATTTTTGTTTTTCAATATTAAATCTTAAAAAAAAAATTATTTTATTTGACGTGCAATGCTAGTGTTGCTTAAAACTGAAATATCTAATTCTGAATAAATCATCTTACCCTAGACAGAGTTTCACTGTATTTTGGAAATATTCTGTAGAGATCTTCTAATCTTTCCAGAACTGGTGGAGAGCTGAATAAATTAACTTATGTCAGTGCTTTGGATCCAGATACATTGGATCCGCAACATTTTGGTTTTCTAGCTACGGATCCGTATCTGTTAAATCTAGGGATCCGGATCCAAGGGGCAAAATAAAATTTTAGCATTAAAATCAGAGAAAAAAGAAGAAATTGTTTTGAAAATGCTTCTTTTCTTTAAAAAATCAATAAATCTTAAAGAAATATTCATGACCCGGTCCCGGCCAGATTTATTCTTTTCAGGACATCAAAATAAAATTAATCCTAAGTACTGCTTAGAGTTTGTCAATATAGGTTTAATCAAAAATTGTCATTCGGCCTTAACATTAAGTTTTTGGGGTAATTAATAACAAAGCTTTCATAACAAATTAGCGGCTAAATAACTTATTTGTTGCTCAGATAACGGTTTATGGTACCACTGTGAATCATACCTCTTTTAAATTGGGAGTCAAATGAACGGGCGAGGGGGTTAAACTATTTTTTAACAAAATCCCCATTATATGTGTATGTGTACCTCTTAAAATGTGAAAAACGTTCTTGTCTACTTATTTCCTCCAGTATCTGAGAGAATCTATCCACCTTGAGATTGGATTCAGTTGCTGGAACATTTTTCAACTTTGTTCTCTTAGAGGGTTCAGTTGAGATCTGTCTGAACTCTATGCTCTTTACAGATTCAGCTGAAGAAAAGTTCCTGAACTCTTGTACTCCAAAACTTAACTGTTTTTGAGTCAATCTACCTAGACTATAAATACTGCGTCTAAACATTGCTCTGAAAAAATAAAAAATATTGGTATGTTAAAAGAAATTTAATTCACATTTTTACATCTATTTTTGTTTGAGTGGCTTGTCTGCTAGGGTGTTTAATAACAACAAGTTTTTTTGTCGGGTTTGGTTGGTTTATGGCCTCAAATATTTTTAGATTTTTTAGAGATTTTAAAAATCCAATATTTTAAACGGGAAAATCTGCGACTTTTCTATAGTTGTTTCTTCATGAACATTTTAGGTCCTTCAGGATTTTTTGCTCTGTTCTGATCAAGAGTAAGTCTACGTGGAGGTTGAAGAAGAAGAGGAGGCTGTTCTGGTAACTGAGGTTCTCGGTAGACCTCAGCACATCTAGCACGGAGATCCTCATCAACACTTAAAGGAGCAGAGGCCACTCCGAGGCCATTTATTGGAGGAGGAGGGGGGCCATTTATTGGAAGTGGAAAAGGCCCATTCCTTGGAGGTGGAGGGGGGCCATTTATTGAAGGTGGAGGGGGGACATTTATAGGAGGTGGAGAGGTGACAGTTACTGAAGTTTGAGGGGGGACATTTATTGGATTTTGAGGGGAGCCATTTTTTAGAGATGAATCAACTCCGTTTAAGTTATTGAGCTGCTTCTCGTTGATATTTTCATTCAAACTTTGGTCAATAAATTTATCAACTGGACTCAAAGACACCCTGCAGGATTGTAAGGATTTTGGTAGACTTAGCTTACTACTTCCACCAAAGGCACAAACAGACTCACTTCAAGTGTAAAATATAAATAATAGTAACTTACTAAAATGTTATCAACCAGTGGTGTAAACTGTATATCTTTGATGATCTGGGGAAAACGAAAAGGGTCAGTCCATTTGAAATCAGCCACTTTTTCCAAAGTCAGTAGGCACCATATTCGATTTTTTTAAAACTTTAAATATTAAAAGACCTACGTGAGACATAAATAATCAGTACACAGTACTTTTTAGACTCTGTTGACCTACGTGTGCGGAGGTCTGAGGTCATGCAGATTTGACCTCTGCATAGAAGTTGCTCTTTTCAAAATACCATAACTTTTTTTGCTTTTTGGGAAATCGACCTAATTTTGGTGTAATTAAATAGGTAATGAATAAGACTTTATTTATTGGTTCACAAAATAATCGATAAAATTAATTTTGCGGTTGTATCTTCAAATAAAAACTTAATTCTCAAAAAAAAAGTCATCGTATCGTATACTTTGATTGTTTTATTAACGTACACAAAATTTCTTATGGACTGTCCCAAAAATCAACATTAAAAGACATTCTTTATCCGACTTTAAACCCAAAAATTTCATTTATTTTCCCATTATGATTATTGATTTCCTCAATTCAGCGTATAAAACCCTAAATATATATATATATTTGCCCTCCACGCAAGCATAGACAACTTCTGGAGAAATTAAACTATTTTCGAGAAAATATGTACTTCTGATATGAAATTTTATCTTTATATAAATTTAGCTTGTCTGTCATGGTGTTTGTTTATTTGCCTGTTCTTTTCTAACCAATAAACGTCAAAACGGCTGAAGCGATCGGGCCCAAATTTTGTGTGGGACCTCACGTGACCCCAGGGAAGGTTTATATATGATTAAAATTTTTAAAATTTGTATTTAAGTTTCTTATTTTTGTAAAATTTTGAAAATGCACGAAATAAAATTATGATATCCGCAAACTTGTTTTGTTTTGTTTTATACCGTACAATTAGAGGAAATGCTCAGAGATAAAGCTACAATTAAAAGTTGAAATAGAAGATGGGCCCGAAGCGCCCTAAAAGTCTAGTAATGAAGAATTCTAGGTCGGTTTAGTATTTATCTTTTCTACAAAAGTAAATCAAAATTTATAGTTATTTATGAAAAGTTCTCTAAATTTAGAAGATAGAATTGTTATTTTTTCATTTTCATTCAACGGTTATTTGTGCAGTGTGTAAATAAGTCCATTAGAAAAATTATTTTTGTTAAATTTCATGCAATTTCTAATATTAAGTAAAAACATATTTATATTTTTAAGCATTATTCCTGAATTTATACCCACAACAGGAGTAAAATATTTGTTTGTCGTGTGTAGTTAGAAAAGCTGTTTTAAATCCTACATAAAGCCGATTTAACGTTTAATGTCTTGACCAGTAACCCTTCCTTTAAAACCATTGCTTTTAACATTAGGTTCTAGATAATAGAACAAAATTGCCGTTTACTGCGGAGGCTGTTTTTTTAAGTTTTTAAAACTGAATTAAAATGGAAATTTTTTTTTTTAAATGAAGACAAACTTCAAAGTTCTTCTAATTTGTTGTTTGAAAAATAATCTTTCATACAAATGTACTTGTCTTTAAATTGTTCTTGTTCTTTAAAATGTGAACAAAAAGAGATTTTTAAAATAAATCAGCTTGCCTAAATTTTTGCAAAATTCTTCAGTTTTTAACATTAAGTATTTTCCAATACCCTTCCCTCTAAAAAAATGCTCTTTTATTTGTAAGTTAAATTTAAAAATCTAATATTATTAATTTTTTTGAGGATCCGGATTCTGGATCCGCCGGATCAAACTGCATGATGCGGATCAAGCTCATTTCTTCAATTTTTACAGATATTGCTTCAAATCTTAAAAGCTTTGTCTATTCAAGTATCAGTGTTTAATATTTGAGATTATGCAAAAAAAATCAAAATTAAACTCTTTAAGCGCAGAAAAACCAAAATATATTCCACATTATTAATCAAATAAAGGTTTCAAAGGTACCATTGTAAATCAAGAAATTGCCATCTTTGCATGAAGGGTCACTTGAAATTACACCGTCAGTACTTTTAACAGGTTTTAATAATCTCCCGTTAATTCACAGATAAGATAATTGTATACAGGTTTTGGTTGCCATTTTTCCCTTGTATACAATGAATTCTAAGCACTGCATGGAATATTCTTGTAAATATGTATACAATGCAATGGGTGGATTAAGACTAAAATAAGCATTCCTAAGTTCCGAATGAACGATTACTGATTCGATAAAAACTGCTTCAGGTTTAGCTGGAATTCTACTGCAAAATTATTGATGTAAGTCATAAATTAGTAAAACTAATAAAAAAAATAAAATAAATTCAGCATAAATGGAACAAAATCAAGCCAATAGCTTGCTGGACATTAAACAAATATTTTGTAAACCAATAGATGACATTTAAAGGTTTATAAAATTACCATTTGAATATCTTTGATGTAAAAAAAAATTCTGTTTAAACTCTTTATCCTCGTTAAAATTTTGAACAAGCATTATGATTTCTTAGTTGGTTTGACCCTAGAAGAACGGCATAAAACATTTACCTAATTCTAGCATGCCCCAAAGCATAATCTTTATCTTCAAACTTCTGAAGAAGAATAAGGTTTAAAGGAAGAGAAGATGAGGAAGATTCTAAACTTCGTTTCCTAAAAATCAAACATAAAAAATTACAATAATTGTCAAGTCAAAAAAAAATTTTACAGAGCCAACATCATTTAAATACGAAAGAACGAGAACGCATGTCCTAATATCTTATTTATTTCNCCCCATTTCCTAGAAACAATTGTGCACAAACATTAGTCTTAGTTTAATGTGCCGCCCCACCTAACTCTAAACTTACACTAACTTAAAACTGAATTAAATAAATACTAACATAATATGCCCTAAATTGAAAGGAAGATAAGGGGGAAGGGGTCATAAAACGGATACTAAATCGAACACGGGTCTCGGCAAGAATCTGGCTACTAGTTTCTCAAATATATCGTCACTTGAAAAAAACGTCCAATTAATTTTGTATGGCTCTCAGATGTAACAAATGGATATAATTGGTCATGTGGCCGCAGCGCCCGGTCCCTTAGCCTGTCCTAGCCGCGTTGCCTAGCCCCCTAGCCTGTCCAAGCCGCGTTGCTTAGCCGCCTAGCCTGTCCTAGCCGCAGCGCTCGGCCCAGAAATTGTCTTAACCTAACCTTACCCTGAAATAATAAAAAAAATAATAATAATTTTGCTGAAAAATAAGTGGTCATGTACAAAATTAATAGGAGGGGAGGGGGTGTCCTAAAATCGTTTTCTAGGACAGATCCCCTAATTCTCTGTCCTAATCCTTTATTTTTGTTCCTAATTCCTAAACAATCTTTTATTTTTCCTCAGTTTATGTATTTCTGATTTCATTTATTGTTCTTTGTTCGTTCCTGTGCATGTATAAAACTCCTAGTTTTTTGTTGTTCCTAGCTGGCTCAATTGGTTTAACTTCAATGTTCCTGTTATAGTTTTTTTTTGTTTCTCAATCCTTTTTTGATGTTCCTAATCTAGTACTTTTTTTTGTTCTTAACTTATCCAACATTCTTGTTTTGTATTGTAACTTTTTTATGATGTTATAATGTTTCCAGTACTTTCTTTTTGGACCTTGTTCCTAAAATCCTAAATTGCATTTGTTTAGCTGACCTGTCGGCTTTGTTCCGTCTCTTAAGTACGATATTTCTTCCTATCTATGATGTGATATTGATATACCTAGTTGTTTGTGTTTTGTTCCTGATTCTTGACCAAATTTACAAATTCGCAACTAGCACTTTTGCCCGACAGGCCAACCCCCCCCCCTAGTGGCACTTCTCTAAACGTACCTGTTATTTGTTAATGTTCCTAGTATCATGAATGATGTTCTCTATTTAAATGTTAGCTCACTCAATGTTACTCTTCTCTCTTCTTTTTATGTACATTTTAAAGTTACTCTTCTATTTAAAAAACTATATTGTGTGATAAGTTAAAAATCTAATTTTTTAGTCTTTAGTCAAAAATTTTGACTCTTTTTGAGTCTTTCAAGTAAAAAAAATTTCGCCTGCGCCACGTTTTTTTTGTTCCTAAATTAATCTAGCACCTCCTTCACTTAAGTCCTGTATCCGCCCCTGTATCCGTTTGTTACATATGAGATCCATGTACAAAATTGATAGGAAGGGTTTCACGAAACCTTCGCTGCCAGAGCGGGTCGTTTTAAATTCTCTAAATTGTTCCAAGGGACTACAAAATAACATTCCATGAGCAGATCATATGTAAAGGGTGTCGTTTTTATTTGGAAATTGCTACAAGTTTGAATGGAGGACCACATAATACCGCGTAAACAATTAAAATTATTTCTTGTTGCAACAAATTTTACATTTCAGAAAGATCATGTATTCTCCACAGACCTAGATAATATTTGTGCGCTGTCCTCGCGTCTCATTGAGAATTAACATCAGATGATCTGAACTTGTTATAAACCTGTAATAATCTGGAAATTTTAGAAAATAATGATTTTTACGAGTCAGGGGTGTATAATTTCATAAAAATAATTCCCCCTCCCACCTTTTTTTAAAAGTCTATTTTCCCACAGAGAGTAGAGTGTGTTTGGGTAGAGCCCAAACTATTTTTATGGTTTTATTTGTAAAATTGGGAAAAATAAATGACTAACTGTAACGGGGAAATAATTTTTTAAATAATAAGCAATAATCATCCAGTTATTCATTTTCTCCCCACATTTTCAAAAATCGTTTCCTTTTTAAAAATATACACCACTGTTCCCAGGAAAATAAGAAATAATGAGTGATCTAGTGCTTTATCATCTTGTTTTTTTTTGCTCTAATTTGCTACAATAATACAAGATAGTGTAGCAGCTAGTTTATAGACCCCGTCATTCACGTAATAAATCCTCTTCTTATTAATACTCCTTGACGATGAATGGAACTTCTCCCGCTGTTCTAGGCGAAGATAAAAAAGAAAAATCTCCCGTTTCCACCCCTGGTACACATACAAATATGGTTAAAGTTGAAACCTCTCCTGTTTCCATCCCAGCTTCTGTAAGTGAGGAATTAATCCCAGGCAAACGGCGACGTGTTCCGCCCAAGAAGCTGTATGAGGAAATAAATCGTACCAACGAAAAGAAAAGGGTAGGTTTTGATTATATATGTTTTTTTTAAATTTCTTTTAGTGACATTACAGGGGTGTATTTAATTCCAAATTTTTCTTATTTTTTTCCCTAAAGTCGATAACAAAAAGGACATTTTTTCAAAATTTATATTGCAGTACATAATAATCCCATCAATAATGCATGATGCAGGCAACATTTTTTAAAAAGTTTGGGTAATGGTATAGTTGCAATGGCAAAAAAAAAGTCGGGATTGATTATTTGTTTCGACTAATTGGAAAAATTATTGAGTAATAAGCGTTCTTTTATCGTATTTGTTATGAAGTTGAACATTTTAACACGTTTTTTCTATTGCATTATAACTATTGGGAAAAGTTATTTATGAAAAACTCTCTGATTTTAGATAAATTTATGCAGTTTTGTAGAAAGAGCTCCAGCCCTTATCTTCCCTATCTACCCTACTTTCCTCTTACCTTCCCCTTCTATTTCTCTTCCCTGTCCCTTCCGTAGTTCCCTATATTCCTTTTTCCCTACCTATCTCTTTCCCTACCTATCTTTGTCCCTACCTATCCACTACCCTCCCTTCCCCCTTCCTACCTTTCCCCATTCCCTTCCCATTGTTCCGCTGTTACTTTTTCCCTTTTCCTTTAATTTTTTTATCCCCCTTTTCTTTTCATTTTTCCCCTCCTCCCTTTTTCCCCCTTCTACCTCCCTTTTCTTTCCCCTTTCCCTTTACTTTTTTCTACCCCTTTTCCTTACATTTCCCCCCTCCCTTTTTTCCTTTCCCCCCCTTTCCCTTTTTCCTTTCCTTCCCCTCCTCCTGGGTCTTGGGGAATTTTTTTTCACCCCTGTGACATTATCAGCGATTAGCACAAATTATGACTCGTTCAAGTAGAAATTGAATTTTGAACGACAAACTCGTCTAAATACACAATTTAAAATACTTTTATTTGTGAGTCCTGTTATAAAACTTAAATGTTCCTTTTCTTTGTGGAAAACTAGGTTACTTTTTAAGGATTAATAAAGAATTTAGGAGTTTGAAGCATTTTTATGTATTGGGTGTGTAAATTGTACAATGTACGATGTTTATATGAACCAGTGCTTAGGATTTATTTAATTTTGATGCGGATCCGGATCCTGGATCCGCACTAGAAGAAAAAACTGAATTTTCTTATTTTTTCTCCATTATTTTCGCTTATCGCTAAAACTTGATGAAATCCGGAAATTTTTATATTCTCTTATTTCAATAGTTCGGATTTGGGATTTGAGAGAAAACATTTTTTTGCAGTTTTTTGTTGATTTTGCCCCCTGGATATAAAAAAACACATCTAGATGAGATCAAATAAAGTTTTAATTATTTAAGGTATGCAGGAAGAGGATTGGAAAATGTCAACGTTGTGGAGTTTCATGGGAGAGTTTAAATCATAAAAGGTCCCATCTGAGAAACAAGGTTTGAATTTGCAATACAGTTTTCGTAATGCTAAAATCAGTGCCTAGGATCCGCCCTAACAAGCGATAAGGATCCCAAACCGGTTCCGAATCCAGGTCGTGAACATTTCTTCAATATTCACTGATTTTTTTTTAACAAATGAAAGTCTTCTTAAATTGTTACGGATCCGGATCCTAAGAACCAGGGCTAAAATATGTTAGAAATAAAACTGTTTTCAACGAAAATTAAAAAATATTTTCTTTTTCAAGGGTTTGTTTCATAGACCAAATTTGCATTTACGTCGTAGTTATCAATATTCTTGGTATTTAAAGTGTGTCTATGAGCGGCTTTTGTTTGGCAACCTGGTATATATATTTGAAATTGTAATCGTTGTTTGTTCGTTTGTTTGTATGTATTCCCGATCATATCTCATAAACGCCTTGACCGATTTGCCTCAAAGTTTTATTGTGGACTTAAGAGAACCACGGGAAAGTTTTTAGCTTGGTTTTGAGTGGATCGACTTTAAAAGAAAAAATTGAGTTTCCCGATAAAATCGACCAAGTGGGGATTTTTCTCTCGAATTTTTTTTAAATTCCAATTTTTTTCTTCAGTGTTTTATAAACTTTTATAGTTTTATTACATAATTTACTTTTTCTAAATTAGGCTAAATGTAAAATACTGGATTACATCTGTATATGTTCTCACTGCAATGGAAAGTTCCGAGATGAAAAAGGTATTTTTATTATTTATCATTGATGCTGGATCCTTTTAGAACATAAATATACATTGGGCAGGGATTGTTCAAAATGATGAAAAACCAATTTTTTATATTATTTTTAATTATTTTCCCGTATTTCTGAGTTCATGGAGATCAAAATGTAGGTCAATGACCTCCAATCTCAAAGTTTCTTTGTGGTCTTTCTAGAATCTAGATGACCATATTTAGATGCTGCATGCAAAGATTCAGCCATCTATCTCAAATTATAGTACCAAACGCAGCCTGTACAAAAGGACCTCACTAGTCTCCTGGAGTTTGTAATAACTCTTGTAATAATAGAGATAAATGGTGCTAACTTTGCACCTATATTCTTTTAATCCTTAAGGGGCATTAATATACTTTTAGCATTGCCTGAGGCTGGGGTTAGCATCATGATAGTTCTGAAGAGACGAATAATGAATGAGATTTTGACAACGTATCTACCATCAGTTCTTATTCTAATAATAGTTTATGTAACCAACTACTTTAAACCATTCTTCTTTGAAGCAGTTGTGACAGTTAATCTGACATCTTTACTGGTTCTAACAACTTTGTTTATTAGCGTCTCAGGTCACAACTCACAACAATTAGATACACTTTAGGAAAAAAAAGTTTTTGACTATTTGTATAACAGATACCTTACCACCAACGGCATATGTTAAACTAATTGATATTTGGCTAATATTCTCTCAAGTGATACCATTTTTTGAGGTAAAGGTTAAATTAAGTGCAACTTGTTATGAACTCAGGATTTATTTTTTTTAAGGTTTTGCTTCATACCTTCATTGACAGTAAAAGAAAGGATGGTCAGGACAGAGAAATTAACCATCATGGAAAGATGATAAAAGTTGGTACAGAATCCACAAATAATGATTCCAATGTCCTGGTAATTATTCTATATTGATTAAATGAATGCTTATGATATAAACTATCTTGTTTAGTTTGTTCGGGAAAAAAACTTCTTTGAACTTGATGGTAAGGTAAGGCTTGGTATAAAGAATACATATTTGTTTTTTATCACAATCTTAAATTATTAGATCCCTGAGAGAATCCCCTTTGACCCTGAGTTAATTGCAAGAAATGAAAAGGAAGAACTAGAGGCCAGACAAAAATTCTACAATAAGGTTGATATTGACATCTACTGGATTCTATTTGGTGAAATAACAGGTTAACTTACTTTAAGATGTTTTTAGAAAAAAAAGAATATTAATTTTATTCTTTTTTTTTACATATTATTAAATTGTTCTGTAGAAATAAATGATTTGATTTGAACTAATATTTTAGGCAAACTACTCTTACCATTGTTCATCATTATCTTTACTATTGTGTATTGGAGCTTTGGATTGTATTATTACTTTAAAGAAGAATATTTCTTTAAATTGTAGGAAAATAAATCTTTTAAACTTAGTTTTTCTGTTTATTGCTAGTAATACAAATTAGCAGGAGCTTACGAGGGCTTTTGTTTAGGGGGGGCACAATCTGCATGTGTAAGTGCCCAACAAACAAAAACCCGTGAAGAACACAAGATTATTTGGTTTATTTCACACGAGTGACCCGTCATTATCCCGTGATAATTCACGTGTTGTCGAGGTGATTGTCGACGATTTGATCACGGGTCTAGGACCGAGTTTTTACACGGCAAAAACTTGAGTTTATTTCACGAGATGAACACGGGATTTTTACATGGGAAAATCATTCAAGGGGGGGTGGGGGGATACATAATTGATTTCTGATATATAAATTCTAGTTTATATCTTTTACATGAAACATCTTGAACATGTAATCTTTAAACTTTACTTATCACAAAGTAATATTTCAAGTCTAAATAATGTTCAATTATGTTTATGTGTTCATAATTATACAGGGTGTCCCAAAAAACATGGGAATTCAGTGACGAATTCGATATCGTCTTTGTTATGAATTAGCATTGTAATACCTAATTTCAAAAGCCATAATATTATTATGTCTGCTAGAGTTTATTTAATGAAAAGGGTAAAAGACTG